TTATGAAGATGGTTTTTTTGGTGAGGCTCACAGAGCACCTAGGCTTAATCAGCTGAGAACTTTAGATTTTTTCAAGGACCCTATTCCCTGAACTGAGGTAGCAGCTTTTTTGTGTGCAATGGGGCAGGGTGGGGAAGCCATCCTTAAAAAAAAACCCTGATGCCCCGCTTATATCACATATGCTTGCTTTTACTCTATGTTTTTGACCTAGCCCACTACTGAGTACGTAGCCCTGGGCTCAGGGGAGTGATGCTGTCTCCCCTGCCCTGCCCCCTTGGTGTACAGGGTTGCAACCTAACTGGGAAGGAATCTGAGATGTGCCGAGGCGCAAGCCTGCTGAAATAGCATGCCATCGGCTGTGACATTCCACCCTTTTAATTGGACTCTTTAATGGACTCGAACTACTGTCACGAGGAAAAAGCACACTGCACATGCTCAAAGGCACTTTTCTTCACCATCCCATGGTCTGGCATGTAAAACAGATTCCGGGACTCAGCCCTGGTATAATTTAAAAGCCACAGGTGTCATGAATTTGTAACGCAATGTACAGAAAATAAAATGCAGCAATTGAGATTTGCACAAGTACGTGCTTTACTTCTATGGTTTTTAAATTAATATTCTAATAATAATAATAATAATAATAATAATAATAATAATAATAATAAATTTATATCCTGCCCTCCCCGGCCAGAGCTGGGCTCAGGGTGGCTAACACCAATAAAATTACAGTAAAAGCATAATAGAAAAAAAAACCAATTTAAAATTCAGGTTAAAATGCAATTTAAAATGCAGCCTCATTTTAAAAGTAGCCCATAGATCAAGACCATAAGGGGAGGGAAACATAAGGGTCAGACTGAGTCCAAACCAAAGGCCAGGCGGAACAGCTCTGTCTTGCAGACCCTGCGGAAAGATGTCAAGTCCCACAGGGCCCTAGTCTCTTGTGACAGAGCATTCCACCAAGTCAGGGCCAGTACTGAAAAGGCCCTGGCCATAGCTGAGACCAATCTAACCTCCTTGAGGCTCGGGACCTCCAAAGTGTTGTTATTTATGGAACTTAAGGTCCTCCGCGGGGCATATCAGGAGAGGTGGTCCCGTAGGTACGAGGGTCCTAGGCCGTATAGGGCTTTAAAAGTCAAAACCAGCACCTTAAACCTGATCCTGTACTCCACCAGAAGCCAGTGCAGTTGGTAAAGCACTGGATAAATGTGATCCCGTGGCAAGGACTCTGTAAGGAGCCTTGCCACGGCATTCTGCACCCACTGGACTTTCTGGGTCAGCTTCAAGGGCAGCCCTGAGTAGAGCGATTTACAATAATCAAGCCCGGAGGTGACCATCGCCTGGATCATTGTGGCCAGATCAGGGTGAGAAAGGTAATGGACCAACTGCTTAATACGGCAGAGATGGAAAAATGCCACCTTTGCTGTGGCTGCAACCTGTGCCTCCATGGAAAGGGAGGCATCGAAGGTTACACCCAAGCTCTTGACAGAAGGCGCTGGCACTAATTGAGCCCCTGCAAGAGATGGGAGTTGGCCCCCCCAACCCCATGTCGTCCCGACCCAGCCAGAGGATCTCTGCCTTCGAAGGATTTAACTTCAACAAGCTCCCGCACAGTCATCTAGCCACAGCTTCCAAGCATCTGGTCAGTGTGTCTGGGGCCGAGTCAGGGCGGCTGTCCATCAACAGATAAAGCATATTGATGACAACTCAGCCCAAAGCTCTGGAGCTTTGTAAGGGTTAATGTCTTCTTGCATCTGTGGCAGAAATTGCTGCTTGAGGGAGATGTAGATTTGACTGAAGTGCATTTCTTATTCAATTTGCATGTGAATGCTCTGATTCAGAGATCCATATTGCTCCTGAACTGAAGGAGGAGGGTTGAATGAGTTGAACAGCAGGCCCCCTTGCTATTAAGAGATTAGACAATTCCTACCACCTTATACTTCTGTAGCTGATAAAATGATATGCCATGTATCTCTTGTTTCAGTTTTGCATTTAAGATGAAATTTAAACATTCTCTAAGGACTCTTCCACACTTGTCTTATGCCTAGAAATCACAGGTCCAAGCAGTTTTCCATTTGCCCCACCATTTTCCCTGGTAAAGCCCCTCTCTTCAGCACAAACATCAATCTGCTGAAAACCCAGTTGCCATGCTCCAATTCAGCAGTAAAGATGAGTTTTCCCTGGGGGGAAGCAGCAGGACAAACGGAAATCCTAAAGACATCAATGAGTGTTTCCCAACATACTCCTTGAAATACAACATGGACCGGTCTCATTCCATTCAAAATTTAGGTGCCTGGATGAGAGACCACCAGGGAACCAGATCTATATTATATGCTGCTTTGGGCTCCAGTGATGGTACTCAATGATACGGAGTACCACCACCTCTTTTTATGCCGCCATTGGTAGCCATTTTGTGCTGGTACCTGCAACACCTTTATCAAGACAGGAGTACCAGCACCTAATTTATTACCCCTAAAAAAAGCACAGGTTACTGGTATGTTTGTTAGCTGTCTTCCAAGAAGACATTCCAAAAAGGGAAGTATAAATCCTTAAAACAAAAATAATGAAATTGCCAAAAATAGATGCCACAGCCAGCAGGTTCAGTGGTTCAGCTGCATCAGAGTGCAGAACGAATAAATGCCTTAAGAGCTATTGGCACACCATGGTGCTTTTCCTCCAGGTATGCCTCCCCAGTTCATAAAGTACTCTCCTTCTTTGTTTGTTTTTAAATGTTATTTTGACAGCATTGAGCCTTAATTATTTTCTGCCTGCTCCTCACTTACTAATAATGCTATAAAGTTCTATTGATTTTAATCTTTCAACTTCCTTTATTGAAAGCCACCCTGAATGTTCTAGAATGTTCTAGACAAATGAAATAAAAAGCTTTCCTTGTATCATTTCTGAAAGGAGTGCTACCAATAAAATGATATGCCATGAACACACTCTTCACACTTTTGCCAGTGTGTCTTTGTTATGCATAGAAGCAGATGCCCCCCCCCCCCCCCGTTCCCAGCCAGCAACTGTGGTCCTCTGATGAGGCGCTGTTGCGTACCTCCGAGGTGTGCGTAGCATACAGCCTAAACTGGGCTTTTAGTGTTGCAACTCCAGCCTTCTGGAGTTAGCACTTGAATTCAGGCAAGCAGCTACTGAAGACAATTTTTGTGTGACCCAGCCAGTCCATGGAATTAACTGCATAATTATAAAAACAAAACAATTTTATATTTAATATTTCATTGTACAATGCTCCAATAACTTTTAGTTGTGAACCAATTTATAATTCTGCAAAATAAATGTGAAACGGTCAGGCTCATTTTGAAGGGGAAAGTGACCAAAACCATACTAATATGACTTTCATATCTGATGTAGCACACAAGATTGTCTTGAGGTGGGTGGAAAGGGAAGATGAATTTCTGTAAAGTGACCCTCACACAGTGTGTATGGTTATTGTAAAGTGGAGTTTCTACAGGACCCAAAAAGAACATGGACATTTAATTAGTTACTGTTTTACTCCCTGGTTTTAACAGGGCCAATTGAACTGAGGAAGGCACAAAGTGCCAGCAACAATTTCTCCACCTCATTGATTTACCCTTAGGGGATCCCAGACCCCGGTTAGGGCTCTGTAACCCACAATCTCCCACTATGAACAGAAACAAGAAACTGTAGCAGTTACCTCCTTTTTAAAATGTTCCTTTCCAGCCACAGAGACATGCACAAATTGAACTAAACAACTCTAGGCTGATAAGAAATTAGGCTGGGATGGTAAACTGAGGAATGTTGTGCTCCATGTCTTTTCACTTTTGCTTATTTAGGTATTTGTATGCTGCAAGGCAAAAAGCCAGAACACCTTATAGTGCAACATGCTGAATGTCATACCAGCGACCTGTGGCACTGATACATGGTGTGCTAATGGTGACAGGGTTCAACAAGTGACCTTTTTCAGTCAACTTCTGCGACCCTGGAGGACAGCCCTGCAAGGTAAAGTTTCCCACCCACCCTTTTCCAAATATACCTGGCCTCAGAACACCAGGTGCTTTCAGGTAGAGCTATGAGGGGGAGAAAAGGGTGTGCGGCGCAGGAAAATATGTCTGAGGTACGTAATAAAGGAGCTAGGAGTGGGACCCATAACCCCACGTTTCAGTGTTCCAGCTAGCCATGTTGACTGTCAGAACATTCCATTATTCTCCACCCCACAATGTATGTTCCTAATTCTTTGGCCACCCTTCTCTCCGTTGGTTTTTCTTTATCTTAAAGTGGTCAATGATGCTAAGCAGGAACAGGGTTGATTAACTGAAGCTCACAGGTGTATGTTTGCAGTTTGACTTACTGTATTTTTTGCTCTATAAGACTCACCTTTTCCCTCCTAAAAAGTAAGGGGAAATGTGTGTGCGTCTTATGGAGCGAATGCAGGTTGCACAGCTATCCCAGAAGCCAGAACAGCAAGAGGGATTGCTGCTTTCTCTGCACAGTGATCCCTCTTGTTGTTCTGGCTTCTGAGATTCAGAATATTTTTTTTCCTCCTCCAAAAACTAGGTGTGTTTTATGGTCTGGTGCGTTTTATAGAGCGAAACAAACGGTACTTAGCTTCACACCTGTGGCCTCTTGCCTATTTGACTAATTATTTTCTGCACCGGATGCAGGAAGGGATGTGATAGGATAATTGATTATTTGAAAACTGTATTTAAGTTGATTAATATTTTTGTATGCTGCTGGTGAGGAGGAGTGATAGCTTGCAGCGTTTGCATTATGTTTTTGAAATAAATCTAAGCAAAGATATTGCGGACAGCCTTTTATTTTTACGCCACTGCACACACTTTGTGTTGGCACAAAAGTCCAACACTCTCCACTTAGGTTTTATTCTGCCCCCTAAAGATTTTGTGTAGATCTGCAAATTGTGGGGCTCCCTGAAGGATGCTGATATGGATGGGGCTATTTTGGCTATATCAAGACCAGCACCTGGGGACTGAGTTTGCTCTTGGTATATAGTCCGGAATCCTGCCCCCGGCCATCGCTGGGTGGGCTTCAACCACCAACCTTCTGGTTAACAGCCAGATGCATGGATCAGTTGTGCCACCTGAGAGATATATGTGGTTATGGAGGACAAATGGAACACCTAAAAGGCTGGATTGAGCAGCTGGAGTACCAAGTGCCTGTAACTTACACTGTCAATTTTTTCCAGTCATAATTTGCTCACTCTACCACAGGAACTCTCCATTCTACTAAGGAAATAAGAGGCAGACTCACTATTTCTATTGCACATCCAAGAATGGCATGAGATTGCTGAAATAGATTTCTTTATTTCTGAAACATTCCAGATCAGCAGAATACAAGTTGTAATCAAGTATTAAAATCATATCCCCATAGTAAGAAAGCATTGATTAGTGCAATTTTTTTTCTTGCAAAAGGTCTATCAAAAAAGTTTTACTTCCATGAAAACCTGTTTGTTTTCACCAAACACAAGTGTTAATAAAACATTGCAATTTTATTCTTTATTACAAAGTATCGAAACCCAACCATTTAAGAGACCATCGCATCTTTCAAGTGCAATGCAATTTACGCCCTCTTTATAAATACAACACCCCTGTGATAATAAATTAACATTGGAACAAGGAAATGAGAGACAGGTTCGTGTTGACCAGGAAGTCATGGCAGTTTCGAGCAAATACTTTAGTGTGTGCTCTCACAACATAAACATACAACACAGCTGTCATCTTGTCCATCATGGCCCCAATCCAACAATATATGTACTCAAGAATAGACCTGGCATGTGATGTAAGGGGGGGGGGGGGAAATACTCTTTTTCAAGTCCCAAGAGTGGGGAAAGGTCTAAATCCAGACACCTCGCCCCATCTCTCTAACATACACACAGGCCCAAGAACAGGTGAACTGAGTATCACCAAGAATCTGACTGGAACTGGATGTGACTTCTTAAGCAGCTGAAAACCATCCATATTCCCCCATGCAGTTAGAAATATGTGTATGGATGTCTGCATCTGTGCGTGGATAGCTGTAGCTGGATTTGGGGAGATTGGCATGGTTAGAAACATCTTGAACATAACAGTACCTTACTATTAAAAAGTGGGGGGGGTAGATTTATGGCACACACAAAATGCTTCGATACCCTATGATTCAAGCAAAATGTGGGGGTGTGTGTGCAAAAATACACTCCCTTAGAAAGGCTACAAAAGAAGAAGCAGGTAAGGATATGGATCTATTTTGTCAATTTGCAAGGGAACTCGTTAAAGCAACAAAAAGTAGTACACAAATCAAAGAGATCTGAACACTGTTATGGCAAAGCACCCAGAAGTCACATTTTGGCTCCCCCCAGTGGGATACTTTATGCATGTGTTTTTAAAAACCTAAACCATAATGCTGCAACGTTAATTTGACAACACTGCTGTTTGTTTGTTTTTCTGAGCAAACAACTAAGTGTAATATGTTTAGTGAGCAACGACAATGACAGAAGAGTAAGAAACAGCCCTGTGTTATTCATCCAGCCTCTCACAGTTATATTTACCCAGCCAGCTGGGTAGGAGAATCTGAATTTCGGCTCGACCCATTGTCAATAGCAGCCATCCCTCCAGTTGCCGTCCCGTAGAGTACTAAGCGAAGAAAGAGGTTTTGGCGGCTGGAGAAAACTGTTTCAAGAAACAAACCATAGTTCAGGGTAAGCACTGGGGAAAAGAGTGACAACACACATTACAGAGAAGAAACTACTTTGTCGATGCCTCTGTTGCCTTTTCACAATGCAAAAGATGGGGTCAAGAGAGCCTTTTGATTGCGTGACTGTTCCCGTGAGGAAAGCAGCTGAGGCTATAGCTTCAAAGCACATTTTCCCCACTCAAAGAAGTTTGGGCACTGTAGGATTGCTGGCAATGTTAACTCTGAAAGCAGTAAACTACAGTGCCCAGAATTCTTCGAGGGAAAGAATGTACTTTAAAGGTGCAGTGTGTAGGCAGCCCCAGTTATCTATGTTGTGTAGGGAAGGATATCAAGAATCAAGGTAGGAAACCCCCGGAAGATGTTACGATTCCTAATATCTAAAATGACAGATTCAAGAAATACTAATAAAGAACAGAATTTCTCTTCTATTTTCCCCATGGACTAAACCAGGGGTAGGCAACCTAAGGCCCGTGGGCCGGATGCGGCCCAATCGGCTTCTCAATCCAGCCCACAGACGGTTTGGGAATCAGCGTGTTTTTACATGAGTAGAAATTGTCCATTTATTTAAAATGCATCTCTGGGTTATTTGTGGGGCATAGGAATTGGTTATTTTTTTTCAAAATATAGTCCGGCCCACCACATGGTCTGAAGGATGGTGGACTTTTTCACAGTTTAAAAAGGTTGCTGACCCCTGGACTAAACTGTCAAGTGCAAATTGAGGAAGGACCACTAATCTACACCTTGTTGAAACTCATTTCTCCTCAGCGCTACCCCACTCCACCCCGACATGAAAAAATGCCTATGCTGCTAGTGGTAGATTTCAGGGGCCACTTCAGAGGAACAGAGGTATTAAATTATAGCTTAAGAGAAGGCAACACACAGTATCTGTCTGTCATCCCTACAGAGTTTGGAAAGAGGCTTTAGCCTTCTTTTCATTTTTAAAAATGAACCATCACTCTCAGATAAGAGGCTTCTCATAGTCCCTCAAAGATGGGACAAGTAGGTTTTTCAAATACAACAAGACACATGTAAATTTTATGCAAAGCTGTGTCAGTGGGCTTCATCCACATACAGTGTAGTGGGCCCAGAAAATATACATGTTAACCATGCATCACAAATGATGAAATATGCAGTGCAAAATTAGTGATTCAAAAGGTTAACAAATGCGAGTGTAGAGGCACTAAAACACTCAGTTTGGTCTACAAGTTCAAAGGGTTTTTTTGTAAGTATGAACAGAGATGGGAGGTTGGCTGACTCACAAGATCCATGATGAAGGTACACGTCTTCCAGATTATGTATTAAGTCTTCCTCACGTAACCATTTTACCATGTGGTACATGCTAAAAACATGCTCCATGTACATACCATGCATTTGAAGCACACGGCTTCTCTCAAAGAATCCTGGGAAATGTAGTTTCCCAGCACCCTTAAACTATAGCTCCTACAATTCTTTAGGGGCAGTCATGTGCTTTAAATGTATGGCATGTGCGCAGCCATAATTTGTGAGGTACTGCTAAGAGAGACCATTTTCTCAACAGCTGTAAACATGCAAAGTTCCTTCCAAAATATGAGTGAGCTTCGAATCCACCTTCCCCCCCTCCCCCGCCCTTTTTTCAGTAATTTTGGGAGACATGGTAGCTCTGTGCTAGATTCAGCAACTGTGTGCCAATGATTTTGCAGATTTCCAGACAGTGTTTTTGGATAGACTGTCCAAGGTAAGAGGTACAGGTTAATATACTTTACTGCCAATTATAGAAGGCTTCCCTGCATCTCCCACATGCTACTATTTCAAGAACGATGCAGGTAAGTTCTCCCTGACCCAGTGCTGAACCACCTTAGCAGCAATCCATGCACACAGTTAAGTTGCTCAAATCCTACTGAAGCCAAAGGTATTTTTAAGCTGCCCAGCGGTGCGCCAGAACTTAGCCCTTGGGTTGCTACCTTTAATTACAGATATCTAACATTTAGTAACACTTCATTATCAAACTATCAACACAATTAAAGTGGATGTCGAATTGTTAAATGGCTCTTGGCTTAACGAAACGGGATAACTTAATCGGGGTTCTCCCCAAGGAAATATCGCACTGCAGTAGCTGACAGTGTTCCAGCTGCTCCATTAGAAAAAAAACAAAACATAGCTGGTCTGCACAACTTGTGACCTACAAAACCAGGCACAGGAACACAGGGTGAGGCCTCCTTCTATTGAGTCAGACCATTAACGTACCTACCCAAACATCGTCTGTCTCATCAGGATCTTTCCCATCACATGCTACTTTCCGTTGGAGATGCCTGAAATTGGTCCTGGGGCCTTCTGCATGCCAAGCACATGTCCTACCGCTGAAGTATGCCTCCTCTCCAATGCGACGGGCTCTGCTAGGGGCTGTGTGATCTCTATTTGCTGCTCGCTAGCAGGCAGCATTCTCTTTAGTGGGTCGCAGGCTACGTTTATACGATCCCTGGCTTCCTTTTGCTTTAAAATATTCTTAAAAGGAGGGAGTTGGAAAGCACTTTTCTTATTCTTCTTGGAAAAGTCTGCAGATCAAGCCCGCAGAAGAGCAGAACAAGAGTAGGCCTGACTCTCCAAGTCAACCGCAGCTTTGCTTGGGCAACTCTCAAAATCTTATCTCCAGTTGGTTCAGCTGCAGTCAGGCAGCAAAAAAAGGAGAGAAAAAGTCTATTTCCCTCAAAAATTACACATGGCACAGCGTAATTTATTTCTGAAGGATATAGAAAGTGTTGCATGAAAGGGACTTATTGCATATTATTAAAGGCAATTTGCCAGTCCTTTTTTGCCCGCGGCAGGTGCTTATTTAAAGACTACAACATCCAGTTCTCACATGGACCAACCAAATACCTGTGGGGAAAGGCACAGGTGGGACCTGAGCACAAGAGCATTCTCCTTTGCTGAGGTTTCCAACAATAGCTAAATTTGTGGGGAGTGACTCCTCTAAACTAAAGTCTATACTCAGCCCTAGAAAAAGTGGTCATGTGAGGCTTCTATTATGGACTCAGGTGGTGGCCAAGTGCATCCTTTTTAGGTAGTCCATAAAGGCAGCCCTAAAAGGGATGCGGGTGGCGCTGTGGGTTAAACCACAGAGCCTAGGACTTGCCGATTGGAAGGTCGGCGGTTCGAATCCCCGTGACGGGGTGAGCTCCCATTGCTTGGTCCCTGCTCCTGCCAACCTAGCAGTTTGAAAGCACGTTAAAGTGCAAGTAGATCAATAGGTACCACTCCGGCAGGAAGGTAAACGGCGTTTCCGTGTGCTGCTCTGGTTCGCCAGAAACGGCTTAGTCATGCTGGCCACATGACCCGGAAGCTGTACGCCGGCTCCCTTGGCCAATAAAGCGAGATGAGCGCTGCAACCCCAGAGTCGGTCACGACTGGACCTAACAGTCAGGGGTCCCTTTACCTTTAAAGGCAACCCTATGCATGTTTACTCAGAAGTAAGTTGCAACTTGCTTTTCTTTAATCACCCTCCGTCCCCCGTAACAGAGTTGGTTATAACTTCAAGAAAAAGTATTGATCTACAACAGACTTGTTAAGCTAAGGCATTATATTCAAATCTGCACTGTTCAGCCTATATCCATTTGATACCAGTTTAGCTCTCATGACTCTCCCAGAGAATCCGAGCTATTCCAGGGCTGCAAACTCTCACTCAAGAGATGTCCAGCCTCCTCCTGACAGCCTTACAGCTCTTCGGAGAGCGCTGATCGCTCAACTAGCTGTCCAGTTGCTGCATAAATACACTCCAATTTTTCCCTACCTTCGGATTGGCTGTGCAATTTTGCTCCTGGGTATGCTGCTCCCCCCTATAGCCAGGGAAGGCCTTGGGAGGCCACTGCGAGCTGCAATGCTGGCGTTTGCAGTCTTGTTTGGCATCGGGATGCCTGTGTTGGAGTGTAGCTGTAAGTTGCCGGACAACGGAACACCACCACCGCCGCTGCTGCTGCTGCTCCCTTGAACGGTTGGGCTGACATAGGCTGTGGCTTTGAGAGGCTGCCGAACCGATATTGGAAAGTGTCCCACACTGTGAACTCTGTGTTGAAGTTGCCCTGGAGAAGGAACTAGAGAAAGGGAGTGCAAATAAATAAATAAACAAATAAACACCACAAAAAACCCAAGGGTTTACGGGTCTGTGTGCCACAGAGATCCACACACTCCTGAAGGCAACCCTAGACTCGTCAAATGCATTTATAGGTCAAGTACGTAAGACAATAAAGCCAGCCCAAAAGATGGCTTCAGGCTGCAGTAACCTAGAAAGAGACAAGGCTTTGTTCCACGTATATTGTTAATATTTCCTTGCTGTGTTTTGCTCAGAGCAGCATTTCGCCCTCACAAACCTCCAGTGGAGCAGGATAGGCCGAGAGGTTGCAGATAGCCAATTACTAGGTTATATTGTTATATGCCAAGTTTTCTCTGTCATTTCGTTTTATTTTATATAACACTTATGTCACGCAGACTTCAACGTGCACCAATAAAAGTACAGTGGTACCTCGGGTTACATACGCTTCAGGTTACAGACTCCGCGAACCCAGAAATATTACCTCGGGTTAAGAACTTTGCTTCAGGATGAGAACAGAAATCGTGCTCCGGCAGCACGGCGGCAGCAGGAGGCCCCATTAGCTAAAGTGGTGCTTCAGGTTAAGAACAGTTTCAGGTTAAGAACGGACCTCCGGAACGAATTAAGTACTTAACCCGAGGTACCACTGTATTGTACTACAGTACATGAATTCAGAACCATTTCTTTCTACTTCAGTAGGAGCCGTGGGTGTCTATCCCCTAGAAAACCCTGGGAACTGTAGCTTGGCGAAAGTGCTTCAGATCCCTTGTGTACCTTGCAGAACTACAACTCACTTCATGCATCTCGCGGAGTGAACTCAAGTCCATGGAAAATTATGCCGCAAAATATTGTGTTAGACTTTTAAGGTACTGCAAGGCACTGCACTGCCTTTGCTGCAATTCCCAGGGGAAGCAACTGTTGAAAACTGGTCCACATCAGTTCTGTGCATCTATCTTAATCCTAACACTGGTCCCCTAAAGAATTCTGAATTCATTCTGGCCAGTTCCAGCAAGTCAAATTCTTACTCAGCTAGAATTTTAAGCCAGACTGATGTAAATATCTGACACCCTTCAAAAATATTGTCAAGGTAGAACACTGCTACTCAGTATCTGTTACTTCAAAAAACCACATCCCCTCAGCTTCATGTTTCACAGCTAAAAAGTGACAGTACAGATTTAGCAGCACAATCTAAATTTGGCTTGGTACAAATTGTCACTAGGAATCAGCGCTAAAGCACCCAAGACATTATGCAATTCTGCTCTCTGGTGGCATCAGCTGCTGTTTTATTGCACCAACTTGATGGAAAAGTCATACGGCAGCCTCAAGACCTTGAACTACCTTGTTTGGCTGAGGGGAAGCTGTTTGAAAGTCACCTTCCAAAAGGCAGAGAAAGAGTGACAAAAAAGTGAACCCCCAAACTACACAGCATTCAGGTACCTTTAAAAAACCAAGAAAGGGGCAAAATAGCACCAAACCACATTTACCCTCTCTATATATTGATTTTTTTATCTTTCAGTGCCAGGACATTTTAACAGACTAATCGGTTTGGACTAATGTATACATTCCTTGTATGTTAAACAGAACCACACTTGAACCTCGCCACCCCCAATCCTTTATAAAGCTTAGTAACTTGTTCCTGTTGAATGTGTAAAATGGTTTTTTTAAGCACACAAACAATTTTGACCCTTTAGGAAGGGGGAAAAAACCCATTAAAATGGCTACAGCTTTTCTAAGCCATACACAAATGCATGCTAAGAAAACCCAGACATGTCTGGTATTAAAGGATCACTGCCCATGATTCATCCCAGAATACTGGTGATTTAAAATATAGTGGTACCTCGGGTTAAGTACTTAATTTGTTCTGGAGGTCTGTTCTTAATCTGAAACTGTTCTTAACCTGAGGTACCACATTAGCTAATGGGGCCTCCTGCTGCCGCCGCGCCGCTGCCACGCGAAATCTTTTCTTATCCTGAAGGTACTATTTCTGGGTTAGTGGAGTCTGTAACCTGAAGTGTCTGTAACCTGAGGTACCACTGTAAAGTGCTGTACCCTGACAGCTTCCCATCCCACAATGAAATATAAAGATTTCACACTTACTGCAGGACTGTATTCTTGATATCCCGTTACCAGCTCCATGCAGATTAGAATCAAAGCTTAGGCTGTTCCTCACAGTGATGGCAGGGCCAACATTGGTACTGAGGGTTGGGGTGCTGGGCATCCGCGCCAAGTTTGGCATGCTCCTTCGGAGCTTGTCTGCAACAAAGGCAAATCATTGTCACCATTAGGAACCGCTTGTGGTCAAGTCGCCTCTCACCAAATGTCTCATAACATAAAAAGAAACTCTCCTTGACTGGGCCCATTCTGTCCTCCGCAATGGCAACAACGGCTGCATTTCAGCAAGGCAAAATTCCACCTACTCCATTCTCTGTGCCACCTCCAGGAGGAGCTATGATACCACCACCACCTAATATTCCGGGTCTTCCACAGCCTGGTATGATGCCAGTGTTTAGGGAAGCTTTTAATGTTTGGACTACTGTACAGTCATACCTTGGGTTACAGATGCTTCAGGTTGCGTTTTTTCAGGTTATGGACCCGCCGAAACCCGGAAGTACTGGAACGGGTTACTTCCGGGTTTTGGCAGTCGCACATGCGCAGAAGTGCCGAATCGCAACCCATGCGTGTGCAGACACTGCGGGTTGCGAACATGCATCCCGCACGGATCACATTTGCAACCCGAGCGTCCACTGTATTTTAATATTTTGTTGGAAGAACTTCCCAGAAGTTAACTTGCTGGCTATGTAAGGTACTAAAGGCAACAGCTGCTCCAACTCTTTGTTCCCAGTACAGTGGTGCCTCGCAAGACGAAATTAATTCGTTCCGCGAGTTTTTTCGTCTTGCGGTTTTTTTCGTCTTGCGAAGCATGGTGTCGGAAAAGTTTTGGAAAAGCTTCAAAAATCACCAGTCTTCAAAAACCTCAAAAAAGGCTACCACACCGCGTGCTATGAGTTGCTCCTCGAAGTCAAGTCGCAACTGTATTAACGGTTTTAAGAAAATGGAAACAAACTTGCAAGACATTTCCGTCTTGCGAAGCAAGCCCATAGGGAAAATCGTCTTGCGATGCAGCTCAAAAAACGAAAAACCCTTTCGTCTAGCGAGTTTTTCGTCTTGCGAGGCATTCGTCTTGCGAGGTACCACTGTATCTGATATCTGTAGATCCGCCATCTTAAGAGCTGCAATAAATTAAGTTAGGGCAAAAATATTTCAACATTGAAAAGTCGAAGTACCTAGTTATATGTTGTTTTTGCATTTACATGAAAAACCTTAAAAAATATTGGGCAAAGTTCAAAGTACTGTCAACAGTAGAAGTGCTATGCACTAACATGGAAGGCAAGAAACCTCCTTGGATGAAGGATAGCTTTTCCTTTGGAATATGCTCATGGACATGGGCTACACAATAATTCTGTTGTTCCAGCCCCAGCCAACCAACAGAACATGAGTGTGGCGTTTGCCCTCCTAGGTGTGTGACATCATACTGGGTTCATAAGGAAAGGGTTAACTAATTGTAAAATGACTAACCAATGGGAACCCAAGGGGAGGAGTTAGGAGTTAGAGTTAGGGTGGTTGAGAAGACAGTCTGGAGTTAGAAGAGACAGAGAAGAGAAGTCTGTGGGTTGGGCTAGTCTGGTGTGAGAGAGGGAGAGAATTTGTTAAGAGGAGTCAGCCAAACAGTTGAGATAATCAGTCAGAAGGTATTAGGAAGGTATGGGCCGGTAGCAAAACTAAAGTTAAGACACTGACAGGAATATTATCTGAGAAACCATAAACTTGTTAATATTTATAAAATAAACTTGTTTATTTGGTTCACTTTTAACAACTGTCTGGACTCAGTGTTTTACCAGAGAGTAACGGGTTGGTGGCAGCGCGGAAGCGAGCACAGTGGTGGCACAGGGATCAACAGACCGTTAAACGTCTGAGGACCCTGTGTGATCGCCACAAAAGTGGTGGCAGTGGGGAAGCAAGCACAGAGTTTAACGGTCTAAGAGGTCCTGTCAAACTCTAGGATTCTATGAAATGCCCATCTCCTGCCCAATCCTCCTCTTACCTCTATTTGTCATACTGCAGCTAGATTTAACAGTGTGAGCTTGTGTTACGGCCCTGCCAGAAACTATTTGCCAAGAATGCAAAACTGCACACTGAGAACAATAGTAACTAGTTTACGCATGGCTGCTTGAACCCAATATGCTGCTTTGTGACAAGACTTCCACTTACATCATGGGACTTCCTTCTCCTTTTCTCCCTGATTCAGCCTCCTGCACACCCTCAGAATCTTTTCCCGCGGTTTGGGGGAACCTCAAGAGTAGATTTGGAGGGTGCCCAGGGAGAGGGAAGGCTCAGTGTTTGCAGAGAACACTGCTTGTGCAGCGCTGGAAGCAACCCAATATGTTAACTTTCCATAGAGATGTTTGCTACAGTTGACACCAGTCGTAGTGACAATTAGTAGAGTGCAAAGGCATTAGCATGCGTTATTCAAGACCACCAACGGGGTGAGAAGGAAGATGATGAAGTAAAGGGAAGCCATGATAAGCTAAGTAAAGCGTCCATGCTAGAGGCAGTATACCACAGAGTATTAGATGCTGGAGGGGAACAAAAAAACTGCCTCCATGTCTTGTTCGTCCATTTCTAGCAGGACCTGCCTGGCTACTGATGGCAGGGATGGTCCTGTGGTGAATCCAGGTGAAGCCATCTGCTTCAGGCAGCACCATGAACGTTGTGGGAGGAAATTGTTGAAGGCAGGGACTGGTATCTGAATGATGCTGCATGTACCTGGTGATGCACCCGGAGGGGCCAATTCAGGCAGTGAAATGTTTTGGCCTGACACCAACCACATAGAGCAGAATGCTGGACCAAATGAATATACAGTCCAATTTAACAGATGTCTTCATATGTTCTTATGGAAGGAAACAGGTGGGATAAGAAAAAGAGAGAGAGAGAACCAGGGTAAGGGTTCCAGAATGAAGCCACTATGCTAGATTAATGTGGGATATAATGACAAAAAGAACAGCAAAACTCCATGACAGATGATCAGATAGAAAAGGGAGAGAAACTTATTTTCTTAGGACTACATTTGCAACATATTTAAACAGCTTCTGGGCACTGATCACCGTGATCACTTATGATGTATTTATTATTCATGCTTATTTTACATAGCTATTAACTTCTAATTAATAATATAGGTTCAGGGACCTGTTTCTACAGCTAGATATTCAGCCTGTATAATTAATGTAAAATGATTGAGAAATAAGAATAATGTTTAACGTTTACTTAGCGCTTTAGGGTGTTCAAAAAAAAAAGAGTCCTCCATCCATAATCACAGGAAATCTTACAAAGCATATATTATTATTATTCTCCGATTGCAGAGGGGAGATATAGCAGCTTAAGCCTGCCTGCTCCGTTAACGGCAGAGGTAAAACTATATTGGGGGTGGGGGTGCTGTTTCAGTGCTCAGCCTCCGGGCTGCATATGTAAGTGTTGATGAAGCAGATGAAAGTCTGATATGTGTTCACAGGCAGAGATGGCACAGCAGCACTTCCTCTAAAAACTCACTCGAAGAGACTCAAAAGTTCATCCTGTCCAGCCTACTGTATTCATTAAGATTCAACATAACAGAATTCTGGCATGCGCCATCTTTGGGGGAGATCCACAAATGAAAGGCATGTCCATAAGATACTGAACCTTCCCTTCTCAGGAATCATACCCAAAATCTTCCAACAGGTTCTTGATTACGACTAGATGAGTGTTACATACTGCATCCATATGTAATCAGGGCTCTACACTGCCCCCATTTCCACTAGCTGTTAAAAAACTGTTAAATGAAAAGGGGGGGAATTAAATATGAATGATAAAATGCTAAAATATTTTAAGTACTGAAATGGAATTGGGAAAAGTATGTTACGTTGAGCAGCAAGTAAAGGAGGGACGAGAAACGTCATGGAAGCAAGGTGGGAAGTCAACTTTTAAATTTGTATTAAATTTGAATTAATTTGATGTTGATTTGTTAAATTTTTTGAAAAGCAATAAAAACAACTGGCTAACAAAAAAACTATTTTACTTCAGAAAGCATTCTCTTCTGTTTGGCAACCAGTATTAAGGAAGGCAAGATTGTGCTGAGACAGTTTCCAATGTGCACTGCTTAATGGGTGACATACAACTAAGTCCTACTCAGAGTAAACTGATTGAAAGCAATGGATACTGGAGACCACACACTGACTCTGCCATATTTTTTAAAAAAATATATATATAAACATTTTAGATCTTTATGAATAGCATTCAGTACTGTTTCTTCAAAAGGGGATTCATAAACTAAACCAAAGATGCCCAACTGGCAAACTTAATCTTGACTCTACATCCTCCTGTCTTCTAATAATGGTGTTGTAAAAGTTTAGCTATTTCCCTAGTAAGAAAAATAAAAGTGATTTATTATACAGGGATGGGAAAGCTCTGGCCTCTCAGGTGCTGACGAAATCCAACTCCTCTCAGCAACTGGGATGATAAGCAAGACCAGCAAGAGAGAGAGAGACAGGGACACTGAGGATCTACACTTTAACATTTCACCTCTAAGTTATAATGACTCGGGACATGTGTCCCATAATAGTGGACCATGCATTGGAGACCTGTTTGTGGTCTTCATATTTCTAGCCTCCAGCCACTGCCTAGAGAAGTGAATGCCCACCAGGAATACAGAATTTGGCCAAAAGAAACCTGCCTCAAAATTAAAGATTTGGCACCAGAAGGGCAAAATAAATCCATACATCAGAAAACAGACAGACAGCCAACTTTACCTCCATTAATCCTGTTTGGTTGTGGCTCAAGAGGATTCTGGGCTTGAGGAGAGTAACACTGTTGCTGCGGATAATTGTTTGAGGGGAAATATGGGGAAGTCGGGCTTCTCCTGCAGTCCCGTATACTGGAAAAAGTCTGTGAATGGGGAATTCCTCTTTGGAAAGGGGAGCAGCGGGTCAACCGAGGCTGCGGAGGGGGCAGGTGGTCGAATTCTTCCTCTTCGTCCTCAAGGCTGTAGCGATCAAATTCCTGGTCGCTGCTTGTCCCTTTCTTGCTCGAATGGAGAGAGACACTGGAGCTGTTTCTTGATACAGATGCTGAAGTAGACGCATAATCTTGTCTCAGACCTGGTAAGTGTAAGGAAAAGGCGAGGTGAGAGCCCCAAATGGTCAACATTTGTAACGAACATCATCCCTTCTGCAAGAGTCCGTTTTCGTATGGAAGGCATGGGTTTTGCAACTTACTCCATGTCTACAAGATGCATGAAAACATAAGGCAAAATGTAAATGCATGCAAGTGGGAAGGAAAACTATGGAACACCAACTAGACATAGACTGATTTTCACATCCTATTCCGAAGAGAGGAATGACTATGAAGTTTTTAATGAAGGAAGAACTATATTTGAAGTGCATTATGAAGAGAGGCGGTCCTCAGGCAGGCTGACTGAGCAAAGAACTAGCTCTGTGTGAACATACAACGTAATTCAACATAGTCCTGTGAAATGCATTAATATGAGGGATAGATCAAAAACATTCTTACACATCCGACATTCCTAGGCTCCCCCACTGTGACACCCAAACTATGGAACTCCTTGCACTGAAAATCCTATACTCTAGAAGCAGGGAATCTCCAGACATCAAAGTGTTAGACTATAGCTTCTATCTTCCCTGCCCATTAGCCATGCCGGCTGGTGCAGATGGTTGCAAAGAGCATACATATCTATTCTGTGCAAACAGCTCACTCAAAGCCATGTGCAAACTATGTCATAGTGACAAAGCTGCAGAAAATAAATCTAAAGAGCATCATTTGAAATTCTCCAGATGATCTGGTATTCTCCTTGTATCTTCTATCTAAAGCCTGCAGGATACCTTAGTTAGTCAAGAGAGCATGAGACTCTTAATCTCAAGGTTGTGAGTTTGAGCAAAAAGATTCCTGCATTGCGGGGGGTTTAACTAAATGACCCTTGTGGTCCCTCTCTACAATGCCATTGGCTGATCTGCTGTGATGTCACAGCAAGCCTTTACAGACACGGGTATAAGTGTGATTCCTGCATTGAGGGGTCTGGGCTAGAAGACCCCTGAGGTCCCTTCCAACTCTACAGATATAGGATTGTATGAAGGGTCCCTCTGTAACCATCACCCCCTTACATGCCCTAATGTCACAGAAGACCTAGGCAGCCTTGAGCAAAGTTGGTGAATTCTGAGGGGGATACAGGAAAGCTTTGAATTCTAAGATCTTTAACAGCTTGTGCCAAATTAACCCCCTTCATGTGTCTCCGTATGGCATGGGATTCTGAATGACAACTCCTTGACGCAGATCAGACCAGCGCTTTCAGAGCCTTTCAAAGAAAATAAGATGGCATTTTCTCTTTGTGAACACCATTACCCCATAGCCCACTTAGCTCCCCCTCAAAAAACAAATTAGGCTCCTTTTCTTCACAGTACTAAACATGATACATTACTCAACTACATTTAAGACTTATTCATACTAGGATTTTTTTTGGAGGCGGAACATTCAAGTGTAATAACATGAAAGCCAAACCAAAGCACCAACATGGTGTTATTGTTTTTTTTAAAAACCATCCCATACAATAGCTTAGACAGGCCTAAAATCAAGTATTTTCCCTGAGGCATTAACATGCAGCTTTTAAAAGAAGTGGTGGCGGTGGGGGGGGGGCAGAGCAGAGGGAGAGGAAGGACAGTTAATGGCCTACTCTCTTCTTGCAGTCGAGCCATGATCTGGACGTCTGTGAGGTCTTGCAGTTTATATCCCATGGAGATGGAATCGTCTTCTAGTTCTGAGGTGCTCAGTTCACTGTCTATGGAGGACTGGGGGCTGAGAGGGGAACTTCTAGAAGCACAACCTGTAGAACAACAACACAGCAAACCCCTTAACGTCAAGCGACGTGCAAAAGCATCTACTTTTCAAGCAACGTTTCAGGCTATTCAGCACTGCATATATAAACAGAACAGGCTTCGTCAACCGGCATGATGCTACATTCCGTTATTTACTTTTACATTGTGAAGATCTTTAAGCCTATTTAAAATGGTCCTGTACTTTGGTGTTCCTGTTAGTACGGAAAAGAAGCAATTCTGCAGCATGAATCTACAGCAGAGGGAAGACTAGTGGGCTCACGTGTACGATTTCAAACATTAATAAACAAAAACAAAAGTCTCAATGCAAATTCTGGTGTGTGAATTTGGAATTCCTGGAAGGAATTCACACACCAGATTATTCTTTTTCCAATGCTTTTAGCCCTTATGTAGGTACAGTGGTGCCTCGAAAGACGAAATTAATCCGTTCCGCGAGTCTCTTCGTCTTGCGGTTTTTTCGTCTTGCGAAGCACGGCTATTAGCGGCTTAGCAGCTTTAAGAAAAAGGAAACAAACTCGCAAGAACTCGCAAGACGTTTCGTCTTGCGAAGCAAGCCCATAGGGAAATTCGTCTTGCGGAGCGACTCAAAAAACGGAAAACTCTTTCGTCTTGCGCGTTTTTCGTCTTGCGAGGCATTCGTCTTGCGGGGCACCACTGTAAATCTGTAACGCAGCATCTGAAGGAAGAGAACCTAAGAATGTCTGCCTTTCTTCTTTTATTCTAGACAGATCAGTATATTCATACATGCCTTAAATGCAACCCTTAATTTACTGATGTCTCTCCTTCTGGTGGCCCCAAACATATACAGGCCAGACCCACATTATTGCCATTGCTTAGTAGTGTAGGTGCTGGCCCTACTGTCGCAGCCTGATGTTTCCACGGGCCATGGGCTAGAGCAGATCACAATAACTCTAAATAACAGCAGAGTGGGGGACCCCATTGTTCAATGTAACATGGAAGTAGAAGCTGTCCATGTTCTCCAGGGTGCATCCTGTGTGGATGGGTGGGAGGAAGGAATAGTAAGAATTTTCCTGTTCCTTGGGAAACAACATGAAGACAAAAGTAAGAGGATGAAAGGAAATGTATCCACGAAGCAGAATTTTAAGTCTAGGTCATGGCATTGGCCCCAGTCCTGTGGGACCAAACTAGATGCAATGGGGACAACCATATGAGTTTATACTCGTGTTTCCCTCATTCACATACACCGTGAAGGAATGGGTAATTTTTTTCTGAATGTGAAAAGCAGTGCATGCACGAAAGCAGCTAAATCCTTTCGCTCTCCTTCTTTACTTCAATATTCTCCATCCCCCCCCTTCCCTCCATATTTCCACCTGTCCCCCAATGTCTGCATTCAGAGCTGGGATGGGCAAAAAGCTGCTTCGAATCAAGGCAGGCTGTAGGTGGAGAGGTTGCAGAGTGCTACCCAGTATCCCAACCCATCAGTGGCATAGGCTAGCCAAGGTATTTGCAAGCCACCTGCCATTTTGGTTCCCTCAACAAAGAGGCACTGTGGAGCAGTGCGGGGATGTCAAAATAGCAGCTTCCTACCCACCTACTGCTGTTGCTCCATAAATCTGAGTCAAGATAAGGGTAAGTAGGGAGGACCAACTCAAGGACTCAGAGGCCTTTCCCAGAGGCTCTTGACCAGTGTTTCCCAAACTTGGGTCTCCAGCTGTTGTGCGACTACAATCCCCATCATCCCTGACCACTGCTGGGGATGATGGGAGTTGTAGTCCAAAAACAGCTGGAGACCCAAGTTTGGGAAAACCTGCTCTTGCCTCTCCATTCTTAGTATCGCCAGCAGCCCTGTTTCAAGCAGTGGAGCACAGAGAAGAAAGACAGCAAAAGTATATTCCATAGCTCCCCCCGTCATGCTTAAGTTTTTGACCTCTCAAAGCTACATATCTCAACACTGAACCAAAGTCAACAGGAACTAGTTAGGCCTTATTACAGTGCTATGTTAGTAAGAAAGAAAGCATTACCTGTTCTTTCAGGTGTTAATATTGCTTTATTGAAGGTTTTAGAGAAGGCAGGAGTGTTAAAGCCATTGCTATATGGAGTGAGCCTTGCAACAGGGCTATAGGGGAAAGCCAAGGAGACAGACGTAGAGAAGAGACTCCGCCATCGACTAGCTGTTAACAGACATGGTAAAGGAAGAGATGAGGTTATATTTGGAGCAGGCTCTTATCCATTAGGAAGTTAGGCATAAAAAGCTTAACAGCACAAATCTACACACATCTGCTCAGAAGCTAAGTCCTATTAAACACAACTTAGCCCCAGGTAAGTGTAGATATGATTGCAGTTTCAGCTGCAGTAGACGAGAGAGAAAAAACAGCAGGTGTTCAAAGACAAAATAAATAAAGGTTATTAAAGGCAAGATGTGAATCTCCAGAAACAGATTTAGAGTGTAAATTAGAAACAGATTTCTAATTTTTCGCCTCTCCCAGTACACAGCACTATTGCTCATGTCAGCTATCTCAAGGCTTAAGAGACAAGATTTCAAGTATTTCAAACATTAAAAAATGCTAATGCAAGTTTGTATATAAAGAAAGTAAGAGATTGTGAAAAGATTTTGATAATGGACAAAATCATGTTATTGATGGACAAATGGACAAAATTGGCACGCAATTAATTAAGTTTATTACGAATTGGAACTGCTCTTTCCCTTACTGAAATAGTAAATGCTACAGAACAGATGCTGAGCTTACTGTATTTGTTTCTAGTATCTTGCCAAGGTATTGTTGTAGAACAGATTTTAGCTCAATATTTCATGAAATAATAAATTGCTTTAATATTGCATTTTAAATTGTTGTAGCCCACCCTGGCACCCTGGCTGAAAGAAGAGTAATAAACTGAATTAATAAATCTTGATCATTGTCTTGATTTTCTTTAAGTATACGGTGTAACAGATAATACATATGACATTTATTTGTACAAAACGTTACTGGGTGTGGTTAATTGGGACATAACTGAACTGAGAGTTAAGCTACAGGGCACACAGTAAAGTACAGGCTCCCTCATCAAGTGCTAAAAACAAACTTAATCCCCTTCATAAGCTTTTAAGCCATCAGACACAAATATTTCTTCCTTTTAACAACATGAAATTCCAAGTTACATAAGCATGAATATATTTAATGCATATCTGCACACTCTGAGGTAGACATCTCTCCCATATCTATCAAATATGCAACATCAGAAAGCCTCAGTAATCTCACAGCCACATCCAGGGCAAGGCTTAAGGAATTTTACATATGCAGAAAATGATATTCAGAATAGGTTTCTTAAAAGTAGAATAAAATTTCTCTATGTATCTAAGAAAGCGACTAGTGTGGTGTAATGGTTACAACGTCAGGCTAGGACCAGGGAGACAAGGGTTTAAGAACTAGGTATACTACTCTGGGGAGGAACAGCGAGATTAAAATGTAACAAAATAAAGGAAAGAAAAGCAGGGCAACATCCCTATTCTCTACTCCTCCAGACACCTCTAGAAGTTCAAAATGTCATACAAATCACGCCCCCCTTCGCATGCCATCATGCTCTGCGACAGCATTACCACAACCTGCCATTAACTGCATCACAGCTGTTGTTGAGCAACAAAATATTAATATGAAATCCAAAGAGAGATGTAACATTCCAAGTGTGAGAATCTGAGTCTTACAACTTTTTTTTTTAAATGTATCTTCTGTATTAGTGAACCTGATCGCATGTCTTCAAGCAAAGTTTGGCAGGGCCGCAGGGTTCAGATTTAAAAGTAGTTGAACGTAATATTAATACCACCTATTATTAAAACAATAGGGTCAACCCCACGCATCAAATGTCAACATGCTATAGAAGACTCCTAGGACTTGCCACTGAAAGTTAAGTGATATCCAAGAGTGTCAATCTCATATCATTTGAGTACCAATATTTTAAATGGGCACACTTTCCTTTAAGTCCCACCTCATTCCAGGGCAGCAGACATCCCAGAATACACTGGGCATTCCCACTGTCAATACATTGCACTCAATGAACCACAGACAACGCAGATCTATGGAGTTCCTTGTTTTTTAAGCTTTGATGCAGCAATCCCGTAAATGAGACACATGATCACTGTAGTATTGGGCGCCACTTGGGTCTACAATCTACGCATGTCAAGACCCATCATGCTGAGCAAAGCACATTAGCAATGCACGGCATCCCAGCCAGGCCTCCTGTTTTAAGGACTTGATCACAAGTTACAGAGGCCTCCTTTGCCAAAATCAAGTCGGGTCTATTAAATCATGAGCTTTAATGACTAAATGAATTTTCCACAAATGCAAAATATATTTTAGGAACAAGCAGGCAGCTGCCACCTTAGAAGAAAACTCGAAGGAAGCAAAAGCTACAGTATACCTGTGATTTTAAAACCACTGGCAACATTTTGTACTTCTCATTATAAACCAGCAAAAGGAGGCAGACGTTTAAAGGGCCTTTGTGATTCTCCTTTTAAACACAAGACAGTTTTATAACAGCGTGGTCATTTGCCAAGGCCAATTAATGGCCTGCATGCTCTCACCCACAGATGCAGTCAACAACGCAAGTGTAAGCCGCATTCATTATTTTGCACAATAACTCCTGTGACAAGACTTATCCTGAACAAAGCTACTGTTATTGCAGCTGTGACTCTTAAGAACCACACGAAGAACTCCACGTTTGTCGCTAAGGAAATGGATGAGAGGTGAAAATATATTCTAGAGCCTTCAGCTGTTCTTCAGAGAGGGGCAAGACCCATCCTTCCGTGGCACAGAAAGTGGGGAAAGAGTGCTCACCTATTCTCATCCTTATAAATGCAACTGAAATGATTTGGCTGACTGTCAGCTCAGAAACACAGAGACACACACATGCCAGATCGCTAGTTTTACATGATAAGGAGTTTGCAGCCCCAAACAATTAGATTGGCCCATGTACTAGATACCCATGCCGAAAGGTGTCAACCTCTCTGCTTTAATAACAAGGATCCCTTTGTTCACCAATGCTACTCAAGTTCTTAGAAACTTCCTTGGGGATTGTTATATGGTGCAGTTAATCACAGCCAGATCCTGCACGTGTTTTGCAGCCCCTCAAGACATGCCCACTGCCCCATACGTCAGTGAAGGCACCTGTCTCAGACTCAGTTCAGCACTTAATCCCAACTTTAACCACCTAAGAATCCTGGGCACTGCAGTTTGCGAAGCGTGCTGGGAGCTTTTTATGAGACCCCTATTCCCCTCACAGAACTACAATTCCCAGAGTACCCTGGGGAAGAGGGATTAACTGTTAAACCACTCTGCAAATTGTAGCTCTGAGAGTGGAATAGTGGGGCCACCTAGCAATTCTCAGCACCCTTATAGTTATGACTACAGTTTCCAAGATTCTTTGGGGGAAGACAAGATTGTTTAAATGTGCAAATGGAGCCTGAAAAGGAAGTGGCCTGAAATGCTACACAAGGGCAGGTTTTTTCTCCTCCAAGTACCTGAAGACAGGCAGAAATTCCAACAGTTGCCCAGATCATATGAAGTCGTGGAGTGTGGACCTCCCAGAAATCCCAAGATCTCCAGGTGCTTGTGATAGAATGGTTCTTTGCTCGCTTCACACTTTTGGGCAGGGCTTGATTGGCTAAAGAGGTGTGGCAAACAGGGTGAACAAACTATGTGCTTTATACCTGATTGAGCAATGGGTTGCCCAGAACAGCTATTGGTGAAATGATGGACATTCACAAGTGTTTTTTCCCATGGTAGAGAGAACACTGAGTTGCCGAGATGCAGATGTCCCATTTGTGGGGTACAGAGTACCGTATTTTTCACTCTATAGGATGCACCAAGTTTTTTTTGGGGGGGGGATAAAGAAAAAAAAATATCCCCCCCCCGAGTGCACCCCGCACTCCGGGCAAGCAGGCTGCTATCTCCCGTGGGCTCCCCAGGCTTACGGATAGCTTCCTGAAGCCTGGAGAGAGAGGGGGGTCGGTGCGCAATGACCCCTCTCGCTCTCCAAGCTTCAGCGAAAGCCTGCATTCGCCCCATAGGACGCACTCACATTTCCCCTTCATTTTTGGAGGGGGAAAAGTGCGTCCTATAGGGCGAAAAATACGGTAAATAACAAGGTGTGAAACTAAGCACTGAGTAATAAAGGTTGTGCTCTGGACTACATTGCACTGTTAACTTTGTTCCAGGTAAAGATAGTGAAACAATCACTTCAGTTCCTCTGCATCACTTCCCTTTTGCAAGCCAGCCAAGGAGCAAGGCAGGCTGCCCATGGATTTCACAACAAGGAGGTGGGCAGGGAAATGAGGCTGTGTCCAGGAAGACTTAAGGCAGGAGGGACAGGCACACAGACAATGGAGAAAGTTCATTGTGCAGCTGCTCCATCCTCCCATTATTGTAGCCAAGCACAATAAAGATCCTGCCAGCATGATTTCAGAGTTTGGAAGCATACACAGGTATCACTATGTGTTTCCAGGAAAACTTCCGTAAGATTTTAGATAATGAGAGTTACGACACTGGGACTTGTATGGGAAGCCACTGTTTGCAAACAGTATTTTGCACTAACTTCAAACCATGGTTTCACATGCTGGTTTTTAGGCCTCAAACAAACCATGGTTTGTAGGCAAGCTTGGGTTCAATCATGAGTTAGCTAAGTTAGGGATGAAGAACATGTAGCTGTCTAAATGTTGCTGGATTCCAACTCCCATCAGCCCCAAAGAGGGGTAATGGGACTTGGAGATCAACAACCCCTGCAAGACCACAAGTTCCTCAGTCCAAAACAAAAAAAACCATGGTTTCAAGTGACATTTTAACTGGGTCACAAACACAGTACGCCACAACCAGAGGTTCTAGACTACTTGCCATGGTTTTAAGCCAAAGTGTGTTCTGCACTTATAAGGAAGATGCCCATTATCTAAACCAGGCTTCCTCAAACTCAGCCCTCCAGATGTTTTGAGACTACAATTCCCATCATCCCTGACCACTGGTCCTGCTAGCTAGGGATCATGGGAGTTGTGGGCCAAAAACATCTGGAGGGCCAAGTCTGAGGAAGCCTGATCTAAACCTTTCAGAATATGAACCATTTCTTCCTTGCAAGAACAAAATATAACCATAAGCGTTAAAGGCAAAACCATATTTCCACAATGTGTCCCCCCCCCCACACACACATATACAGCAAAAGGGCAAATGCAAAAACAACCGTTCCCCTCAAAGAGTAAGCACTGTTCAAGAGGCACAGAAAACCTTGCTGCACCAACTTCTACTAAGTCAACATTTGATGAGAAGTGACGGTGCAGCTCAAGCGTGGAGGCTTAAAAAATGAAAATATAACTTACAGAGGCACTTGGGCCAGACAGAAACAAGAGAAAACAGATCAAGAGCCTTTCCTACCGTGTCTGGTATGATCTAGCTCTTATAAAAGAGTCGTTTCTCAAAGGAAACACAAGTCACATGATTCCCTAAAGCCCGTATGCATGTCACATAAGAACGTAAGGAAAGCCTGCTGTTTCAGGCCAATGGCCCATATGGTCCAACGTCCTGTTTTCATGGTGGCCAAACAGATGCCTCTGGGAAGCCTGCAAGCACAAAAGCACCCACCGTCTCCAACAACTGTGTGCTCTTTTTGTATGTGTGTATGTGCTATACTTTCCTGGGGGGGAAAAGCGAATTATGGGTTCTTGTTTAAAAATGGAAACCTATATAAGGATAATTTATTTTCTTTCCGTTTGTCCTAGAATTTCAAATCCCTCTAAGTTGCTGAAACTGTTAGGCAATTGGGCAAATTTTATTTTTTTTATACTCCTTCCTTGATCAACTAAATTATATTTTTTTTCTTGTGAACTGCCCTGAGATCTTTTGATGAAGGGTGGTATATAAATCCTATCATCATCACCACAAGCATTACTGCCTCTGACTGTGGAGGAAGAGCATAGCCTTCGTGGCAAGTAGTGACCGATAGCATCATCCTCCATGACTGAATCCTCTTTTAAAGTCTTCCAAGTTGGTGGCCGTTGCTGCTTCCTGCAGGAGGGAGTTCCATAGTTTAACTAGGTGCGACACAGTGATTTATTTTACCTGTTCTGAATCTTCCAACACTCAGCTTCACTGCATGTTCACAAGCTCTAGCGTTCCAAGAGAGATCCCCTCCCATCCACTTTCTCCATGCAGTCAATCACGATATTTGGATGACCTGTGTCTGGACCACCTCTGAACAAGAGTCCAGAGGGTGGGACAACAAAGGACAGGGCAACAACTTCACACAAATAAGCAACCTCACAACAGCTGGAATTTACCATATGGCAGACCCATCGTTCTACTATGATTAGGGGCCAGCAATCTGGCCTCCTGAGAAGGACTACTCTTTTCTTCGGTTGCCAGTCCAGCAGATGGAAAAGGTGTGCGGAAAGCACAATCTGGGGAACATGACTTGCAGAATTTATTCCACCTCCCCCTCCTGATAAAATTAGCACTGACTTGTCAAGGGCAAGTTAGTCCCGAGGGCTGTTTCTTAACTGGCACTTTCCTGGGTGCATCTTTTGAATGAGGAAGCAGAAGAAGAGAAACAACAAGCCATACCCAAGAGCAATTAGAGACAGTGATATATAGAAAGAGACTGTAAATGCGTGTGAAGCAGCTGAAATATGGATTTGTGCTGATGGCTTGTTGTTGTTGTTGCTAGCGAGACAGCTGATGAAACCATTGCCATGGTTATGAAACCCCTGCACAAAAACTCAGTGAAACACAGTAAGAATGTGAATCACAGATTTGAGAAGTTGGAACGGACCCCCTAGGGTTACCCAGTCCAACCCCTGCTATGCAGAAATAATGAAATAAACTATCGATCAGTAAAAATAAGTCACAGAATAGGAATGGAAACATGTCCTTATAATTGTAAGAACATTAGACTACTGCCTCACACCAGGTCCGCCTATTTGTCTGTCTTGACCCACTATTGTCCACTTGGCTAGGAAAAAGTCCTTCAGGGTGTCCAGAAGTCTCTTCCATCATCTACTACCTGCTCATTACGTGGAGACACCAGAGGCTGAACTTGGACCTTGCATGTGTTCTACCACTAAGCTACAGCACCTCCATTTATTTCTGCATTGCATTTGGTTCTCCAAAAACTGTAGTTTCAGACAGAAGGTGCAGAAAGAAGAGTCTAGGTAGGCTGATGCAAACCATCAACTAACGATGACCGAGAGGACTTCCAAATATGCCCGGTAAGTTCCTTCATGATACTCTCCTCCACCAACTTTTGCTGTTTGCTTAGTGTGGCCAAAAATGCCCGCGTTATGTAACCTCCTAGCTGCCTTTTCCAAAGAACATTTTTGTCAGAGGAACCAAATGCAGCAGAGACCTGCAGCCAAATGTCTTGGTGATTATCTCAAATCAATATGTTGAAATTCCGTACCTCCAGAGCTTGCATGACTCTTCAATCTTCCCCCCACCCCCAGACGGTACATAGTGTTTCTTCTCACTAGCTTGCCATTCTGCTTCTCAGTTATCTACTTCCTACGGGCCCTTATTTCTCAGTACTGCTCAATCTGTTCTGCTGCAGCTGCCCTGGAGGTCCTTATTCCTGAAACCTCCAACTCTGGGACCTTCTCCCCACTTAAACCCTTCTGCACATAGCATTCAACCTAGACCCCTGTGTGAGGTTTTAAACCTACACACTATAGCTTCCCTCACAGCAGACGCATACTGTCAGCTCAGTCACTGCTTAGAAAGAAAGGGTGGCTGGCAGGTATCAGATAAGATATTGCCTTGCTACGGATAGATACACAAAGGACAAGGTGTGCTTTCAAAGGACATGGAGCTGCGACCCAAGAGTTCCTGAAATGGCTCAAAAACTGCCGTGTGCGACAGATATCACAGGGAAAATGACACTCTCACAAACACTGTAGTGGTACATGCTTGTTGCTTATAGCCACCTCCAGACTGTCAGTATTTTTGCAAGAGGAATTCAATCACATAACAGAAATTTAGGTTTGTGCAATGAAAGCACCAGGCATTCCTTTTTATTCGTTATCGTTTGTGCTCATGATGGTGTTGGAGCTGTTCTGTGCAATCCTGCTTTCAATTCTGTTCCATGTCTGCTGCAGGTTTGGGGCAGACGTACGGCTTAGTTTCCAAATAGGGGCACATCCTGTCGATTCCTGCTAATATTCTGTACTGTTTCAGACCAGCCACTGATCAGATGTTTTGAAGCTGTGGCTGGATGGTTACGTGGGAGCCGGTTGAAGTTAAATCCTTCGAAGACAGAGGTCCTTTGGCTGGGTCGGGACGATATGGGATTGGGGGGGGGCAACTCCCATCTCTTATGGGGGCACAATTAGTGCCAGCACCGTCCGTTAAGAGTTTGGATGTAATCTTCGACACCCCCCTTTCCATGGAGGCGCAGATTGCAGCTATAACAAAGGCGGCATTTTTTCATCTCCACCAAGCTAAGCAGTTGGCTCCTTACCTCTCTAGCCCTGACCTAGCCACTGTGACCCACACGACGGTCACCTCCAGATTGGATTATTGTAACTTGCTCTATGTGGGGCTGCCCTTGAGACTGACCCAGAAACTCCAGCGGGTGCAGAATGCCGCAGCGAGACTCCTTACGGGGTCCTTGCTGCGAGATCACATTCACCCGGTGCTATACCAGCTGCACTGGCTCCCGGTGGAGTACAGGATCAGGTTTAAGGTGCTGGTTTTAACCTTCAAAGCCCTATACGGCCTAGGACCCTCGTACCTACGGGACCGCCTCTCCTGGTATGTCCCACAGAGGAACTTACGGTCTTCAAACAAAAACATCTTGTAGGTCCCAGGCCACAGAGAAGTTAGGCTGGCCTCAACCAGAGCCAGGGCCTTTTCAGCTGTAGCTCCGATCTGGTGGAACGCTCTGTCACAAGAGACTAGGGCCCTGCGGGACTTGACATCTTTCCGCAGGGCCTGCAAGACGGAGCTGTTCCACCAGGCCTTTGGCCAGGGCACAGCCTGACTCCCTCCTTCGGCAATCCTCACAAAACTTCTACCCCAAATGGTTGCCATGAATTTGATTGGAATTAATTTTATAATGAAATAATTTTAGAATGTTTTATCATTTTACTGTTGTTAGCCGCTCTGAGCCCGGCTTCGGATGGGGAGGGGGGATATAAATAAAATTTATTTTTATTTTATTTATTATTATTATTATTATTATTATTAATGTCCAGGGTTAGGCTGGGGTGTATGCATTGTTCTCCTTCCATTGCACATTATAGCAAAAGAGTGCCCCACCAGAGGCATTAGGGAAGCACTGTAGAACAACTAAGAGAATGCAGTATAAATCCACTACGAATGCGCTATTATTTTATGAATGACACACTGCAGAATATATTTGCCAAAAAGAGAAAAGCCACCAGCCTGAAGGAGCCCAGACTCCTCCATGTGCTCAGTTCATTGGGCCATTGCAGAATAAAATTAAGATACTATCATGCTCACACACACAAAGCCAAGTATTTGGCAAGTTTCATGCCAGAATATACTTTCAGTAACAAAAGCAAGCACTTGAATGGAGCATTTCCCCCTTTCTTAAAAACAAGTTCTCACGAGATTAACATGTGTTCATCCCTCATTTGCTTCTGAAACCTCAGCATCCTGAGGCCAAAGTAAAACACAGACTGTGGAAATAAACATGACATGGGGAAACAGAAACTCTTGAGTGTTATTAACGCATATAATAGGTTTGGAACAACTCTCTCAGATGCTCCAGAAAAACAAAGGAAATGATAAATGAGAGATCATCTGACAAGTATCACAGGGAATTTTGAAAGTGAACTGATCTCCTATTCATTATAAAGATTCTTTCTGTCGGGAAATCTGGCCAGTTTTACTTAATGAACTCTTGTTTTATGAAGAGTTATGGCTATAAATTTGTTTAGCTCTTTTAGTGTTGTACGCGACTACAGTTGCAATCCTGTATACACTTACCTGTGAATAAGTCTTACTTAACTCAGTGAGGCTTACTTCTGAGCAGATATGTATAGGCTGTAAATAATAGGGTTTAGCAGTTTTCATTTTTAAAAGCACCACCACAAAACAATTAATAAACCCACTGACATTTTCGGTACCAGCATTTCTTCATGATGGTGACACATGATTTCACACACAGAGACACACACACGCTAGGGATATTCTGATAGTCCAGCATGTGCATTTATTTTTATTAAAATTATCTATATTCTACTTTTTAGGGTAATTTACCATCCCCACCAAAGAAACCCTTTCTTTAAAAAACAGATACCAATTCAACAAGGGGAATCAGATTAAAACATATACAAAGTCAGCAGTAAAAAAAATCAATACAATGTTATAGCTTTGTCAGTGCATTTATGATAAACCCACATTCTCCACAATTTACTTTCAGCAAGGCGGGGGTGTCTGGGTGGTGGGCAGCTGGTGTCTGAATCCAGACACTCATGTACAAGCTCACTGAGGGTATAAGAACAGAGGTGTACATGCAAATGTACATCACACTGAAAGCAAAGAAGCACATCCTTATTTAGATGTGCATCTGATTTTAGGACATAAATCCTCAAACAAGGAAATCTGGGACACTGCAGAGCTCCCATAAATATTTGAGACTGTGGGGCAGAAAGCTCTGAAGAAAAACAGCACTTGGTTTCAAACATCCCTACTTCAGCGGTTTTCAATGTGTAGGCCACAGAAATACAGAACACCTTGAACACAGACAATCCTTTACGCCGCTACTCAACTGGACCAGCCTAAAACCAGTAGGAAGAGATTCTCTGAGAAAGCAATGGAAACACACTGAATAAAAAACCCAAAGCTACCTTGTTCCAACCTGAAGCAGAGAGAGCGTTTTGCAGCTTCCATCTCAGGGCTTGGATTATCTAGAACATGGCGACACCACTGCAAAGGGGTCAGTGATTTTTCTTGGGGTACGATGCTCTTTGTTGGTGCAACATACAACCTAAACAGAATCAAAGAAAAGCTTTAGCACAACACATAAATTTGATGCTTCTAACGGAAGATGTACAGCTCTACAAAATCAGAGACGGTGGCATATCTCAAATTGAGATTAATAATAAATAACAATAATAAAATGTACTCTCATTCTAAGTGGTTTATAATTACTATGTTTGGAGTGTACAGCCTTGAAGGCAAGCCTCAAATAGGTCCGGAACTGTATCTAAAGTAAATAGCTTTCAGAAAAAACTACAGTCCTATTTAGTGGTCACGTACATAAAGTTAAACAACCCTTCCCCAACATGGTACCTTCCAGATGTTGTTAGAACTCCCATCATCTCCAGCCATTGGCCATGCTGGCTGAGGCTGTCTGGGAGCGGAGTACAATGTCATCTACAGGGCACCAGGGTTGGGAAGGATGGCTGTGCCACAGTGAAATCCAGTTTTCGGCTAAGCACATAAAACATGTTGGTATAATCTGAGAGTTCAGAAAATTCTAGAATACTGAACTCCATTCTAGATGTTAATTCCCTATTTGTGCAATTTACTGGAAACACAATTCTGTACTTACCTTTTGGTCCCCTATCTGCGACTGCTACCCTTTTCAGAGTGCATATCGCGAGTCCCTCTAACTGAAGAACAGTAAGCCTGAGATGTGCATCTGGAGTGTGAAGGGGCATATTCAACATCTAATAATAGCTCCTCTCGTCATATTCTTCCGAGTGAAGAGTTGCTTGTTAAGGATTTCAACATAGGTAAGCAGACAGAAGCTTTTTAATACCTTGGGTGCCATCCAGAGAAAGTTAAGCACTCTTAACTCGGACAAAAACAAGTTAAGAACTCATCAGGAGTCTTTGTACAGATTACGTGGCCATAAGCCCAGGTTCATGTCCAAGTATATACTAGACAGGGAGCTGCAGCCAATCTTAACTCAGAGAGGTTAAAGAATCACATGACTAGAAGGGAAAGGTCATCTAATTTAACCCCCATGCAGGGAATTCCGCTTCTACAGCACCCCTGTCAGAGGCCAAGGCCTCTACTTCAAAAACCTCTAATGCCTAAGAGTCTACCATCTTCTGAAGACAATCTGTTGCATGGTTGAACAACTTGTACCCCAGGAAGTTTCTCCTAACGTTTGGTGGAAATCCTCTTCCCTTGTAAATTGGACCTGTTGGTTTGGGTTCTACTTTCTGAAGCAATATATATATATATAAATAAATTTGCTCCATCCATGTGAAAGCCCATCAAATATCACATCACCTCTCAATCGACTTGTGATTTTACCACCCTAGATTAAAATGAACTCCATCCTGCCATCTTGTTGTAGGGTGGTTTTGGGGTAGGTGGGTGGGAAGAGGAAGATTCCCCTCTTCCATGAACCATAAAAGTGGGTGAAGGATGAAGGAAAGGGCTGCAGTTAAGAAAACTGTGAACTCTGTCGACACTAAGACTTTAAGAATGAAGGTCAAATGTGGCCCTCCAGGAATCTCTGTCCTAACTCCTCCCTGGTGCTGTTTTGCACACTCCTTGAGCGTTCTTGCCAGGCTAGAACACACGTTGGAACTACACTGGCAGCTGTCATAAGGATATTTGGAATGAGGCATCAGTAATATGTGGATGACACCCAGCTGTCTCTCCAATCCACTGGAATAAGGAGAGGAGGTTGAAGTGCTAGACTGCTCCTTGGAGGCAGTAATGGGCCGGGTACAGGCCAATGAACTGAAGGGGAATCTTGAAGAGGCAGAGGGGTTATGCGTTCCAAGTTCTTGAGTCCAGGAGGAAGATGGCTTCTCCTGGGCAGGTTACACTCCCCTGGATGGAGCAGGTTCATAGCTTGGGGTGCTACTGGATCCAACACTGTTGCTGGAGACTGGGCAGGCTCAGTGGCTAAGCACACCTGTTTCCATCTCCAGCCGGTTTGCCAGCTACAGAGATTGTCACTGTTCTCCATGCTCTGATAATCTACAGACTGGACTATTGCAACGCAATTGGACCCCCAAGGATGTACTCTACAGGGAGCTGACTTCAGGAACCAGGTTCATTGGCAGACCAACTCTGTGTTGTAGAGTTGTCTGCAAACACAACATGAAGGCTGGCAACATTAATATTGCAATGTGGGAATCCTTTGCAGATGACTGTAGTGACTAGAGACAATCATTTAGGTTGTGTATCAGTAACCAGAGGAGGAATGACTGTTGGGAGAAGCACAGCGAGAATAAATGTCATGGTACACCTGTAGCAGCAAAACTAGACATCTTCATCTGCCCCAGATGCAACAAAACATGTCTCTCCCATAGCAGTCTTTACAGCCACAGCTGGTGCTGAAACTCAACAATGGTTTGACTTCACCCCTGAAGCCACACTCTTTCACTGTCTCCTGAGGCAAACGGATGTCAACCATTAACCCCAAGGTTCATTCCCCCATGGCTATCCCTCCACTCCCCACAGACACTGCCCATCCCCCACAGCAATTTGAAAGGCCAAATGTTAAACAGAAGAAGTGATGCAACCATATTATCTATTTTACATAAATCATTTTTAAGAAATCAACCACATACACAGCTTGGCTTTTCTTTTTTAAGATGAATGCACAAAGCCCAAAGAAATCAGAAATTGTTGCTGTTTAGTCGTGTCCGACTCTTCGTGACCCCATGGACCAGAGTACGCCAGGCACTCCTGTCTTCCACTGCCTCCCACAGTTTCGTCAAACTCATGCTGGTAGCTTCGACAAACTGTCCAACCATATCATCCTCTGTCGTCCCCTTCTCCCCAGACAAATGACCCACATTGAGAAGGTCATTATGTGGGAGGGAAAGGAAGGGGCAGGCTACCTTGGGAGATTAATAGTAAACTCCAGCTGCAGCCACAGGATGGAAGCCCATAGGTTTTGAATGTCTGATGTTCTATTGTGTTTGTATATTTTGCTGGAAGCTGCCCTGAGTGTCTAGGGCAACCCAGTCAGATGGGTGGCTAATAATAATAATAATAATAATAATAATAATGGCTTGCACCAACTTAGCATCCACTAGGCTTAGATCAGTAAGGTGGGTCCTGGGCTGAGCCAGAATGGGAGAACATATCTCCAGCAAAGCCAAGGATGTGGGAGTTAAGCTGGCCTGGCTGTGCCAGGAACCTCCTGGCTTAGCTGGAGAGCCACTGGATCCTAATCCACTCACCCCAGCAGAGCTTGCTACAGGATTGCTCTCTAAACAATGCAGCCTTTGATTTATCTCGGGTAAAAACTGATCTATTCTACTGCAAGCCTCACTGAAATCTACAGGCCAGTTGCCAATACAGTCTAGAGTCCTCTGTAGACACCTCCATGCTGCAGTCTTCAAAGGAAGAAATACAGATATGTTTTCTGGACAAACAGTTCGCGATATGCAACTGCCAACATGTCTTCAAGATCAAAGTTTTAATGCCAAGAGCTAAATGCAGAACCTGACCAGAATTCAGAATAGCAGCCCTTGGAGACTAGTTTTAATCAAAACAGGAGTTTCACAGTGTGAGCCTATGCATGACTACTGAGAAGCAAGTCTCATTTAGTTCAATGGGACTTATTACCTAGCCAAGGTCTAGCCTAGCAATATAGCAAAGACAGCTCTGCTGTGGCAGAGAATCCTCCTCCTTATTCAACACTTTCCCGAGTCTAGAACAATTTGCAATTAACACCTGTTCATGCTCCAGCTCCATGAGAGAGAACGGGTGGTGGTTACAAGTTATAATTTGTAATAACCTTGAAATATGCCTACTATTAAGTATGAGCTGGTGTTTGCACAGTTATTTCCAGAATCTCATAGAAGTTAATAGACTTCACTGCTAATTAAGCTAGAAATAAAGGACATCTATATACCAATACTGATTTGAGTCTTTCTGTGCACTTACCACTTTACTGATGCATTAGAGATACAGGCAGACTTTAGGATTAAAAGACCCCTTAAGAACACATTCCACCAATACTCAATGGCATGGAGCCAACAAGGGACTGAGGAACAGGAGGTCGGAGAAAAATAGATATGCAAGTTCAGAAAGAACCAGTTCATGATCTGGATAGATCACATCCTTGTGCACACTTAGGAGCTGTTTTTCCCCCAATGTCCCCAGGGGCTGAGGGGAGAGCTGTCCGTACACATCAGTAAAAAAAATTAACAGAGAACAAGTGCAGCACCTCACTGCTCTGCCATCCATGAACCAGAATGGAGAGTTGTGAATCTACAAATAGCCCACCTGAGGACTGAGCCGGGGGCTGGTCTTAATATTAGGCAGAATATGTCTGCAATCTCAATTAGCTGGCTTTGAGTGCCACAAAAGGAAAGCAAACTGTTAATTGTTTAAGTAAGTAAACAACTATTATTCCAACTTTACTCTTGGGAAGTGGTACCTGCAGGATTTTTCTGCCTTCAGTGCCAAAACAACTTGGCTGGCCTGTGACACAATGCACTTTGTCTGGTGGAGGTGGGTGAGAGATGACAGGAAACAAAAGGTCCCAGGCCAGTTCTGGTCCAATCAGAAGAGGGGGAAGAGAGAGAACTGAATGCCTGCTAAGGTAAGGTTACCAGATTTTTTCCAATGAATCCGGGGACACTTTTCAACTTCAATGGATTTTGTATGAGGACTGATTTGTAAATCCGGGGACTGTCCCTGGGAAACGGGGACGTCCAGTTATGTTAAGGTGGGGTGTGGAGGAGAGTGAGAATGATGGAAGAAAAACCAGGAGAGGAAGTGCGAACTGAGAAAAAGTTCCCGAACAGAAGCACTCCACAAGGCAACGTCTTGTTGCAGGACCCCAGCTGCTGACCTTTAATTGTCACTGTACTCTCGTTTTCCTCCATAAAGTAAAAGTAAAAACTGGCTATGTAACCACAGGTACAGCCCAATCCAGGGTATGTGTATTAATAAGGAAAGCCCTTTGATTTCAGCTGTTACAACCCTCACTCATCCTGGCTAGGACAAAAGAAGAAGAGAAAAGTTTGGATTTGATATCCCGCCTTTCACTCGCTTTAAGGAGTCTCAAAGCGGCTAACATTCTCCTTTCCCTTCCTCCCCAACAACAAACACTTTGTGAGGTGAGTGGGGCTGAGAGACTTCAAAGAAGTGTGACTGGCCCAAGGTCACCCAGCAGCTGCATGTGGAGGAGCGGAGACGCAAACCCGGTTCCCCAGATTACGAGTCCACCGCTCTTAACCACTACACCACACTGGCTCAGGTGGAGAGGCAGTAGAAAAGGCAACTTGGGAAATATTTTTGCTTAATAATGATATTGGAAAGCTGTTACATCCAGATACAAGGAAACTCAGAAGGGAGGGACTAGGGGAAGTCAATAATATGTTTATAAGGTTGGATCTTTAAAGAACTAAGCTTGTTTTTATTGTTTGTTTGTGTATTGTTTTCTTCTTTGATGTTTTGTTGTTTTTTGTTTCTGTTTTTGTTTGTTAGTTTGATAGGCGATATTTGTTATAATTGTGGAAAATTTAATAAAAAATTTATTAAAAAAAGAAAAAGAAAAGGCAACTTGGAGCTGGCATATCAGACTGGAATTGAGCCCCATGTCATCAACTGATGTCAGAGGGGGCAGTTCGGGATCCAGCAGATCCCAGGCTAGCTCAACCCTTTCCCATCCTGCCACCAAAACACTAGGGAAGCCCACCAGCAAGAAGAATGGTATCTTTGTTCTTTCTCCTCTGGAACTTGGATCATTGCTCCATTGACTTCCTGACCAGTAGCAGTTCTGCGGGGTCTTTGCCAGTTCTGCTATCTGAAATTTGTTAACTGGAATGATTGATCCCTGTGCTTTCCGCATGCAATGTGTCAGCCACCTGAAAGTCATCTCTGGAAAACCACCAGGGGGTGAGGAAGAACCACCAATTACCTTCAAATTTCAAAATATTTGCTGCCTGCTCGCCAGGGGTGATTATTACTTACTGCAGGCAACCGGGAGCACAGTTCCACATGCCTATTTACAAAGAGTAAACTATGATTGCTTGGTGGTGAGAAAAATACACTCTGTGTATGTTCAGATGTGCTTCACATTTTCCATGACTGAGCCTTGATTTTTATTTTTATGTGCATCTGAGCTCTCCCTAGTTACCACTAACTCAAGTCCATTTGCAGGTCAGTTACCTTAGAAATGCAGCCTTAAATCAAGGCACTTTACAGCACCGAAAGCACACACCCCACTGAATTTTGGGAAATGCTCCTTTCTGTCTTCATATATAACTGCACCTAGTTGATTTCCACCAGTCCTATTGCCAGTTACAGTGATACATACTCTACAAAATTGTATGTAGCCCCCTGGAATTAAAAATCATGAATGCATCTATTAACCACACTGGATGTGAGCCAGTTAGAATTAAATACATGTAAATGCCACTGATTATAATGGGGCAGAGAGAGAATGAGGCAACTGCTGCCTCATTCTCTCCTATCAAAATCAGTAGGATTTAAATGTGTTCAGCTTCATGTGGATTGACATCCATTCACAAGAGCAGATGTGTGTTTTGTGCGTGTGCAAACAGAAATCATTTGCATTGACATATATTCTGTACTATATACTTTGAAAAAATGAGGCACATCAAGCTTGGGACAATTATGAAGTATTATTCTCCGTACTTGGAAAAAGTGGTATAGAATTAATTTTTTAAAAAAAGAAAAGGTAACATTAACACAATTCCATCCTACAATGCATCAATCTTCAACTGGTGGGTTGAACTGTGATGTACAACTATGTCACAACTAGAGTCAAGGTGTGTTGCACCAAAGTGACTAACATTTTGGGGTTTTTTGAATTTTTAAGAAAAGGAGCAGGAAACTGATAGGGAGAGCGCAGAATGACCAGAGTAGAAGAGAAAGACAGATTACCAGAAAGGACTATATTATACATGAATGTATTTAAACCCTAACAGCTGCTTCTTCTAGCAGAAAAGAGGATTTGGAAGGAGGCAATTTTGAGTGAATAAGCTGTTTTGCGCCTGTGATTGAGCATGCATGTTCACACTTAGCCCTTCTTCCACCTGACACTTTGTTTGCAGCTCTCCCCACCCCACTCCTGCAAGGGTTCCAGATGCATTTTTGAGATGCAAGCATGCATTACAGAACCCACTGGGGAGGTGGCATCTTGGGCTGAGGGGAAATTGTGGTGGTAGGAAACTGGCGAAGGAAGGAATACTCAAGCATTCCTCCCCCCACGCTTCCCTGGAAGAAGCAGCCATCAAGATTTGAATATACAAACATTTTTGTTTAATATATAGCTTGCCCCAGAGAGAAATGAGAAGCACAGATAAAGAAGAATCAACAACAAGAAATAAAATGAGTGGATTTCTGTTGCAGACAAGAATTAAAACAAGGGTCTGAAAAGACTGAAGGTTGCTGCTACCATCTCTGCAGTATTTTTTTAACAATGGGAGGGGGCGGTTTGCAGGCTACTTCGACTGTCACACTTTACACAGTTTGCTGCAGCTGTATAAATCACTGGTGCTACCTCCATTTTCATTCTGCTTCCAGAGCTACTCGCAGCTTCGCTTCACAAAGCATCCATTCAGGAGCAAGCAGCAGCCCTGGCGGATAAGGGTTGCTGACCACAGTCCTGAAATCCCTTGTGATCTTTTCAAAGCAATGGGATCTCAAGCTTCCACAGAGGCATCAGTACTAACGAAGCGTCATTTTCAAGGCATTCCCCATTATCTTCATTGCCATTTATGACATGCGTAAAATGCTAATTCATAAGATGCATCAAATAAGCCCCACTGATTGCCTTTGGGGGTTAACTAATTGGATGCAAGCTTTGAACAAAACCACATTTTTTTGCATGTCAGGTTTCCCTCCTCCTCCAAACTGCCAGAGCGGCGTTTAAATGTAGTATCTCAGCAGCACTGCTCAACAAACGTTAAGGTGCTCAACCAAGAAAAAAAGGAGCAAAGAATGAAAAACACGTTCCGTTCAAGCCATTAACTCCATTCTGACTTCCTTCTCAGAATATAAACTATTACTTGGCTGCTGCCCCCCAACCGTTTTCGGCGATAATCAAAAAGGCTTGTGGTGGGAAAGGATTTTCTGTGGGTGCAATGAAAGCTTATAACCATTCTAAAATTTGCTCAGGTGTCGGAAGACCTCTGTCTGGATTTGCTGCAACCAACGGCTTACCCCTCTGGAAATCACATTAAATGAGAACATGCCATTGCCTTTGAGCGTGATCTACTTGATCAGCCTAGTGCAAGAAGACAACAACTCCATTCTTAACACCCTAGTCATTAGGCCGGAGCGTTTCTGAAGGATTCGGGGTGGGGTAGGACCCCATAAATTTAAGCATGCAGCATGGGCAGGATATTCCTAAACAAGCAGGATCAAGGAGGCAAATCCTGGGCTTGTGGGAAGCAGGAAGCGACAATACGAGTCCCCTAAGCGAGTCCCCCTTGGCGGGGGAAGGAGTTAATAATGATGACCGAGGAGACGTTAAGGGGGTGAAAAAGGCTGATTTAAATCGCTGCGAAACAGGATCAAGGGGGATTGCGGAGCTAATGCTAATAAGGCAGCCTTGAAAAGCGCCAGCTGGGGAGAGAGGAGGGGGCTTTCCTTGGAAGGGCCCCAGGCGATGAGCAGGGGAGGGGGAACCCTTTCCTTCGATGAGGATGCAAGCAATAACATTTTTATTATTATTTATATGCCGCCCATCTGACTGCGTTGTCCCACTCCGGCGGGGGGGGGGGGGGTTGGATCTGGAGCCTGCCTAGAAATGCACCCGAGTGGGGCACCCACCACGTCTCGTCGTCGTCGTCGTCCTCCGGATCGCAGCACTCGACCCCCTGCAGATCCAGCACCTCCACTTCATCCAGGACGGTGTCGGCTGGGGGAGAGGCTTCGTGGCCTCCGGGGCGGCAGCTTCCTCCTTCTCCTCCTGCTCCTCCTCCTCCGGGGGGCGACGGCTTGAAGTAGACGAAGGGCTCGGCTTGGCACAGGAGCGCGGGCACCGGGCTGGGCATGCAGGCCGTCGGGGAGGTGCTGGGGGTCGCGGCGGGGAGCAGCAGGAGCGCGGCGGCGGCGGCGGCGCTTCCCGGCGAGGCGGGCGAGGTGGCGGCCGCCCGGCTGCGCAGCTGCTCGTTCTGCTTCTCCAGCTTGCGCACCAGCTCCTGCAGCTTCTTCACCTCCAGCTCGGCGCTGACGGCGCCCGGCTTCACCTCGGCCACGAGGGGCTTCAGCACAGCAGCCTCCATCCCTCCGCCAAGGAGGCTGCAGACGCGGCGCCTGCCCGCCCGCCTGCCACCTCCAAGACGCGCCTGGCGCGCAGCGGCGCTCGCTCGCTCGCCCGCCTCCCCACCCTCCGCCGGGCCGAGCGAGGCGCACAATGGGAACAAAGCAGGGCGGGGAGAGGCTAATGAGCGGCGCGCGGGGCTCTGGGCCTGCGCGGAGGGAAGGGGAGCGCGCGCGCGAGGAGCTGGGAAGCGGGGCGGGGGGACGGCCAGACGCCGCCCCCCGTGCAGGGAAATGGTTCCCCCCGCGTCTGCGTTCGTTCGGTGAGGAAAGGGGTCGTGGAAGTCCGGTTGAGAGGGGTGGGTGCCGAAGCACGTTCAGACGTCCCGTTCTGGCGTGGCCAAGAAGAGAAAGGGCGGGAAGGGGCACGTGCTGAGGGCGAGTTAGTGCCAATGGCGACGTTTCCTAGCAGGGCTGACGAGGGGGGGGCGGGGGAGGGACAAACTTTGAGGGAAGAAAAGCCGTTATTTATTTTGAGGTATTTTTTTTAAGGCGCCGGCTTGTTGGGGAAATATAATAGCGGTTATTTTTAAATTACATTTCTATCCCACCCAAAGCAGTGCAGGATTTAGGGCAGTGCGGGTGGTTCCCTCACAGAGGACGCTGGATTGAAGAGGTGCATAATAATAATAATAATACCTATATTTATCTTTATAAATACTGAGAAGTTCCAGTAAAAAAGCAATGCCAAAAGGAATCATTGTGAAACCAAGGGTATAGGGCGGTATATAAATTCAATTAATAATAGTAAAAATAATAATATTGAGGGGGGAGGACAAATTTTGCCCTCTCTCAAGGTGCCATGTTACCAAAGTCTGCCCCCACCCAAAGGAGCCCAGGGTGGCAAACACATTAAGCGATAAAATAATTGAAACATCAAAGAGCTTTAATACATTCATAAAATATGAGGTAGCTGACCAACACTGAATCAAACTGGATTATCTAAAAACACTTGGTTATTATTCGTGATTGTTTAACCCATGCTGTGCAGGAGGGTAATGGGCTGTGGCTGAAATCTCAGGGAAACAAATGGGGTGGAAGTAAATTTTGTGCGGTGGGGATTGCAAGCCCTGGCTAACCCTTGGCATTGTCTCTGCTTCTCAGCGGACCTCCGAGCCTCCTGAATGCATGTGAGGCAAGAAGGCTGCTCATACGCTGAGCCACTGTTTGGAAATGGCATTAAAGCAGGACGGGGTGTCGGTTGTGCAACTCTAGCCAAGCAGCGCACCATGCTCTCTGGCAACCGAATGGAGCAGTAACTCTGGGCTCTGTGCATCGTGATCAGCTTCCTACTACACAGTAGGTGCCCTTGATGTGGAAGGTTGGCAACTCTCCCTGCCACCTTGCTGCCAACAGCAATTTTTGTGCTGCTCACCGCAGCCTGGTATTCTGATGTTGAGAACAGGCAAAGTGGTTCCTAGCATGGAGATCAAGTGATGGGGGAAGCAGCCTGTGCTTAATGTCTGTATGCTGAAAGTGCAGAAGCAAGGTCTCTGCAAAAGCAAAGTGACCCAAAAGTTTAGATTAGGTTGCAACTTTGGTTGATATCCAGTGCTAGTTATCTACAGAGCAGGACCCAATGAAATTCATTGATTCCAGTAAATCTGCTTGGCTAGCTTATGCCCACTTGCCACCTGGGAGTAAGCCCCAGCTGAGCTCAATGACTTTATGAGTAGCCGTGTCTAGGATTTGCACGTCGTTTCCAGTGAAATATGATAGCTGTGACTAACTCATCCCACTGATTTCAGCTGGAATGAACTGTTACTTAGGCTGCAATCCTGTACAACCTTACCTGAGAACAAGCGCAATCTTACTCTCAAAGGCACATACTTCTGAGTAGACATTATAGGATTGTGCCTTTAGTCTGGATACAACCCACAGTAAAATCAGAGTTCAGAAATTATCCCATTCACAAGTGTTTCTAACAATCATTTGGTAGCAAGGTATACTTGCATAAAACTATGGAAAGCTGGCATGTTGTGTTTTCTTTGCTTAGTCTCTGGGACAAGACTTACTCAGACGTATGGAAGCTTTGGCCCTCAATATGCTGCTAAACTACAGTACCCATCACCCCTGGCCATGCTTGGTGGGGCTGAAGGGAGTTGTTGTTCAGCAACATCATGAAGGCCTAAGGTGCCCCATGCCTGGACTGGATGGCCTTGAGAAACAGTACTAAAAACTATTGATCCAAATGCACCACAAAAATGTAGGCTTATATCCATTGCTGAATTAGGAAGCTCCCAGAATTACGTTCCTTCAAAAAGGGGGAGAAAAGATAACAAACCATATAATTAGAAGCTGAAACTGCTAATTTCAGTGTTGTAATTATGCAAATATAACATTGCTGAAACACAAATCACCAATATAGGTTGATTGTTTTAAATGACTGATAACCTAAAGGGAAGCTGCACGTGTGCTTTCTATACCCAATCATTTGGAGGGAAGAGGTCCTTTTAATTCATATGTATTAACATGCAATGATTCCATTGTAGATGCACTGTAGACAAAGAAACACTGGAAAGATAAGAGTTTCATATTCTAAGACTGTGTTTTCATGAGCAAAATGCTAACATTGGGAATAGAATACACATGGTTAGGATGGTAATTAAATTGCATTTACAAAATGCTTTTTTGTTTAAAAATACACAAAATGTACAATAAATCAAATAATGGATTTGATTTCTAAAGAGCTAACTCAACAGAATGTATCTTTCTTATAAATGAATAGTTTTGCACCGCGATTGCAATTTACTCAGAACTGTTCATTGGAGTTGTCCTGAGGGTTATGAAGTCCGGGTCATCCAGACTCAGTGGACAGCATGTTGTAATTTATTTTCACAGTACAATACTTTGCAGATAAAATTGCACGCCTCCACCTCAGTCTGAAAGCCAGTTTTGTTGCAACTAAGTTGCTGGCTGCTACTCAGAAGGCATCTTGTTTGGGTTCAGTGGATCAAGATATTGTTTTTAATCCTGTAACAGACCCTGGGACCTTACGGCGAAGGGCGGAAAAATCAATCAATCAATCAATCAAATCATGTCCATAAAGTGCACATTTAGTCATTCTTTGCTGGGGGAAGATGTCCATATAGGTCTGGAAGTTACTAATGCCTCTTTAAGAGATAAGATGGTCCCAGCTGCTTGGACCACTCCCCAAAAAATTCTCTGAAAACCTGAAAATTGTTCTAATTGCTGGCTAGTCTCAACTCTCCACATTTTGGTTAAAAGTTCCCAAACACTCTTGAAGGACACATTATGTGGATCCATTTCAGTCTGGCATCTGGCCTGGGTTTAGTCCTGAAACTACATTGGGTGTCCTGATGGACAACCTGCGCTGGGAGAAAAAGGAGAACCATGGTGACCTTTCTAATTCCCCTGGGCATCTCAGTGGTTTTCGATATCATGGGCCAAGGTATTTTTCTGGACTGTCTAGGTTAGCGACTGGGAGTATAGAAAGCACCCATGCAGCATACAAATGTGAAGCTAAGGGCAATCCTAACTTGCTGGATAACTTTGGCTCAACCCAGAAGGAAAATACCCACACAACTTTTGTGGTAGCAAATACCAGAAGACGTGCAAGAGCTGTGCGCCATGGCATTTATGCTATGCAAGACAGAAGGACCAAATATTGTCTTCTGTGCTATTTCACATCTACCTCATGGTTGGGGAACCTTCAACCCATGAGCCAAAGTTATCCAATGAGTTCAGATTGCCCATAGCTGGACCTTTGTATGCATTCACCGTCTAGTCTTTTCCTTTTCTATCCTATCTGGGATCAGTTCTCATAGGGCAAAAGAATCTATTCAGCATATCCTGAGAGGTGTGGTGGCAATGGCGGGACTCAAATGTTCTCATTATTTCAATATTTATTTATTATTACCATGTCCGTAATAAAACCAACCCGTATGTTACGCCATGTTTAAATAATGCATAATCTTGCATTCTTGCTATTCGATTATTGCGAATGTATCTATCATTATGGACACTTATGTGTTGCTTAATGGGTAGTTTGGGATTTGACAATATAACTCCATAATGTCCCTTTAATGACGGTTTGTTTCCTCAGTGAGTTGGTTTGCTTTATTGTCTTGATTGGCTGTTTGGGCTTCAGGAGTAAGTGGTGGCAGTATGGGGGCTGAAGGCTGATATGCCTGTCAGAAGTAGCACAGCTGCAGAATTTATTAACCATGCTGGCCCCTATTAGCCTATTACACCTGGCAGGTGATGTAACATCCTTCACAGCCTCCCAATACCTTATGGAACAGGTGTGAGGCATTTGGTCTAAGGTATACACAGTTCCCTGATGGGGCCTGACCTTTTGACATAACAGGAGGGGGAAGTAATCTATCTTGCTTGTGCTATGTTATTCTGCTTAACGACTGCTCCACTGCTTTTTATTATGTATTCAAGCCTGCTACTTAATAAAAGCACTGAACTTCTTTCCGCTAGAGGCGTTATTGCCCCAAATCCAAAAGAACTATTGCATTTGGCAAAACAACATATTGTTCTGCCTCAGGTCTCCTGGCCTCAGTCAGGTTGTGAAGCTCACTGGGTGACCTTAGCTAGTCACTGTTTCTCAGCATCTACTGCCTCACTGGGTTTGTGAGAGGACAGAATTTGGTTTAGTCTGACATATACCAGCCTGAGCTCTTCCAAAGCAAATGGAATAAAGACAGACACACCCAACGTACGAAGCACAAAATGCCACAATGGGCCAAACATGCAACACATAAAACCTGGCATATAGAATAACTTCATCACCAACACCAGCTTCACAAATGAATACTTTAGTAGTGTAGAACCATGCTCTGCTTTTTTAAAGTTAGGACCATCCTCTCTCCACACAGGAAAAACCCAGGCAGGGGAGAGAGTGGCAAAATGAATGGCCTTTTTTCTGTTCTGATTGATTCCTTTCCTTTAGGAATTGTGCCTTGATTAGTAAAATAAAGAAGTAGTTTCATTATGTGAATGGGAAAATGGACTTGATGAGTCACAGATATCCCTATAATTTATGAGAGCATTCTTCAATGTGGCTAATTTAATCTGTTATTGAAGAAAAACCATTCGTTAAAACAGCTGCCAGCAAACCATTCCTTTGAGGACTCCATCATAAAAACATCCAAAGAAAAATGAAAGCCTCAAGGCAAGTGATATGTAAAACAGATGTAAAAAGAACTCCTGGGTTGTGGGGTTTTTTTTACATCAGCATTGAAATGATACCCCCCCCCCATTTTTTTGTTTTTGTTTTAAATAAGAGATTGTGTATCACTATCCCATCCTATAATGTTATACATTCCAGAATCCATTAAAGCATCCTTTATTTCATGGCTCAGTTATTAGATAACCCATAATAAGAGCAATAAAACACAACATGGTGCAGTTACCACAGCTGCTTAGCAAGGATTCGTAAGTGTGAACCAGCCCTTATGGTTCATGCCTTGCTGTGTTCTTGTGGAAAAACAAGCCATAGCCGGCTTATGGTGTCGACGGTCTTTGATCAAAACCTTGCAGAATAGATGCTCCCAAACATCTTTAATTTTTGAATCACTCGAAGGGCAAAAGAGCTCACGTTCTTTCTCAATGGCCTAGTGAAAACACTGGCTGCAGCTCTCCTCCAAAGCCTACATTCACCAAGGATGCCAAAATAAAATGTCATCCAGTTGAGATCAGGCTTTAGAGAGAGATTTTTATTGCTAGGGGGAGAAAGGCTTACAGTGTGTTAGGTCCTACACAGTATGTGATTTTGACGTAACCAATTAGCCATGCTTAGAAGCCGTGCAACGTAGAATCAGTTAGGAAGGGTGCTTGTGTAAATTGCATGTAAGCGGCTACACACATTGAAGGGGCTGCTCTCCCTGACATCTACACACTGGGCAGGGAGCATGCATAGTCTTCCACAATAACTAGAACTCCAGTGGCACAGATTTCCAGCTTGCATGGAAAGTCTACAGGCATTGAGATTTGAATGCATGGGGTTTCCATACATTGTCTGTGGACATCAGTGTTTGAGTTCAGTGAAGTGCTGGGGACAGGCCAGCAATGCAGCCCTGCTGTGGCCTAAGTTGTCCAGAAATGGCTGTGGTCCTGAGGAATGACAACATTTCTTAAATAGAGAGGCAGGGAAATCTCTGAAAAGGTATCTCTGCCTGACAGAACACAATGCATGCCTGGTAGACTGTGTTCAGCAAAGTACATATAATAAAATATCACCTTCTGGTGTGGTTTTCGGTATTCTGACTATTTTTACCCATCCTTGTGGAATTATATTTCACTTTGAAAAGAGCTTCTAATTGGCTTTCCTCCTTCCCCACTGCTGATAAATCTCCCCAGAGCAGTCTGTTATGTACATACTTTGAAATTCGGCGCTTCCTTTGAAAAATGTATTATTCCCTAGTCACACTTGATCTTTAGTAATCTTTATTGGAAAGATTCAGGCGGGGGAAAATCAATTTCAAACAACATTGATATGAGAGACAAGTAACAAATAAAATAACTGTACAACCACTTCTTTTTCCAATGTCACTGAGACACTATTCTATGTGGATTATTTTTAGGATTGTATATGAACAAATAGACTTTACTATGCACTAAATGGTAATTTTAATGGCTGCATCGCAATAAACCTCAAGCTCACACACTTCCACCCCCAGAACAATCATGGAGAAACTGGAAAACTTTACTTCCATTTTTGGAACCACCAGGGTTTAGCATTCTGTCCAAACCCTAAACTTTGGTTAATTTTAACTATGGCCTGTGAAGGAAAGCTAGTTCCATAGCCCATGCTATTAATTTGGCTTGTTTCAAACAAACAATAGTTAAGGTTCATGGCAATTTGTCTGGTTCACATGAAACAAGCAGCACTTACCGTAATCAAAAATGGAAGCAAGAGCATACAGTCTCCTTTGTTCTAATCACAACCATGGTTTATCTCAGAATGTCTGGATTCAACCAGGATCTTATTTTTAAAAATCTTTTATATCTTTAGTTTAATAAGTTCTACATAACAGCGAACTTTCTCTACTCTTTATCACTAGTGAAGTTAAGCTGTTTGCATGCACTAAGATTGACAAAAGAGAGGAAAGAATTCATGTTTACAATTCTATACAATTGTAAATCCATGAGTTTTAAATAAAACACAGTGCAAGCTGAGTCCCAATCCTTAGAATATTTATCTCTCATATGTGGAAGATGAGTGTTTGCATGATCATTGTATCTGCAGTAGATTTTAATGGAGATGGGCTGAAACTTTCCAAGCCAAATATATGTATGTATCCACCAGGGTGTCCAGTCCCTGCTGCTGCTTCTCTCACAATCACCACCTTAGCTCACATTAGCATTTATTTCAGCTGCCATACTACTCCATGCAGAGGTCCTGCCTAAAGCATAACTCATTCATTGCCTACTCAGCCCAGTGATTACCGGAAGACCTCTATACCACGGGTGAGCAACCTACAACCCTCAACCTCATTTTGTGCACTCCATCACTTCCTGAAATCGACCCCTTTCTGCCATCCCATTAGACCGCCTTCCTGTTTGTTTCCCTGATTTTTTAAAAAAAGTGTTTCCTCCTGCTTCCTTTCATTGCAGGTTCAGTACAATTGGAAGGGGAAAATAATTTGATAAGAACAAATTGATGCCTTAAAAAAATGTTTGTCCTGGTTGTATGGCTTAAGGAAAAGACCTCCCCTTCCCTGCTGCCATGGGTTTGCATAGGGCACCCATGTCAAAAAGGAATTACTTTCACTTGCTTTCCAGAATAGGAGCTGTATCAATTACTGTGTTGAATAATAATAATAATAATAATAATTAATAATTCTGTACTCATTTGAAAGTAACCCCCTCAAACTCAGTGGAGCTTACTTCTTAGTAGAGCGGAATAGGATTGGGAATTCTGAGACAGCCACAGAAGCAAAGCAGTCTTTATTCTTGATTAGTTAACCCAGGACATTTTTGTCTCTCTGCCCATCATTGGTTCTGTCCATGCTCCCTGCAGGAATGTGACCTCCCCCCGCCCCCTGACAGATTACCTCTGAGCAACTATGGCCCTGGAAAGAAAATAGTTTACTAACCCCTGATCTAGCTTGTGATGCTGCAGACTGTGTTGACATGACCACTGTCTCCTCCTCTGTGTATCTGGGGAGAGGATGTGGTTGCATGGTAGAATTCTGTGGATGCCCCCAATCTGTCCCATGATCAATCCATCATTGCTTTATTTACTTTTCTTTTAATTGCCTGGGAACTGCAGAAGGTCAACATGCAGACCTGTCCATGTGGCCATTAGGCCGAATAAGATGGTTGGTTTTGGCAGCAGGCTTTGGACACAATTGAAAGAGTGCCACTCACACACAGATACCCAAACAATATTGTACCTTCTGCCTCACCTAGTGCTGCTCCTATTACTTCCAGTGTAGCAGTAAAATGATGAAAGGGAGGAAGCCCTTATGTGGTAACTGTCTCATGATTTCGGTTCTGACCCACTGATTCCCATGGGACTTAAAACACAACTCAAGTTATCTGGACTGGACCCACTGAGCTGAGATGTTGTCTTAGATCTATAATGAATCATTTACAGACACAAGTATTCGGATTATAAGCACGGATGTGTGAATTGTTTCAGAATGAACAGGAACCAGTGGTCAAGAATAGCCAAGATACACTTTCACTACAATCCTATGCGTGTTTACTCAGAAAAATAAGCTGTACTGTTTTCAGTGAGACTCATTCCTAAGTAAGCAGACAGAGGACTGCAGTCTTAGACGTAGTTTTCTTACTGATAATGCACACACACATATTCTAGGCAGAAGCCACCATTCGCTTCCTTCTTTTTAGAAGTAGGGTTATAGTTTCATTTTTTCACATCTTCAAATGTCTACCATTTTTTATTATTCTTGGAGTTCTTTACTCATCCTAAAAAAGCATATGATTTTCAAAGATAAACGCATGCAGCTGATCCATCGACCTGAACTGTCTTCAGTCAAAATTAGTAGGCCCATGATGCTGTAAGGGAAAGAAAATGCCCATTAGAAACTGAAAATGTGCACAGCCTTATCAAGTCAACCATTTCAGACCAATGTGTTAAGTTTCTCTAAACACAGAGCTATTTCAGCTCCATATTATTTGAGGTATTCCAGATACTGATTGTCTTTTAAATGTGATTCTTAACATTCACTGGCGTTCAGGGATGGAAGGATCTCTCAGTTTCAGATCTCTCAGTTTATCATTTTTCCAATCTTAAATTCAGTTCAGCAGTTTGCACTTTAAAATTATCATGACATTTTACCAGCATTTTACTGGGAATTTCTCCTAATCCACACATTTTTGCACAGTTGTGACTAATGTACCCAAATTTTGCAAGCCATTCCCCCTAAAATAATGCATGTTACTATATTATCTTAACTAATGCATTCATTTTAATGTGCATTTTTACCTAATATATGCATTTTGTAAACATTGTTTGGTTAGAGAACAGTATCACAAAATTTGGATAAGTGTGAATTTAGAAGGGTAACTGTGTCTCGGTTTGCGTGTTGTTTCAGAAAGCATGAGTTTGATATATTTCTCTTTACACGCAAACTGAACTGAATTTTCTCCCTACCGGTGTTGTGAATATCAAGCAGGGAAACATATATTTGGACATTCAATAAATGTATGTTGGACTTCTGTATTCACCAAATCCTGCAATCTACAGCACCATAAACAGGAACTGAACTGAAGTGTTTCAGAGGTACTTTGAACCCCCTGGTTGTTGTTAACAACTGAACCTTCAAGCAGGTGCCCTCCAGTACAACTTACATTTAACTCTGGAATAGCATGGTTCACAATGCACCGTGTTCTTGTAAATCCAAATGCTATCTCCCGCCTTCACGTTTTCCAAAGGTGCTTTGCAGATTTCGCACTAGGAACACACAGAGTTAAACAAAAACCTTTAGTTGTTATTATTTATTTCATCAATTCTGAGATACCAACCGGGATAAAAGCTTTAGAAAGCTTGTTGGAAAAGTGTGAGCGCCTTTAGCTGGTGCCAAAAAGACAACAGAGAAGGTGCCTGCCTGATATGAAGTGGGAGGGAGTTCCAAAGGGCAGGTGCTGCCCAGCTTCAGCATTGTGCAGGACACACCTCCTGACAAGGTGGCATCTGCAGGATGTGTTTGCCTGCGGAGCACAGTGACCAGCTGGGCATGCAGGAAATGATGCAATCTTTTAGGCATCTTGTTCCCAAAGCTTTGCAAGGCTTTGTACACCAAGACCTTGAATCCAGTCCAGTAGCTAATCAGCAGCCGTGTTATGAAAATGCCTGATAGCGAGTCATCTTTAATATACGTTATGGCGTGCAAAACATGGAAGACTCACTAACATTTCAGTACAACTGAACTTAAGATCTCAGAGAAATTCAGCCTCAGGGTTTTCGCCCTGTACAAATATAGTTTTCTTTATTCTTTGGCTGTCATGTGGAGAATGCAGGATCTGTTTAAATGCCATATCCCCATGTTTTTTCCCCTTCCTCACTGCACACCGATGCTACATTTTCTTATAACTTGGTTCTACAGAAGGAAAATCAGTGTAGCAGCTTCAGGGCTAGTATACTCCCTCCGCTGTTATGGGTGCTTCCTCCAATCTGTCCCATGATGACTCCATTGTCATCTCCATAAGAGTACCAATAGCAGAGCAGCAAGAGCAGTGAATATTTCCACCCGTGGACCTCCCTTTCCATGAGACAAAGAGGGAGATCTGCCCTATCCTATCATCCTTGGGATGCCCTTCCAGGGACCTTAGGGTTGCTCTCTAATTTGATTTGAAACCCGGTGCTTTGATCAAAATTCACAATCGTCATACTACAAATCCATGCATATTTAACGACAGTTGGGTGAAAGACATGTTCCTACCTTGAAGCAAGTTGCATGACAGCAAATCTGCAAGGCATCAAGAATCATCTTTGTGTCTGTGCCCAAGGGCTTCCGGCAGTAAGTGCACATTTCTTTTTCAATAACGGCCCTGTATAAGAACAGGATTCATTGAGTGAATACTACAGTACTGGAAGGTTTCACTGTGCAAATATTCTCACTTTTCTATGCCTGCGTGAAGTTGTGACCTTCTCACCATGGCTCGATGTGCAAAGAGCAGGCTAGAACCGGTTTCAAGATTGGGTTGTCTGAAGGCATAAGGCGCAAGTCACCTGGGCAAGCCCATGAAGGGGAGCTGCATAGCTGCACTGCTAAGCTCTTGCACAGCTCTCATTCATTCAGGAAGGTAGCCAAAGCACAGATAAACAGATCACTTGGAAGAGCTGTTGCTAAACAGTGAATCTCCCAAGGCAGGTATGGGGAACCTGTGGACCTCCAGATATTGATGGAATCTGACCCATCAGCCCCAGCTAGCATGGTCCATGGTTTAGGGATAACGGTAGCTGCGGTGCAGTAACATCAAGCGACAACTTAAATGTATGAATGGACTGACACAAATCTAACACTACAGACAAATTTTCATATTCACTGACATCATCTTAGTAGTCATACCTTTTCAGTGAAATCAATTCACCCACTCTACTGCTAGCAATCTAGCATACAGTGTAGAGAATTCGAGTGAAGAATGTGGACATGTGAACGGGAAAAGCTTTCAGGTAATAATAATAATAATAAAAATTTATTTATATCCCGCCATCCCCAGCTGAAGCCGGGCTCAGGGCGGCTAACAACAATAAAATAAGACAACATTTTAAAGTAATAAGTGTAAAAACTTGGGTATGGGGCAAAACGGACAAGATGTTTCTCACTTTGATGTAAAGAGACAGTAGGAACATTCTACCACATGTGGTGGCCTTGTAGGGTTATTAAAGACTACTGGGAATTAATCCATAACGAACTGGAAAAAATGTTTAAAAGATCCTTTACGAAAAACCCAGAAGCTTATCTTCTGGGTATAATATCGATAGAAGTCTCAAAAGAAGAAGAAGCAAGTGAGTCTATTGCAACTGCGGCCATGTGGATTTTACTTGCACAAAAGTGGAGAACAGACGCAGTTCCAAAGAGCAGTAGCATCATAAACTGCTGGAATATGTGGAACTAATAGTCTATATGACTAATAGAATAAGAAACAGAGATTTAAAAGAACTTAGAGGATTGGATGTTATCTATAGAATATATGAAAAAGTATTATAGTAAGATAATGAACCTAGTGGGATGAGTATAATTCAGCAGCGTAAGTTATAACATGAGATAAAGAGAAGGAGAGAGGAAAATTTAGAACAAGACAATGTGGATAGGTTGGGAACAGAGAGGAAACTTGGGAAGGAGTGGAAGGGAAGTATATGAAAAGAAGTTTTCTTTCTTATTCTTTTTTGAACGCAACAGTTGTACTAATGTGGATCTACTAATGAAGAACTGCAGCAGAAAAGCAAATAATAGATGATAGATAGATGATAGATAGATATAGATAGATGATAGATAGATAGATAGATAGATAGATGTTTCTCTCTTTGCTTTCTTCCTCTATATTTCTTCATTCTACAGTGTTCAGTATATATACCCACCTATCAGAAGTAGAGTAAACAGTTTTGATAGATTTTCCAGGGATGTTGTCTTCGTAAGCATCATGGGGAAATCTGCTGTGATAGAAGGAACATGAGCCGAGTGATGAACAATAGGGTTTTTTTTTAATAAAAAACAACACTTTTCAAGTTTGCACTCCGACAAAGAGAGTGTATCATCAATCAACATCAAAGCCATCCACAGAGACTTGAGGGCAGACTTCAAAAATATACAGATATACAAGAAACAGTTTTAAAAGAACAGTTGGGGGGAGGAGGGCAAGATGAGACTTGTATTGCATTATACGAAAAGGGCACAAAACTTGCTTTTGCATGGCTCCCATTATTCAGCAGGGCTCATGAAGAATGAGGATTTTGCCCTCAAGGGGCTTATATCTTAAGAGTATGCTTAAGCACTTGATATTTTAGAAGTAATGGATTTCTAAAATAACAGAAAAGCACACAATAGTGTCAGATAGAGATGTCATATGTGAAACCATTCAGCAGAATGAAGACAGATAAGGCACAAGGTGAAATAAGAAAACATAAAAATGTGATGTTTTATGTTTTGCAACACTGTTCATTTATGACTCTCAGAAATTTATTGCAGAGCCAGAAAAGAGTCAATAGAAATGCTGCAATCATTGTTTACATGTTTGCAGTCCCAGCCAGGCCAGCAAAACCAGGAGATTTATGATACCCCTGATGGGTTCAACAAACATGACTGCATTCATCTTTGTGGGTCAATGCATGTCTCCCTTGTGTTTACATGCATGTATACATTCTTTCTCTCTCCACATAGATCCCAGCATTAGACATGCTAAACCTCTATAGGAATCAATGAGCTGAGCTGAGCTGTGTATTGTACTGTGGCTATAGTCTGGTAATATATATCCAGCCATTTTGTTTTAATCCCTTATCACTTGCATTTAATTTCACATTTTATTCTGGGATGACATAAAACCATATATTGTATTAGATTATCATTCATTCTATGCATTCAAGAAACCAGAATATTAGCCATGCCATAGCTGGGGGTGGGGGAAAATAACATTGCTTGTGTTTAAACAAATCATGTTTAAACTGTTATTTTTGGAATTAGTACACGAGGAAGTATTTCTGGAAAAATACGACGTGTATTTTTCAGGTACCTATTCTCATATGTCCTTGTGTACACAATTGTGTCCTTTGGACTTGAGTAACTGCTTGAGGCAATACAGCTGAAACACATACAAAAAATGAGGAGAATTTCATTCTCTAAAAATAAACATACAAAAGCGGTAAGAAAAAGCAATGTCATAAGAACAGAACAAGAGATCCCTGATGCATCAAGCCAGAGGCCTGTCTTGTTCCAGCACCCTGGTTCAGAGTGCCCAACCTGATTTAGTTGGACAGGGACACAATAGCTCTCTCCTGGCATTATTTTCAGCAACTGGGGTTTGGAGGCAGGCTGCCCCTGTTGCTGGGGGGTAGCTTATAACCACTGTGACTAGTTGCCATTGCCTCAGCCTTTAAACTTGCTGGACATCACCATAGCTTGGGTAGCAAATTCCATAATTAACACTGCATGGTGTAAAGAACTGCAATTCCATTTGTCTGCAAAATACTACAGGTTCCATTGTTCACTGTTTAGGCCCTGGTCTTGACCACATTTTTGAAACACTGGATTGATACGGACAGATGTTTAACAAATGGTAACTTAACACAGGGCACACATATTTGTTTAGAAAGCTGTTCCTGTTTCAGGTTTTACCTGATGGAGAGAAGTCGTTGGTTTTTTTTAATCACAATTCTGTGTAGGATCACGGGCGAATACAATCCTAAACTCATTGGAACAAAGCAAGAATACAGAGTTCCAAGGTGGTAGAATGGACGGTAATACTTCATACTGTGGCCAGAAAGAACTATGGGAAAGGGAGCTTCTGAGAGAAGCAGTTTGTTCTCCGATGCCTGCCCAAACAATTCTTTTAAATAAAGGGGGTGGTTTATACATGCAGAACGCTTCTCTTCCCTGAGATTTACAGACGGGCAAAGCTACGTGTGTGTCTTACCCACACTGAACTTCCCCACCTGTACTCAGAAAGAGTTGCTGGATTGGGAAAGCTGAATTTCTTCTAACACATTTTCCTTGATAGGGGTTTATAGGAGAGATAGCCTTTTGCAGCTGGGGAAAAAGGAAAAACACTCCATTTATTGGCTTAAGAATACTGTACCTGGATCCTCTTGTGTCCTGGTATAAATGGTTCATTTCTGACGGACCACCTGGAATACTGGCAGATTCATGGTCCTGCTCTGGTGCCCTGTGGAGGACAAGGTTGGAGTAAGAAAAAGAAGTCTAGCCATGATTTATCTTCCCCACCATTTCTCTATTCTTCTACTATGCATGTAGCAAAGGAGGGGGATTTAAAATATTAAAAGGGGAAAGAGGAGGGTGGGAACTTAAGAGGGGAAACTCTCAGAGGGAATGCATTCATCAAACACTGGCTACTCTGCCTTTATTTTGAATGCCTGTTGTTTTTGTGCCAGAGCCTTAAGCTCTGCTAAATGAATAGCCATCAGTGCCAAGCACTGTTTTATATGCAGAACATGTAGCCTGAGAGAGGGCCTCTTCCAATCTAAAGCAATGAGGCTGATCTGAGAGCAGAGAACGGAGCTCATTCTTCACATACAATCTTTGGCTGCAGTCCTACTCTTGCTTGAGCTGACTCTGAAGTTAGAGAGGTTTCACCCCTGCCACCATTCCACCAAAGGCTTCATATTTTTAAAAAACAGCCAGCAGCCTAAGGGGTTTTCCAGACCCCAGAGAAGCATCTGCAGTGGTGAATGAAGAAGGGGAAAAGGAAGGGGGAAAGGCAACATTGTATACTCATACCAAGTCATACTGGCGAGGAAATGGAAAGTGTGGGATGTCATTGGCTTGACGCTTCATCTGACCTCCCCACAAACAAATCAGAACAAATGCACAATAAACAAGTCCTCTCAATTAATAAACAAGTAACATGAATTAACCTCTACAGGACTGCCATGGTTATAAGAACAAAGATTTAAGCATAGCTGTCAACTTACAGATTCGAAAATAAGGGACCAGCAGCCAAAATAAGGGACCTGCAGCCTCACCTGTTCCAGGCACTCTAGTCTTCCTGTCCTCCTGCAGTCTGGTCAAACTCATGCTGGTAGCTTCGAGAACACTGTCCAACCAACTTTGTAACCAGAGGTTCAACTGAATAGAATCTGAATCACATGCACCACAAGGCCTATGCAGCCTCAACTTAAGATGGCTCCCCGGCCTGGCTTTGCACTGCAAAGTTTGCAGCAGCACGTGCAACAAAATGGCGTCCAGCATTCAAAAAACCCCTCAGCTTGCATTAGCTAGCCACACACAAGGCATGCAAGCTCCACCCCCCAGTCGTTCTTAGACTTCTTATTGGGTGAGCAACACAGCCAAGCAACACAGTTGGAGCCTCCCTCTTCCCTGGCCGGCAGGGAGGGAGGGAGGGAGAGGAACTGCTTCCTTTGAAATTTAAGGGACATCATTTAAGGGACATTTAAGGGACATCCATCAATAAGGGACAGCAGTAGGACATTGCGCTGGAATAAGGGACTGTCCCTTCAAATAAGGGACACTTGACAGCTATGGATTTAAGACTCACCTCTTTTTGTTTTGATCCTCAGGAGAGGATTTTACTACAATGAGATCATCTAGTTCTTGGCTTCTGTCAAAGATAAAGAGCAGAGCCTGATGACCACAAAATACTGGACGTTTTACTGGACGTTTAAAAAAATGCAAACACAAATGTTACTTTATCAAGTCATCAATGATTTCTGTGAGGCAGGATCTGTTTAAATTTTTATATCAGATTCAAGCACCAGACAAAAAGTATGAAGCATTATCTGCTGTGAAGAAATATGGCCCCTTCATTACATATCAAGACCTTTGACTTCATGTCCCATAAGCTGATCCTGTGATTATTTATCCTGACATAAAGCCTACTGTATCTAATAGGACTTGGTCCCAAGTCCTTACACATTATTGCAGTAACTTCTTAGAAAGTAAGTGTGCTTACGACCATCCTGCTAATCACACCTACAGCTCACCAAGCCCTAATTCCATGTATCAGTCATTTTTTATTCATTTTTGAAGAGGCTTGCTTAGTTAAATGTTTGGAGCATAGCAGCCTACTGCCCTCATCCTGCAGACTTCACAGGAAGGAGTGCTCCACTCCAGAGCTTCGGGTTCACAATGATGCACACAGAACTCTTTCCTGACCTGCAGGACCCCACATGCTTCTATCCTCCTGGTCTCCAATCACTGCCATCTTCTAGGCCTCATTTCCTGCCCCTCCCAGGCTATCCTTTTCCAGGTTCCCTCTCATGGAGGAAGGGAAAATTCTGGACATGCATTTGATACAGAAGAAGTGCTGCATGGGCATGGAAACCATGTGCTCACAGCTACACATATGTGGGATGTAGCCAATGTTAGTTCTACTCAAGGGTAGACCCACAGAAATTAATGGCCACGACTAACTTAGGTCTGTTCATTCCACTCATACTCTGAGGAGAACTTAGTTGGCTACAAACCCTCCCTACATTTTTAACTCAAGCCACAGGTAACAGATTTTCTAAAGTGCAGGAGAGATAAAATTTAAAAGAATTGCCTTTTGTTTTTCTGAGCAGTGTTATTTACAGCGATGAGGTCATCTAGGTCTCTTCCTCTGTGAGAAAAGCAAAGAAGCAAAAAAATTGGACTAGTTACTTTTGCAAGAAAGGAACCGCTGATCACAAATACTCTCAGGGAAGAGTGAGGGAGAGAACTTAATGCATTAGGTAATTGTCAACTCATAGGGATATTCATTGCAGCTAATAATTCCACCAAAATGTTTTCCTTCCAAGATTTAAAGATACTAAAATTATCCTGAGATTTGTTTCTCTTTTCCTGATTAAGCGACATGATCAAAATTAAGCTTCCTGAAGAACTCTAATGCCAGCACATAAACCTACCCTGATATAATGCACGACATCCCATTTATGTCAATGTAAAGGAAATGCAGTCTGAATTGGAGGGAGGGAAGCACCACTAATTTCATGTCATTTGCGGGCTGAAAACAGCAACAACAGTGAATATCGATGGTATTTGCTGAATTGATTATGGTTCCAGACCTAGAACAAAGAAGCCATTTCTACTCCTGTTCCCGTTTTCAATGGAATTCTCTGCACAAACTGGTCTTGTTCATGGGTCCTGATAAGTTAGATTAGCCTCAACCAGAGCCAGGGCCTTTTCAACATTGGCTCCAGCCTGGTGCAACGCTCTGTCTCATGAGACCAGGGCCCTGCGGGATCTGATTTCTTTCCGCAGGGCCTGTAAGACAGAGTTGTTCCACCTGGCCTTTGGGCTTAGAATCAGTTTGATTCCCTCCCCCTCTTTCTTTTTCCTTTCTCCTCCTGTGAAGAGGCTGCATCCTGATGTTTTAATGTTGTATCTTAATCTTTTAAATTGTATTTTAATCAACTTGTTTTTATTATTGGTTGTTAGCCGCCCTGAGCCCGGTCTTGGCTGGGGTATAAATAAAAATATTATTATTATTATTATTATTATTATTATTATTATTATCCAGGCTAACCACATGCCGTAACGCAGGTTGGTCCTTTCCTGTCCAGTATTTATCTCCCCTCAGCTACTCTCCCACAGGTGCTTTTATCCCGGTAGGGCTCACTATTGGAATTGGGAGCTCAGTTGAGGGACGAATTATGTCAGCAGGGAAACTGAAGGGAAGGAAGTAGCAGGGAAGTGCCGGCAAGATGCTGTGCTCACTCACACATCCCTTTTGCTCTTAAAAATCAGACTCCTTATCCACACTTCTACCTGACTGCAGCCGATTCAGGTTTGACCATTGGAGCCTGCTACCATAAAATGTAGCTTCAGGAGCTCTTGCTGTTTGCTCAAGTAACTGACACTTTGGTGCTAAGTATTTGGAATCTCTATGCAGCCACCAGAACGTTGACTTGAGGATAAACGTAGATACTTCCGATGCTAAGTAGCTTGCATTAGCGCACCATGTCTTAAGTCATAAAAATGCAATGCGCTGTCTTCCTAATACAGCTATTAATATAAGCATTTCATAACCTTCCTGTTGTTCAAGAATTATGCTTATAGCCAAACCATAAACAAACTGAAGTGCAATAAATATAACATTAGTTCGGGAATTCTATTGGAGCAGAGGATTAATTTTTTTCTGGAGCAGAGTTATGAGTCATATATCTTAGAGGGAGTTTTATTTTATCTATTTTCTTACAGGTACATTCTGCCTTTTTTGTACCATAAGAGGTTCCTAAGCAGTTTCCCACCCAACCACTGACCAGACCTAAACCTGCTTAGTTTCACCAACGTGGTAGCCTCCTATAACTTCAGACCATACCCTGGGACATTATAGGGAGATGAACATCTCTGAAGACTTGCTCATTAATAAAAACAGACCAAACTAGACTTCTAATGTCAACAGAATCAATGTGGTTGCCTAGTGGTTAGGGCACTGGACTCTGAACTCAACTCTCTATTTGGCTACAAAGCTTACTGAATGGCGTGGGTTCAGTTAGTTGTAAGTTGCCTTGAGCTGCCTTTGGCAAGAAAAAGCGACCAATAAATTTAGTAATAATAATGTACCGCATCTGAGCAGCCTTTACCTTTCAAGGGGTTGCTGTGAGGGCAAAAGCTCCGATTTATTTATTTTATACATCCATATATATATACACACACACACAGTATGTCTATGTCTATATCTATATCATCTATATCTATATATCTATCTATATCTATCTATATATCTATCTATATATCTATCTCGATCTCGATATAGATATGCTTCCCTTCAAATGAATTTGCATCAAAAGCTGGCTTATGGAAAAAATGAAAGACAATAGCATGAAAACAGAAACAGAAAATTTGCAAACATTCTAAGCAAATTCAGGAAACATCCTAAAATGACGGTCAGACACATAACCTGCCTGCCATCAGTAAGTCAAATGGTTGATAGAACAGGAACATTTTAATCAGTTGGTGGGAAACAGTAAGAGAGAGGTCCAAATGGATCTCCCATGGAAACCCCCACCCCAGGAACTGCTTATTAAATAAATAATATCTCCATGCTCTCAAAATGTAACATAAATGAATACATACATCTAAAATCATGGTACAAATAGTGCCAAACTGATAGCTAACAAAATGAGGAAAGGGGTGGAATTCTCACCGGTCTTTGGGGATTTCTGCAGTAAGTGCCAAGCCCATCACGCCCACCAAACGTTCTGGGTAGCCCAAGCACAAAAGCTGGCTCTGTTGCTACAGGTAAGAGCCCAGCCCTTTTGTACCAAACATGTTTACAGCCATTCGGAACATGTGTAGATATAGTCTTACAACTGGAAAATCCTGCTAAGTCCTTGCCTAAACATTTTTTTGACCTTTCCTTGTCAACGTGTGTTATTTTCCGTTTTAACTACAGTGGTACCTCAGGTTAAGTACTTAATTCGTTCCGGAGGTCCGTTCTTAACCTGAAACTGTTCTTAAACTGGAGCACCACTTTAGCTAATGGGGCCTCCTGCTGCTGCCGCGCCGCCGGAGCACGATTTCTGTTCTCATCCTGAAGCAAAGTTCTTAACCTGCGGTACTATTTCTGGGTTAGCGGAGTCTGTAACCTGAAGCGTATGTAACCTGAAGTACCACTGTACCTCCAAAAGCTTTCCATTAAATGCTACCTTCTCTGGTCCAGTCTTTTAAGAGTACAATTCTAACTTTCCCCCAGCCCAGCAGGGCAAGGCCATTGCTGCCTCTGTAATCATGCCAGAAGGTGGGGACAGAGGCAGTTTTAGGGTAGCGTATGGTTACCAGACGTCCCCGTTTCCTGGGGACAGTCCCCAGATTTACAAATCTGTCCCCGGACAAAATCCATCCCCGGAATGCCCCGGATTTCATTTAATGTCCCTGGATTTATATTTTAAGTGATGTAGATTTATTAGTAGGGAATGAATGTTGTGTGATTGGTTCAACGGCACAAGACACATCATATGGGGACTTCCGGTGAGGCAAAATGGCGAGCGCCGCGGCAGTGAGCGGCTCCTGAAGGCAGCCAGAGCCAACTGCGCTACCAGTCTGGCTCTGGGCTGCTGAGACTGCTGCTGCCACTGCCAAAGGGGAACCGGGGATGCCTGGCGCGTCAACAGGGGGAACCACTGACACACACCCGCCATCCAAATTGATCTGGGAGTGAGAGCGCCAGTAAAAACCTTGGAGCCGACACAGGGAGAAGGAGGAGAGGAGAAAGAGAAGGAAGAGAGAGAAAGAGGAAGGAGAAAAAAGAGGGCAGCCCGTGCTTGCCACGCCGCTGCCGCCACTGAGGCGGAGAGGTAGGAGAGCACCAGGAAGGCAAGGACACGTGGCCGAGCCCAGGCCTGACCCAAGCCCACTCCACAGTGGCTAACACTCCAAGAGAGCAGGCCACGGCCCAGAGGAAGGCCACGCAACACAGAAGAGAAGATATTACTTCTTTTTTTAAAAAAAAAAGAATTTTAATAACTTTTTTTTCCTCTTTTCAAAAAAAAAAAGTGTCCCCATATTCTTTGAAAAAAGTCTGGTAATCTTAGGGTAGCGCAACCAGTTTGGTCATGTTTATTCAGGAAGCGCTGCCGCAATGTTGCAGAATGGAGCACGAGAGGTGGAGGGCACGGAATTTTAGTGGTGCACAGGGCGCCGCTGAAATTTGAGAGCCCAAAGTCTACCATTGGTGGGGGTAAGTGGATAGCTGAGACAGCCTGGCGCTGACTCAGGCCTGAAGTGCCCATTTCTGCCCATCCATCTCATAAAGAACTGGTTCACACAGTAGGTTGGTTCCATACTTAAGGTTGCAAACTTAACCGTGTTTATTCAGTAAGCTCTGCTGAATTCAGTGGGGCTTATTCCCACTTGGAGACAATCAGTCAGGTTGTGTATCCACAGCAATGACCAGAGGAGGAATGACTTCTGGGAACAGTGCAGATGGAGGAAACACCATGGTACACCTTTTAAGTTAGTCATGACTACAAGTCCCGTTGATTTCAATCTACTCTGTGCGTGACTGAGTCTGGATTAAATGATGCACAATGGATTAAATGATGCACAATGATGCATCTATGTGGGAAATGTCTAGCATAAACAGGAATTTCCATGAATACAACTACCATTCTAGTTTCAATTTCTTTAATTCTCCGGGTCGTGAGAATTGTCCCTGAGAAATAATGGTGGTATCTGTGGTTCATATGGGATATCCTCTATCTACAGGGACAAAACTGGCAACATAGACCAGCCCAAATTGTTTTGTGGGAAGATACCACCCACGTTTTTGATAAGGAGTTAGATTCCCTGGCTTTTTATGTTTTCCCACTATTCTGTGGTTTTATGACCATACAGGCTATTTTCACGTGTGGATTTTTTAAAAAAGAGGCATTCCATCTAATCCTACCTTGGGAAACTAATCTTTGGATGCCTTTTCTCTTTTGTTGTCAACTCCTTGCACCTGCAAAAAGGAGATCTTGCCGATATAAGGAGAAAACTCTGTACTATATTTAAATTATGTTGCCTTCCTTTGAATTTGTGCAGTTACACAGCACTTGAGCTGGGAGGTGGGGGAGTTAACTACAGGCATGTCTATCCGACAAATTTAAACAATCACTTAACTGTTTCAATTCCCAGCTAAGATATCATGGAAATTCTAGTTCAATTAAGGAGCTATCAATTGCCTTAAGTCTCTTACAAAACCAACATTTGCGAAGTTGGGTGGGGGAAGGAAACATTAGAAGTCACACTGTTAAAACCAAAAACCAAAACCAGATTAAGCCTTCAATGCATATAGATATGCATCTCGATGACAAGACTCACCCCTTGGCTTGTCCATTAGATGTACGGTTCACTTTGATAAAATCATCAAGATCTTGGTGTCTTAAAGAGGAAAGAAACACAAAGGAAGGTTATGGTCAATGTACCGGACCTTTTAGGTAGTGTAGGGACCAAGGAGGAAGGGGAGAAACCACCACAGGTCCCTTGCATCACATCCAAAACTTTAGGACCTAAATGCCATGGATTCAACCACAGCCACCTGACACCAGCGCAACTTTGCATGAGTAAGAAAGCGCAACAGAAGGGGACCGGTAGTGATTTCTCAAAAAATGCTCTGTCCCACTTGGCCTTGCAGAATCTTCAACTTTGCTTCTTGCAGTGCAAGCCTCCCTTAGAATTAGACTGCCCCACAAACCATGGACTTGCTTTGAACCACAGACTTGAAACAAGAGTTTGTATGACAGGGGCAGGGAGATTTATATGAATGTAGTATTGATCCAATGGCTTTCCAGGGTCTGGAATATATGCCAGAGGGTCCTGCTTCTCTTGGACCTCCTCTGAGGAGACTTCAGGTTCAACGTCTGGATGGGACTGGGCAGTTACTAACCTCAGCATGTTACAGATTCTGGGAGCAGATTGGCAGGGTAGGGGGGAGTATTGTTGGAAGAGAATTTCATAGCATTAGATCATTCCTCCTTTGCTTGGAATCCAGTGTTTTCCTTCTAATTGATTAAACTGCTTTATGAAATCGTTCTTGGCATTTATCCCGTGCCCTCTCCACAGCTTAAACTTCGGAAATAAATTAAGTGGTAAAGAAACTTCCAAGACTTACCCTTTATCACCTTTATCGCTTTTAGTTTTGACTTGGATGAGATTGTCCAGCTCTTGACTTCTTTAAACAAAATCAGTGGGAACAAGTACAGAGATATTTCATTTCTTAACGATGATTTTGATATTGAAACTAAATAAACCACACAAACTATCTTACAGCTGGAGTATATCCATGGCAATTTATAATTAAGATAGATTTGATTTTAGGCAACAACAACAAAAAAGTCTCTCAACTGGAACCTTTTGCTTCACAATGTCCTGCATAAATAAATACTATGTCTTGTTCCTTAATAGACTATTTATCACATTTGTATCTCGCCCTTCCTCCACAGAATTTGAGACAACAAGGTCCTCAACTTCTACAGGTCTGATGACATCCAACTTTAAGACTAGGGCAATGGCATTTCACTAAGGGAGATCCAAGATGGGGTGATGGATCTACTGTGTAGTGGGCAGAGATCTTAGGTCAAGGGATGGCTGGAGTCCAATTCTCAGGTGCCACCTATGGGTCCTTTGAGGGTTGGAGACTGCATGTCAACTCATTCCCAGCAGCTAGCTTAACAACTATACCCCACTCCCAGGTGAGCATTGTAGGTGCTCACAGATGGTCAAGGTGATTAGCTCTCTTGGAGATCCTTTCCACTCAGGTACCCCAGGAAGTAGCTCTTCTGTCAGCAGATGGGCTGCCAGGTCCTTCCTGACTATGTGTACCAAAATTCATGTAGCCTGATTAAACCAATTTTTCTCAGGTTTGCATGAAAGAGATGCCTTCTGCCATTCCGAACCCTGACCTTCAGCTTTGCGTCAGTCAGCAACCCAGGTGACCCTAGTGACACATCAGTACCTACAGGGTTTTTCATGTTTGCACTTAGCTGGCCAGCTGACTGGGTCTTTCTCTTTGTCCTGAGCCCACAAGTCTTGCAGGATTCACACTGTCTTGCCTAGAGTCTCGTGGTTTGCTAATAAACTACCAGAGGAGCCATCTGGAAGCCTTTCTGGACATTTTGCAGGACCAGGTCTTATTGCTGGAGGAGAGAACTTAGAAGCTATACTGGAAAACAAGCAAACTTAGTGTCTTTCATTGTTTCAGTGTCACGGACTAAGCACATGAGCTGGGCCTTATGATTCCATGCATTATTATCTTTCTTGACTCATTGCCATGCCTTCCCTGCTATGGTCACAATCCATGCCCTCTCCATCGCTTTATTGAAGCCATAGAGTCTTTCAAGACTTACCCCTTGTTACTCTTATTGACTTTGGTTTTGACATCAATGAGATCATCCAGTTCTTGGCCTCTTCAGAGATTAAGCAAAATCAGTGGAAGAAAGTACAGAGATATTTCAATAGTCAGCTAGAATTTGACATTCAAAGCAAATAAACCACATGAAATGAGGCTAAGCCTTCTGCTTCATGCTGTCCTGTATAAATAAGCACTGTGCATCATGTCATGTTAGCATATTTACTATATCTGTAGCCCAGCTTCCCCCCACAGAGCTCAGGACAGCATATACAGGCTCCTTTCTTGACAACAGTCTTGTAAGGTTAGTTATGGTGAGATATTCACTGAGTCCAATCAATGAGCTGTCTAGCCAACTGGGAATTTGAACCCTGGTTCCTTGAACTCACGTCTCCCTACTTCATGTTCACGTTCCACAGTCTGCACAACGTGGAACAACTAGGCTGAACACAACTTCAAACATCACTCTTTAACATCACACATCCTTCTTGCTGGCTTTTGAAGTCACAGACTGCCAAACAAATAAACAAAGATTTCTCAGGTAGTCCCTAGTGAGCTGTTATACATGGCCAGTGAGCTGCGTTTAGCTTGACGGGTCAGATGTTGTACGGGCCTGTTCTGACCCAGTTGCCACTGACAGTTGTAAATAAAATGCATCCTATCCTCCTTCAAAGAAGCTCAGAACAGCAAACATGGTTATCCCACTTTATCCTCAGAACCTACATGAGGTGCTTAGGATGTAGTTCACACAGTTAGCTCTCATTCTGAAAATGACACATCAAACACAATAGGGCCTACCTCCCAGCTCTCTCTTTTGTCATGGTTTTGTTAGCATCTGATTCACTGGGTTTTGCTGGGCCTATCTGCCTAAAAAACAGAGAAAATAGGTTCATCTAAATAAATTTGAAAGTTGTGTTGTGCATGTTCAATTATTCAGCTTGCCTAGATTAAGGAGAGAAACCAAAATGGTATTCAAGAGCAGTTAGAAAGATTCATCTTGACACAGTTCAAACTCTGACAATACAAAGTCTAGCAACTGCTTGGATATGTGCAGCACAAATGGGTCACTCTGAGAGTTGCTAGTTGTCTAGTGATTCTCGCAATGCAGTAAGTTTGGACTGGGCAATGAAGGTTGGCTATCAAAGGAATAGCTAAAAAAAATTACAGTGGTACATCGGGTTACATATACGCTTCAGGTTACATACGCTTCAGGTTACAGACTCCGCTAACCCAGAAATAGTACCTCGGGTTAAGAACTTTGCTTCAGGATGAGAACAGAAATCGTGCTCTGGTGGCGCGGCAGCAGCAGGAGGCCCCATTAGCTAAAGTGGTAATTCAGGTTAAGAACAGTTTCAGGTTAAGAACGGACCTCCGGAACGAATTAAGTACTTAACCCAAGGTACCACTGTATTGTAGTGACTTAACCAGGTCAAAACGAAGTGATTATGAGAGAGAACTGAATAGCATCTTCTTCTGCAGATACCTGTTACAGTGGTGCCTCGCAAGACAAAATTAATTCGTTCTGCGAGTTTTTTCGTCTTGTGAATTTTTCGTCTTGCGAAGAACGGTTTTAACAGTATTAATGGTTTTAAGAAAAAGGAAACAAACTTGCAAGACGTTTTCGTCTTGCGAAGCAAGCCCATAGGGAAATTCGTCTTGCGAAACAACTCAAAAAACGAAAAACTCTTTCGTCTTGCGAGGCATTCGTCTTGCGAGGTACCACTGTATAATAATCCACCATAGCTTCTACAGAAATGCTAAGAAGCATTTATCACAAGTTAAACACACACATGCACACATTATTATTTTTTATTATTAAATTTGTATACCACCCTTCAGGGCTCAGAGTGGTTCACAGGATAAAATCAGAATATAAAATAACAAAATACATAATCAAAATAAAAACAAGAACAACCCAAGAACCCCTAATAGGGACCAGAAAGGAATGCAAAAACTACAAGTGATCCCTGCCATTCTCCCATGCCTGTCTTGCAGTTTTATTTATATAACTGCTTATAAGAGTTAACCCAAAAGCTAATACTTTGAAAGAGGAGGTTACATCAGTGGATGTTGTGTCTCAAGAGAATATTTTTAGAAAAGGCATTGTAAGGGACAGATCAGGCTGCTCTCTCCGAGATAAGGCTATACTGAGTTCTGATCACACCAGGTCAGTAGCAAACATCTAAATGAGATATTGCCAGGTTTGTTTGGTGGGTTCAAGGAGATGTTCGATATAAAAGGAAACATTTCCCCCAAACTCTTTTGACAAAGACTGCATAAGCAATGCAAATTGCACTCTCAAGCTACTTCATGGAAAAGCACTTTGAGACATTTAATATAATGAGATGCGTTCAACTAAGTAGTCCCATGCCTGCCATAAGAAACCTACACAAGCACAATAAAGCTTCCCTCCTTCCTCCATGAAACTGGCTCTGGGGGTGTCAGAAGACGCCCCCCCAGAACAGCACACAGGGGGAGAAGAGAGCAGATCATTCCATCAAGCAAGAAGAATCTGCTTAGCGCTACCCTGAACCCCACCCATTAGGAACAGGCAGAAGCAGGGGAGACAAAAATGTAGAGATGTTCAGTTTCATACAGTGAGGAAATAACACACAAAAAACCTCCAGGCTTCTATAGAACCCTAAATGTAAACAAGGGCCTGTGTACATAAATTTGTGCAATATGTGTTGTGATCTGCCCACCATTAAAAAGTATTGGGTGGGTTGCATGAGCAGGGTTTGTGTAGACCATGGGTAGGCAAACTAAGGCCTGGGGGCTGGATGTGGCCCAATCGCCTTCTTAATCCGGCCCGCGGATGGTCCGGGAATCAGCGTGTATTTACATGAGTAGAATGTGTCCTTTTATTTCAAATGCATCTCTGGAGTATTTGTGGGGCATAGGAATTCGTTCATTTTTTTCTTCAAAATATAGTCTGGCCCCCCACAAGGTCTGAGGGACAGTGGACTGGCCTCCTGCTGAAAACGTTTGCTGACCCCTGTAGACTCCACACTGTATATAGCATTTGCACAGAAAGGCTGAGTTCCCATAAAAGTTTAGAAGGGTGAGAGACAGTATAGAGCTCAAGACTTGCTTTCTCATCTTGTAACATGTATGACCCCTTTGCATTAGAACTATGTGTCAATCGGCTCAGTGACTGAAACATCTAGTGAAGATCTCAAACCGCAAGCAAGATCAAGCAAGATCAGATTTTTCATGGAAGCCGTTTACCATTTCTGCAGGATGAATCACTAAGTGATATATGTGAATGTGCACTCCAGCTATCTCAACATCTAACCCAGCCAACTCAAGATGAAACACTACCACTTTCCAGGCTTTTCTGATTTGTCTAATAAATCACTGCCCCTCTTTTCCTCGTGGATAAAACTTAATGCTGATTGAGTTGGCTACAAGTCAGATCCCCATCCAGAAACTGCAACGCAAGATGCCAAGAATATTTAAATAGGATTTCAGACACAGGAACATCTCACAGGAGTCCAATGGCTAAGAGAACTAACAGTAAGTGCTTAGGATATGAACAGTTGCAGCTGCATGTCAAAATTATGATATTACACTGGAATTTCAGGAACAAAACCCCATCATCTACAGGTATGACAGATGAACATTTGAGACTTTGACACCAGTATCATTAGAGCAGGAAGTACAATGAACCATGGTTACAAAATGTGGTTTAGGGGAGAGGCATGTTTACTTTCAAAACCACCGGTGTACTCAAATACTGCTGGCTTTGATAGCAGCCCATAAATTGAGGAGACCTAGTGCAGCATCCTATACATATCTTCTCAGAAGGAATTCTCGTTGTTCAATTGGATTTACTCCCAGCAGGTAAGTATAAAACATATTTAACATGGAGCAAGCACCAATGGGGACAGGGTGATAACCTGCCGCACATTTGCCTCCCAACACTACTGCCAGGGCTTTGAAAAAATGAAGAACCTGAAATGAAGAACATGGGCAGATCCTTTCCTCTTCCTGCATGTTCCTTTTATAGATATTCCAAACGTCTAGTGTCACCGGCCACAATAAATATTCAACCTGACCCTTCTGTGCAAGGCCACGCACCTTTGCACCTGCTGAGCTTATGTCTGCACACACAAGGCTCTCCAATTTACTCCAACATGCCCACACAACTTCCCTGATGCTGCAGTTAGCCCATACTAAATGCCAGACAATTTGTATGGAGGAATTAGCTTAAGCTATAAAAGAACCAGCAATAACTATCTATTCCTGTGCGGGAGTTGGCAATGAAAAGGGTAATCTGTCATAATAGAAATCTGTGGCCTCAGCAAAAGAGGATTGCCTTCGAACACGGTGTCAAGAGTGCATCGGTAATGTCTGGATTTGATAGGCCAGGGCTATTTGTGTCCAGGACGGCCCTCACTCACAGGGCAATTTGTAAGTTAGCCAGCAAATGAGGCTGATACAGGAATAGCATTTGTTCCGATTCAGGACATCATTTTCATCTCTGCCAAGACATTGACCAGACAGTGCCAGGCTGATTTAAATTCACCTCACTGAAGGCTGGACCACAAACAGTTGCCAAGAATTAAGAAACTAAAGAGCACTGTAGCAAACCATGAGAGCACATTTACAGCCTGCCAAAAATACCCCGAGCTGCTGAGTACAGTAATTTTCAGAATTAAACGGATGGGAAGAAGCTGTCTTTCAGGATGTTTTGAGAAGTACCATGAGCAAACAATTACTGGGAAAGGAACGCCAACTTGCTCAGTTATGCTTTCAGAATAAACATAGCCTACCAAGCTCTCTATTGACTTCACAACTATAAAAAGCACACATCTGAGCACTCCACAGCAATTCCATAAAACGTAAAACAATTAGATTATTCATACAGAGAAGTCCTTAAAGATGGAACATTTGGCTGCAAAGGTGAACCAGGTGGCATGCTGGTTTCAAGTTAATTCAAAGAACTATTTCCCCTTGCGTTAGAATGCAACCCACACGCCAAGAACCATTTACTTGCAGGATCAAAAGGCAGGGAGGGAGTCATAGGAACAAAGGAAGCTGCCATATACTGAGTCAGAACATTTGCCCATCTTGCTCAGTGCTGAATACACTAACTGGCTTGAAAATAGTACTGCATGTTTCCCTCCACTGCTCCAAATTACACACAGCGCCATTTCCCTAAGAGCTTGCATCATTGGATCCTACTTCGCTCTGCCCACCCTGATAATTTTTCCTAGCGTTCATCTTGTCAGATGAATAGGATAGGTAGGCTGGGATGGAATCTATCTTTGATAGCAGGTTCAGACTGATAACCAAAGTATTTCCATAAATACTGCAGGTTATTAGAGGGACAACTGACCCATTTAACAATCAGGTTGTGCAAATCGTTCATTGGTGCTGGTGTGAGCGAAAGGAAGGTAGAGTTAGCATTAATTTCACAGCAAGGACAAAATTTTGGTTTTTGTATTTCCCCCCGTGCAAATGGATAATACATTTTCGACATCTCCTTCACATCTCTTCTAACATTACTACACTAAGTTGGGTTTTTAATAAAAACCCTTTAAAATAAGTAAATGAACTTAGTGGGTTTAAAGCAAAACAAAAAGAAGAAGTTGTTTCTCTTGACAACGATTAATATGGATGCATCTTTCTGGTGTCATCAACTGGATTTTTGAGGGCCCCCCCCGCCAGGTGTCAGATTTGCTCCCCTCCCCCGCTGCCTGGGGGCCAAATTCAAGGATGTTGCACCAGAATCATGTCTCCCAATTAAGCTTCTCAAGCTGCTTATGGTTTAGATACTGACACAAAATAGCCGTATAGCACGGTTACTATAGCAACTTGTAGCTCAGTCAAATACTGTTACCGCAGCTCTCTACCAATGGTGAAACCGGAGCAGAACGCTTGATATGCTAATAAAAACCACGGAGGAGAGTGAATATGAAATGAGTGAGGAAGGGGATTAGGAAAAGGCTTGAACAAGCCTTTGTAAGTGGGGAGCGACAGCAGCTTTTCCTAGTTAATTTGCCGATGTTTTATTCTCTAAGATCTCCAGCTCTGACAGCAGAAATCTTTAATCAACATATTGTTTCCTTCCTGGAAATATTTCATGACTCAAACTCTTTCAAGAGGGGAGATCCCATTGTATTCCAGTACGTGCCGTGGGATTTATTAAAGACGTCTGGCTATGCACTTTAGACTAGGAATGCGCACAACGATGCCAGAAATAATCTCTTAAGATGTGACCCAAGTAAATTAAGAGTAGAGTTGCTAGGTTGGAACCCAGAGATTACCACTTTAAACAGACTTTAAGTCTGATGCTGGGATAAGCTGTCAGTTGAATGTTTTCCTCAGACGCAGTTGTTTTTGGTCAGACGCTTTCGCAGTATAAATCAGCCTCTGCCAACCTGGTATCTTGTAGAATGTTGTTGGACTACAACTCCAACAACATCCGGAGAGCAGTGGATTGTGGAAGGATGGTATAAGTAAACTAAGTTGCATTATGATGATATACTGGATCTGTATATGCCCACTGTGTTTCAGCTGCCTCATATGTTTGTATGGTATTCTTTCTCTAAACATCATCTCTCTCAACTCTGACTTTTTCTCTTTCAAAATGTCAATCTTACCGTCAATCTTCATACGTATCTACAGTTCTTTCTCTTGGCATCCCTCCCCTTTCCCCAACTTCCTTACATTTCATGGCTAATTTCTAAAAAGAAGCCAGAGCTCAGATCTGCTGGGAATCTGTTCTTGTCCATCTGGGCTGGGCTGTAGCTACTCTGGTCTGCTTTGTAAGAAAACACATTAATGTACCGTATATTGCAGCAAAACTGTGTATCGTTACATATATGAAGTGGATGGCTTTTCTACTGTGATGAACAAGCACTTCTGTGGATTGTCTTTGCAGGACCAGGGCCAAAGTGAATAATATAACTTTACCATCAAAGCCAAATACTGAACTACAAATTACACCGAAAGGGGCATAATCAAATCCCAAAGGTTCCTTCCAGGGAAAGCACCTTCAGAAGCAAACCACCTTCACGGGTGAAGTACTGGAGAAAGGGAAACTTCACCCTTTTCCCCACCACCACTTTCACACTGGAAATGTCCCTAATCGACCCCTTCCCACATGGTGTTCCAGCTGCATGTTTGCAAGGTATCCCCAGGACGCGAGTTATAACTGGATAGGGTAAGGGTTATGCACTTTCTCTCTCCCACTGTTTTTCTTTTGCCAAATCCCCCCTCCAAAAGCTACTTTGCCTAGAACCAGGCATAGGCAAATTCGGCCCTCCAGATGTTTTGGGACCACAACTCCCATCACCTCTAGCTAACAGGACCAGTGGTCAGGGATGATAGGAGTTGTAGTCCCAAAACATCTGGAGGGCCGAGTTTGCCTGTGCCTGGCCTAGAAGAAGCAGAATAAAGTTTTGCTGCAATTTTCTTACATGAAATTTGCCATGGATTTTGGGGGCACAGGTCACAGGGGATTTATAAAACATTTCATTGCTGTTGCTGCTACTTTCCTGACTTACATCTCTGCCACTGAAATCAGCGGGGCTTATAAGTGTTTTACTTTGCACCCAGTAGCAACCATCATTGGTTATCGTGTCATCACATAAAACACCAATCATTAATCACATCACTTTATGTTACCTAGTTCTGGCTGGATCGCTCACGGCAGCATTTGACTTTGGAGATGTAATTGGTTCCGATGAATAGATAGTCCTGCAGAATGAAAAGGAAAATTCATTTTTTTGCAGGACCTCACACTGAAGGGTGTGAAGAACCTGTGCTCCTCCACATATTGTTGGGCTATAATTCCCACCAACCTAGGCTGGTTGGGGCTGATAGGAGTTGGAATCCAACAACATCTGGAAGGCCAAAGCTTTTAGACGAACACACACAAAAATGTCAACATGGTAATGGCAGTAAATGCTGTCCCAATCTCAAACATTGCTGCTGCTTTTGCTGTGATTCGCAATTTGATCAGTGAAGCCAAAAGATGACAAACAGAATCATTCAGCAACCACATGTCCCCACGAGGTAGACCAGTATTCTCAATACACCTGCAAAGTAATGGTTGTCTTTCTTTTCTTTTCTCTTTCTTTGGATAACTATGAAATAAACTATAAATAACAGGTGCTGGCCTGTACACTATTTCCAAGTTTAAAGTCTAAATACTAGAAATGAAAATACATACATCTTTGGTCCTCCTCCTTTGTTTGAAGTAGTTGAAACTCTGAAGCAACAAATAGACAGACAGACAGACAAACCTCTGGTTAGAAATCATATATACTTTATGATTTCTATGATTATATAATGGATACTTTCCAAATTCTCTTTTTAGGTAGGGATCATCACAACATGGAGTAATTCCAGAACTGAATTGAACAGCAATGGGAATCTTGATTTCTTTTTGCGGTGCAGTCATTCAATAGATGCAACCCAGAAACTGATAACAAGGAAGCCCTACCTTTTCTACTATGGGGTTGTATCTCATACCATATGGTTGCAATGCACAGAAATTATGAGTCATATCTCTGACATCCCTCAGAAAAAAAGTGTTTTTTTAATTGCATCCCTGCTGGCTGCCCCTGCTGATTGTCTGTGGAAGAATGTAAGCAAATTTAACACATAACGAAAATCTCAGGAATAAAACCCAAGCTTTGAGCACTTTTAACACTCCTATGGGGAGGAAAAGGCATGCCTATAACATGGCCCTCTTGGTAGTTTCCACCGCCCTCAGAAATTTGGGTGGGGGAGCCAGGGCATTCTCTGGGTCAGCCCCCTAAATTGTGGGATTTCCTCCCCACAGAGGGAAGCAGAAGAGCACACCTATTTACACAGGCCGTTGACAGCTGAGATAGAGATTTTTAGGATCCACTACATTCTCCTGACTGTAGTTTGTTTTTAAATGGTTTTAATATTGTGGTGTTTTTTTAAGTGCTGGAATCTTATGGTGAAAGCCGGGAAAGAAAGGAAGATAATGGAAATAGCAGTAAAATTATATTTTGAGGGTATCAGAAAGTAGATGCTACTTTTCTCCATTTTGCCTGGTGGAGAATAAGTTCAGGGAAATCCTTTTCAGAGTTAGGGATGGCTGGAGTCTTATGGGTTATTTATAACCTCTATTTACAAAGCATCAAGGGGAGATGGGATAGTATGAAAACAGTAGTCAGTTTATTAAGAAGATTTCTATACCACCGTTCACCCAAGGATCATGGGGCAGTTTACAATATAAAAGCACAAAAAATATAATAACAAACAAAAACAAGGCACCCCTATTTTAAAAGGCAATAGATTGTATTATTATATTGTGTAGACAGTGTTAGGCTCAAAGAGCCTCAGCATTCACCTAGCTTACAGGTAAGGAAGATCCGTGCACCTCTCCTTTGAATGACCTTACGTGATGAGCTTTCTCTTGTTTTGACTCACTCTCATTCAAGCCTTCTCTATTTGCACATTTCATTAATGCTCAAAGTCCATCTATTTCATAGATGACACGGCAGCAAAGCCAGATTTGCCACCAAGTGTGCACTCATTGTGGGAATGAAAACCACTTAGTCCCCCTAAATATGCTTGAATGATCTACGGTACGTGTTTGCAAACAAGCATTTCATGGAATTTTAGAATTGAAGAGTTGGAAGGGACCACAAGGGTCATCTAGTCCAACCCCCTGCAGGGCAGGAATGTTTTGCCCTACATGGGGCTCGAATCCACATCTCTAAGATTAAGAGTCTCATGCTCTGACTGAGACTCATTCATATCTTATGTTATTAGATGCACACACTCAAAAAATGAGACACATGAAAACGTAACATATGAAGAAGTCCTGCATTATGTTCTTTAAAAAAAGAATAATCCAATAAGCACTGTATACTTACGGTTTGTTATTGGTGGCTACAGCTGTAGTTGTATTTTGTGAGGCCCAGGAATGCCTGTGTGATGGAACAAAAATACTGAATTAATTTGTGTGCTGAACATGTGTATTTAAAATATGTACCCCCAGAAAAAAGCACTGCTGCTTGTGTAGCTTTTGGAAGCACATGAATCTTATTTTGGGGCAGTTTGTAAGAAAACCATGTTTAACTTTGGAACTCACTTTAAAGGGCCTATTTTAAAGGCCCAGCAACCTATATTTCCATACTTAACCTTGCTGCATATTTTTTATTTATTTTAAATCTCTGCTGGTGTTCTCTCACTAAAGGGTACTTGCCCCAAACTTGGATCTTGGCATCCAGGTATATTCTCTCTATATATATCCCTGAACCAACAGAAAATGGGAGCATAGGTACATGTGAGTGCATTCAGACATTATTGCATCGTTTCTCCTTATTACAATGCTAGTGTTGTGATCCCAGACCTAATGTTCCTTTTGCACTGCATTATCTATTGAACTGTGGAACAGCAACATTTTGATCAATGTACCGCCATGTCATAGGTAAAAGTAAAGGGACCCCTGACTATTAGGTCCAGTCACGGACAACTCTGGAGTTGCGGTGCTCATCTCGCTTTACTGGCCGAGGGAGCCGGCGTACAGCTTCCGGGTCATGTGGCCAGCATGACTAAGCCACTTTCTGGCAAACCAGAGCAGCACATGGAAACGCCGTTTACCTTTCCGCCGGAGCGGTACCTATTTATCTACTTGCACTTTGATGCGCTTTTGAACTGCTAGGTGGGCAGGAGCTGGGACCCAGCAATGGGAGCTCACCCGGTCGAGGGTATCTGAACCACTGACCTTCTGATCAGCAAGCCCTAGGCTCTGTGGTTTAACCCACAGCGCGACCCGCGTCATACTACATTTAAAATTGCAGGAAAGATCTGTATGCCCTGATGAAATTAAAATGCAAAACTCCCATGATTTTTGCAAATCATACAAACAGGTTTATTTTTCTGGAAGTGAAAAAACATGGAAATGAGCACTAAACTTCCATGAGAAAGAGGACAGAAGCAATGGTTGAGTGAATGTGGTCTGTCCCTGGGCAGATGGTGAAGAGCTCAGTTTTTTCAATAGAGGGAGATATTTTACCATGCACTGCCAAGGTTTACAAGACTTATTCTGCTGAAGTGCAGGAAAATGTTTACCCACGCTGAAAAACCATGACATGGCTATGTGGTGAAGAAACCACAACGCCTCAAGTCCACACACCAACAATTCACATTGAAGATTTTACTTTCAAGGTTGTGTGATTCAGTTTCTCTGTGTGCATTCTTGCAAGCTAAAATATTCTTTTCAGGTAGCGCGGATACCATACGTTGCGGCAGAGCACTTCCTTTTCGTGTATATAGTGAGACTCAGGTCCAGTCATTTGAATCTGCAGCTAAAAGGTAAGGTCTCCAATAGCAGGACTGGGAAAGACCCCAGGATCCTGCAGAGCAACTTACCATCAAAGGAGAAAGTGCTTGCCTAGATGAGCCATTGGACTGACTCCATGTAACGCAGCTCCTTATATCTGTCCATAAGGGTGTATTACACATTGAGTCAACGTCATGATAGCATTCAAAACCAGCCAAACCAAAGCCCAAACCACTTTACACCACAGCCATAAACATTTCTACTCTAATTTTCAATAAGGTTACTCCCAAGTAAATGCACAGAGATTTAAAATTCCAACGTCTAACTGATTTCAATGAGAAAGGAAAACATGAACTCTCTTGAAATCACACATAACCGTCAGCCAAATCATGGCTTAGCAAATGTGTGGGTTCTCACAGCTTTTGCTGCCAACATGCTAATTTGGCCAAACCATTGTTTGGCTTCATATTACATATGAACCCAGACTTGTGGTTTAGAATCCCCAAATAAACCATGAGTAGTAAAAACAAACCTTGGTTACAGCTTGTGGTTTGTTTAGAGTGAGATAAACCATGAGCCCAGGTTTGGACATAATGCTAAGACAAACTACAGTTTAACTCCAGGCAGCAAAACCAGCCATTGTCTTCGTTCCAGGAATCTGCAGGCTGATTCGTTTGCACCCAGCTATGGTTTGGCTTAGCTGCACATGCAGTCTGGGTTACTAGGGCTTAACTTCACCTGGATCTTACTAAAGATATGTATTTTATTTAATTTGACATTTTTATCCCACAGTGTTTAGCTACCAAGAGGCTCTCAGCATGGCAGACAAGCTTAGAATATTTCAGGATGCAATTCTGAACAGAATTAATAGGAAGTAAGCCTCCATGAATATATTGGGACTTTCTTTTGAGCAAAGATGCATAGGATTACACTGTCACAGATTTTTTCAAGTTTGTATCTAAAATTAGAACAATGATGTGGGCTAGATATTCCTCAAAAACTCAACCAAAGCTGTCAACATAACAACCAAAGAGAAATTCTTTTGAAGCATTTCCTAACATTTGAGAGCTGAACATAACTTGGATAAAATTCAAATTCTTACCTTTTGTGTTGTTCATCATCTATGGTGACCTTCTGACTGGAGACTGGGGGAGGCATCCATGACTGCCTAATAATGTACAACCATATAGTTCATTTTACAGGCCTTTTTATTTGGACCCAAAGTCTAAGATGTTTATGCTGCCTGTTATCAACTTAAATCCCATTGTTTAAATCCTAATTAAAATTAAGCACTCAACTGTGGCTTGATCTTGCTTATAGTGATGTTCATTAATACGAACTGCAAAGCTGCCACTGTATAATTCTGCATTTTTGTCTCCCCACTGAGAATTGCTGAGAATAAATTTATTTTTTGATGTGTCTAATGTTTCCTATCTCAGGAATAAGGCTGCCACTTCTCTTAAGAACAGAGGAAACACCATAGCTATTGGTTGTTTGTGTATGCAGAGATTCCTAGAATGTCTTTCCCATCCTTTGCTTGCAGAAGATTTTAGGTTCAATCCCGGCTAACTTCAGATGGCAAGAGTGGGGAAAAACATACCGTAGTTATAATTTTCCTGCAAATGGAAGCAGCTACTAATCACATTATCACCTCCTGGGGGGTGGGGACCACCTTTCAAACTATTAAATTTGTAAAAGACTATCTACCCTATGCCTGTCATATAAAAAAAAACACTCAAATCAGCCTGGAACTATCCTTGGCAGTAAAAGGGTCCCATACTCTCCCATCCCCCATGTTTTACAAGATCCGTAAAAACATTTGCCAAGTATAGAGTAGCATAGGGAGCAACACTTATGAGTCACTACTACTTAGTCTCACTGAGGTTTCCTCAGTGTAAGTGTGCTTCAAATCCATCTTTTACTTGTATGTTTCACTTAAATTTCTCTTTTGAAGGATGAGCAGAGCAGTCCTAATGAGGGGTTGAGGAGGCACAGATTTGCCACAGCACCCAAAGTCCTGCCAGTTCCTGCTGAAAGGTGGGTGGAGCAGCCATTTCTTTTCCTGCTACTTTAGCTCCAGACTGGTGCAGCTGAAAGGCCTGAGGACTAGACCCTTCATGGGATATGTGGGTCTTCAAATCCGGCTGATCCAAAGTCTCTGGTGCCCCACTGCTGCCCCCAATATCCTTTCTGCTGGTTATCCTCAATGGGAGAACCACTGGTGGAAGCTTGGGACTTCTGCCATAACACAGGTCTCCCACAGCAATTTTCTGCTGTGTTGGTGGAGGTTGGCAAACCGGCAACAGTACACCATCCTAACCCCTTCCCCAAGACATCAACATCAGGGGATTATGAGGGCTCCACTCTCAGCTGGAGTAATTATTAGAATCAATTTCTATATTAGATAGATAGCTTTTGCGAAAACGTTGATATCTACAGTAAAAATGAAGAAGGTCTTGAATACCTTTTCTTCTTCACAGGCGATGTGGCGTTGCCAGTGTTGATAGATGCATCCAGCTCCTTCCTGGAAAAATTATCAACCAAAGTTTAAAGTTTTGTCGTTTCAGTTAACCATACATAAGGATAACTACTTTTTCAATGGTTAGAGACGACAAACTGTGTTTAATCAAAAACAGAAGTACTGTAAAGGTTGTTGTTGTTTTTCACTTTTTACTCCTCGCATCTGGGCTTCTAACAATAAATGATTTGATCTGAATGAGGCCACTGTGGTTTGTGTACAAAGCACTGACAAGTGATGCTTAGAATCAAGAGTTGTTGGTCTTACACAAGGTGTGATTCACCCTTAAGGCTTCCTCCATGACCAGCTCCAACGGTATATCAATAACTTCTGAAGATCTGTATCCTAGATCTACAGTAAAGTACGTGATCTGCTAGGTCCCACACCAGCACCAGTGGCTCCCAGGAAGGAAGGATTCCTATAGAGATCCACCCACTTGATTTGTACTAAACCTGAGGTGCTCCCTAAACGGATGACTATGAAGCACTGCTTACACATACCTGCTACTTGGCTTGCCATCCAAGGTGGAAAGCTTATTTGCTTTGTCAGCATCACTGTTGCCAGGAATCCTAAAAAAATAGCAAAACGAGCTTTCACCAACAGTAGAAATTAGCTTTTCTTAAAAAAAGAAAAAGATTGCCTGAATTAAAATGTCAACATCTAATATTTCCTAGCAAGGCAGAAAAAGCTTCCCGTAGCTTCTGCACACACTTCTACAGTGATAATGAGACCAGCATACTAGCTGACTCAATATAACGTTCGTGCTTATTAGTTTTAAAAAGTTTTTCTGCTTGCTGAAAGAGTATTTTAATTAAGTCTTAGAAAACCAATGAATTATTAAATGTCCAGAGATTATTACACGCTCTTTTTTAAACGAGTAGTGAAAAACAGCAAATCCTTTGAGAAGCCCCTTAATAAAGAACTAAAATGCATCTTCAGTCAAAACAGTTCATTGTCACTCCCTATATATTGCTGCTCACCCCCCATCAAGTGTTTCCGGAGATCAATATGATTTGAAGTTGCCCATTGTGTATAATTCCTTGTGGAGCGCAGCCATTGCATCAAACCAAGAAGGTCAGGATAGCTGTGCTTACCATTGATTTCATTAAGCCATTAGATTTACATTAAAGAAAAAGCACAAGCCCTTTCCTGGCCTTTATGGATTTCAAAGTCACTGCTGGAAAACCTTTTCCTGACTTCCACTTCAATGGAAGGCTCCTGCTGTCGGAGCTGAATTAACCATTTAAGGTAGCAATGCCATTTATATCTGCCACAAAGTGGTCTTCTGAATGATATCATGCTGAAGATTGAGCGACATGTAGGCAATGCAACAGATCTGGGGGCAGATTGGGGCTCACAAACCAATTGTTGTGCTACAAAAGCATAAGCTGAGTGAGCATTTTGCATCCTATGAGCTTTGGACCTATGAAGCGGGATTTTACTCAAAAAGGCCTTTTATTTGACTGTTATGCCCCCATATGGGTTTGAGGAATTTCAGAAACACAACTCCAGCGAAAGGGAGGCATGCTGTTATAATAATGCGGTAGACTGGGGGCAGTTATGATTCCTTGTACTTCTATACGTAGGCCCGTGGTTTTCTCTATGTCACTTCTTCCTACAGTTTTGTAAGGTAGAGGAGGTTGCTGCACCTAGCTGAGGAAACCTAGTTGATGTTGCATCATCAGCAAACACATGACCACATCTCTCCTGTGAGAAAATGCTTGCTGTGAAGGCAACAGGCTGGTTTTGAGGAGGAATGTCCTTAAGAAAAGTCCTGGGGGTTGTTACAAGACACACAGGAATCCCAAAGATCTCTGGAGTTCACAAGAGCTCTGTAATTTACCATCTTGCCCATCATCTAGTTATATCTAATGTGCCCAGAGACAGTGTGAAAGCAATAAACTAAAGGACAATCTGAGCTGGTCTTTGTAATATAATTTTACTGTATCCAGGGTAGCATTCGCTGCAGAAACTAGTGGTTATCAATTGACTCACTCGATGTCTTATTATGATTATGACTATATGCTGAAATTTCACTGTCTATACTGAACCAACCAAGAGTATGCAATTCATTCAACTTTCTCTTTTCAGACAGACTTTTATTAAAGGCTGAGCTACATGTGACCACAGGGCCATCCCACTGAAGCAAAATGAGACTATTGCCTCAGGTGATGGATATGGGAGAACAGCAACACGGTGTCTTCCTGCTTCCTCCTTCCCTCACGGCAAAATGGATCTCTGTGAAAATTATGTGAGGCTAATCTCCTCCAACCTGCCTCAGTCTGAGAATGGGCTTTGAGGGGGGGTCCATCTTCAGAGCAAGGCATGCCGGGCCTTGTTGTGGTAGCTAGAAGTTCTGTTGAGGTGGAAATCTAAAGTCAAAAGATGGCTCTCGCCCAGCCGAGTGCCTCACTCGCAGGAAGGACCCTCTTGTCCCTTTGCAGAGCGAGGCTGGGAGTACAGGAAGGGGAAGTGCAATGGCAACAGTGGATGAGAAGAGGTGGCTCCTCTTACACACCTCAGGCAGAATGGCCCAGTGTTACAGTAAGTATAGAGCTATTATTAAAAAAGGCAGCCCCATGCCAGGTTCTCTGCTAATATGTACAGCCGTACCTCGGGAGTCGAACAGAATCCGTTCCGGAAGTCCGTTCGACTTCCAAAATGTTCAGAAACCAAATCACAGCTTCAGATTGGCTGCAGGAAGCTCCTGCAGCCAATCGGAAGCCCCGGCGAACATTTGGGTTCCAAAGAACGTTCGCAAACCAGAACAATCACTTCCAGGTTTGTGGCGTTCCAGAGCCAAAACGTTTGACTCTCAAGGCATTTGAGGTCCAAGGTACGACTGTATTATATACTGCTCTGTGTCTGGAGTATTTTACGATACTGTATATTTATTGTTATTATTAATATCATCATTAATTTATTAATCGGAGGGCCGCAACAGCTTTGTAGGGGACCTATGGGAGCAGTCAGTATTTTTTCAAATTAGTTTTAAAATTAAATTAGTTAACAAATAAAATTGGGGGAGCCCCCCCCCCAAAAAAATACATTTTAGTATTATGACTCACAGTGGGGGACCCATAAGAACAGTCAATTTATGACAACTTTGGGGAGACTTTGGGCAAACTCACTTAGGGGGCCATATGCAACCCACAGGTTAGCCACCTCTGCTAGGTGGGAAAGTCCCATTCCAAGAGGAGAACAGATGTTAGGATCCAAGCCAAAGCGTCTCTTACGACAAGAATGGGAAACCTGTGGCTCTGCAGACGCTGCAGAACTCCAAATCACAGCAGCCTCAGCTAGCCAGGCCAGTAGTCAGGGGTGATGGGAGTTGTAGCCAGAAACATCTGAAAGGCCACAGGTTCCCCTTCACTGTCTTAAGGCAGATATTCAATTTAATTATCAAATGTGTACCCCATCCTTCTTCAAAAGAGCTCTGGATACATAAAATGATATCATTTTATTCTTGTGAGGTAGGTTAGGCTATGTGACAGCAACTTTGTAAAGGTAACTTGATGAGTTTCGTAGCTGAATGGGGAAGTCTGAATCCAGGTCTCATCTATCCACAACACTATTTGTTACACCAAACCACAGTCTCCCCACAACACAGTAATTACATCTGAATCGCATTATAAGCGTAGCAGGATTTTGTAGCCGGGTACAAAAACCTGAGAGCATCCAAACTTTATAATACAAAACAATAAAGCCATCTATATAAAACCCTTACCTGTCTAAAGTTGTATCGGATCTATATCGGCTAAGCAAAGCTTTTTGATCATCCTTTTCATCGGTGCTCCTGACATTAAGAAAGATTAATTAATTATAGTAACTGAGGGTTAGTAATGACTTTAAAGAAAATTTCCAGTCACTAAAGTATCCAAATTAGATCTGTCAGATGATTAACCTCTGCAATTTAACAAATGATCTTTTGAGATAAGAAATAAATTGAAATATTCCAATATCGCAGTTGAGGTGATCATTTCAAGATACTTAATAAATATTTCGATTCTCCTGACTAAATTGAACAAAAAAAAAGTTGAGAAATTATCTTCACACTTCCACAGAATCTTGTATCATGTGAATACATGGCAATATCCTCAATAGTCAATATCCTTTCATAGCTGTCTAATTATGTTACCTATCTCTTCAAAAATTTGTTGGCGTTATCACATATTACAAATCCATTTTCCATCTTCTGTTCTCATTTTTAAAAGCAGTGGATGAGAGGAGGTGGATGGGTAGATGCAGCACATTTTTAACTTGAAATGTAGAATTCTGTCACTAATATACCGGTATGTAATTTGCAAGGGGAATATTGCATTGCAATCAAAGACATAGACTTTGCTGAACCAATAAAGCAAATTCTTCAGATGTTAGTCTCCAACTCCTATCTGTCCCAACCAGCATTGCCAATGATCAGGACTGATGTGAGTTACAACAGCACCTAGAAGATCTCAAGTTTCTCAGCCCTGCTATAGGTTATTAATGAGAACAAACAACCATAGCCTGCATATATTTCCATAGTTGGGAAAAAGTGGAGGAAACTTATAGAGATTAATAGGCTACTATACCTGTGTAAACCATCTTGTGATTTGTATTGATTAAGGACCACTCTGCCATAGTTTTCATCAGCGCTGCAATAAACCAAATATTTCATATTATTTTCATTTATATAGTGCCTATAAACTAATGATGATGTCTGAAGGCCCTGTTCAAGGAAGTGTGTCAATGTAGGAAGAGGCTGACAAAGGGAAAATACTCAAGGGACTATACACTTTTCTACTGATTCTACTTCTAAATGTAGCATATATTGGTAATGTAATCAGATAAAAGCCCTGGGCAGCTGTTCAGATGCACCTCCTCATTTTTACACAATGATTTATGAATGAGTGTGGATCCTTTCTGGTCCATAAATTGCTATAAACCTTTCACCAAGAGCGCGCGCGCGCGCGCACACACACACACACACACACACACACACAGACTGAAGCTACAGCATATGAACATACACTCAGATTTTATATAGCTATCCATATGACTTCTTGGAAGTTATAATTCTGCAGCTACAAGGCACAAATTATGGAGCTATCGAGCTTTCTTGAGTTTCAAGTTATTAACGTAATACAAATAAATGAATTCTGTTGCCAGAGCACAAAAGATTGATTCTTATAATGGAGTTAAGGCTTTCATCTTGAGTTAAATATGGAAGGACCCAATGCCAACATCTGTGACAAAGTTCACATACTTTAATCATCAGGCTTTGTTTGCTGAACTTTTCCCTTGCTCTACAGATAACTCTTCTGCAAAATGCTGTTTGATTCCTTTCAGCCCTCACCTTCTGGCTATTATAAACTAGATCAGGCATAGGCAAACTCTGCCCTCCAGATGTTTTGGGACTACAACTCCCATCATCCCAGACCACTGGTCCTGTTAGCTAGGGATGGTGAGCGTTGTAGTCCCAAAATATCTGGAGGGCTGAGTTTGCCTTTGCCTGAACTAGATCGCCATAAACCCTATGCTTCCATTATGAAAGCAAAACCAGTAAATTTTTTAACTTTCAAAACTTGAGGGAATCCCTTCCAGTCAGATCTGTTGGTCAAAGGAGTGCTGCACATCTGCCCTAGACCTCCTGCATCTACAATGTCCAGATTTGGAGTACATGGGTCAGTCTGTTTCCAGTCTCTGTTGGTTTTGCATGTGGTCATTTATAAATCCATTCCATCCCATTTTCACATTAATTTGCAAATTTGTGCTATCACAAAATACTCATTTAAATATGTATTATTTCAATCAATGCATTACAAAACATATACATGTGCAATCCCCCCCCCTTTTTGGTAATTTTTTTTTTTGAGCTAAGAAACTTTGGAAAAGTGCAAAATCTGAAGGATAATTAGCTGCTAATCCATGTATTTGCCTGGGAGGTGTGAATTAGGTCAGTTTGCTTAAAAAAGAGTATGGAACAAAATTCTGTTCCAGATTTGAGAGACGACAAAGGTGATCATTTCAAGATATTTAATAAATATTTTGATTCTCTTGACTAAATTTAGCAGTTGCGTCAAAGCAGGAATTTCAGCAGTTGTTGATTATAATATTGTAGCTGTAGTCTATATGTGCAGAGCAGAGAATTCTGGGAAGTGTATACTTTTCATAGTCAGTTCATGCAAGGTATTGACCAGGATATTTCGACCTCACCATTACACTATGTTTACAGAGAATGTGCTTTAGAATATGGGTAGTTGTGAGCTAGCCTCTTTCAGGTAAGCTTGTTTGTCTGTACTGATCATTAAGGAATGCCTGGAGAATTTATGAGGCACCCCAGGGTTCCCCGGAACACAGTTTGAAATGCATAGAGTTAGACTCACCATTGGATATGCAATAGATCGGATGTAACAGATGTTGACTGGACAAAGGAGACTTTACAGATGCATCCCAGGCCTCTCCTACTTTTACTGTTTTGTTTTAAGTGTTAAGTGCCCTGCCACTTGGAGTGAAACTCTGACATCTGCATGCCTTGGCAATATGCTACATACTACAAGCTTTCTATAAAGCATTTTTAATCTTTCTATCTCTTGTGCTACCTGTGTTTAATTTAAACATCTCCTGAAGTACTTTGATCTTATCCTTTGATCTGCAGCGCCTAGCCCTGGGAGAAGTTTTATTAAGATTACACATAAAACCACAGACACAAACGCCTTAGTGGCCTGCCTTCCATCTCTCCTCTCTCTGCAGCTGATGGCTGCATCAAGAGCTGCAAGCACAGGCAAGACTCTCAGAAGAAGCAAACTGGCTGCCCAACTACTGTAGCAGCCAACTCCTTTCTGTGTCATTTAGCAAGAACTTGTTGGTTTGGGGCAGGGATGGGCAACCAGTGACCAACATTCAGGAAAAGTGAGGACTGCAATCCAACAACATCTGGCAGGCCACAGGTTCCCCATTCTTGGTCTAGGGCCAAGATTCAAAGAGCCCATACAACCGAGGAAAAGGTGGGCTGGTAGACAAATTCATGGAGCATCAATCCAGTAGTGGTTATTAAACATCATTGATCATTAGAAACTCCTTTTCAGAGGCAGGGTGCCACGGACTGGTTGGAAGCAGAGGAATGGTGGGAGGCACTGGCTGGGGAACAGCCAAGGTGTGATGGCCTGGGATTCGGACTTGGAGGCTGAACCTGAGGAATCCCAGCCTGCACAGGAGTCCCCGCCTCCAGAACCAGCTGAGCCGGGGCTGGGGCATGAGCCTGAAGGGTCCTCACCTGTGCTGGATCCTCAGGTGCAGGCACCAGCTGAGTCTGCTCTGGCTCCTGAGGTGATGGAGGACTCGTTGCCTGCAGGTGCTCCACTCGCAGCCCCATCAGGAGAAGCTGAGGCTGCCTCTGGGTCCGGTAACCCTTCAGCCTCTCCTGAGCTGCAGAGGCTCAGGGCAGAGAGGCGGAGGGAACTAAGTTCCCGCAGGAGGAGTGCTCGCCTCCAGGCCAGGAGAGGCGAGTCACCTGAGGATCGGGGCCACCCTATGCCCTAGGGCAGATAAAAGCCAGCCAGCCCCAGTCCCAGGTTGCGGGAGCAACATTGTTGGTAGCCCGTTCCTGCCTGCACCCTGTCCTGCTCTTCTGCCAGAGTTCCTGACCTCACCTGACTCCCTGCCTCGGACCCCGCTTCAGCTTTGATGGACAGCCTCCTTGACCTTGGACTGGACATGGACCTCACCACACGGACCAGCACACAAGGGAAGAAGGCTTCAGATTGGGGGTGGGATGATGGTGAGTGATCAGAGGGAGAAGAGAGGCTGGGAGGAGGAGATGTTGGAAGCCGAAGAGGTAACAGGTTTTAGTGAGCAGGGAGAATCTGTGGCAGAGGGAAGTGCAGAAGCAGAAACAGGAGAGGAGGGAGGTCAAGAGGCAGAGATGAGTCAGGCTGGTGAAGAAGCCAGGGTGTCTCCCACTCCTGCTGCGAAAAGCTCCCCTCCTCCCTGGTCTCCCAGGACCAGGAGAGGCATGAAGTAGGCGCAAAGGCAGGCATGCAGGTGCAGTCTCAAATTGCTTGGGGAAAACCCTGGACAGGAGGAGACTTAGGCAGCTGGGGGAAGGCAGAGTCCTTCAGTTTCCACAACTGCCTCATAGTGACAAGACCTACCGAGAAGAGTGGCTGTGCCTTTCGAGGACTACAAAACATGAAGTTTGTCCACGGCAAGCCTCTTGGCAGGCCACAATACCAAGCTGCTGGGCCATGTTTGGATTAGCAGATCACAACAAGATAAAAGCCAAAATGTGTCTCCCCCCCCTTACTTTTCCTCCTCGGGTCTTTTCTTTATCCAGCTGTTATCTTGTAACAGAGTCCTCTTCTTGTTGACCTCATTAATAACTTGTTGTCTACTCTTCATTGCAATGGAAGCATTCTTCGTATCTATTAGTGCACAGGCAAGAAAATTAGAAATTACATACCAAATGTAATTTTTGATCAAATATATATTGTTCACTTTGCAAATTTCACTGATGTGTGCTATAGTTTCTAATAAAACATCTACCTTAAAATAGTAAATTAAGAGGAGTGTGAGACTTGGAAAGTTCCCAGAGACACCTCAAAGCTGAAATCAGGGTGGTAGACTATTGCCTACATGTCACACAACTATTAACTATTTTGCTAGAAATACCTACAGTGCAACCCTGAACATTTCTACTGAGACACAAGCTCCATTGAGTTCAGTGAGATTTTCTACCAGGCAGGTTTGCATGGGATTAGAGCCTGATGCATGTGAAATCTCTTGCCACACAATACCAGGGTTCGCCCTAAGGATGAAGTCCTATAGGCTTAGCATGTTGATCAACATCATGATGTTATCTTTCCAATGCATAATTAAAAACAACAACCAAATTTTCAGTAAACTAATTTTTTTCATTGTTTTCCTCCATAAATGCTTCCAAACAGGGCAGAATTCATTGTCAAGCCATGACAAATGTTATACTGTATCTGTGCAAGCATTTTGACTTGGCTAATGGGACTGTGGCCCTTTTCCTCCTCCTGCCCCCCCTTGCACTGTTCTGGGGGCTCTGCCAGCCCTCCCTTAGGACCAACTGGGGGAGCATCGGGGTGTGGGGAGAGGAAGAGGAAAGCCCCATGACACAAGTGGAAGTACTTGCACATGGCTTCCACTTATGGGGCCCATTAGGTGAATCCCATCCAAAGTTCCATACAACATAATACAAAAATAAGAATCAATATAAAACTTTAAAAAAAAAAACCCTATAAACACATCCCATCCAATATAAGAGGCCAACATATCTAAAACTCTCCAAATTCATCTTATTATTTACTACAGGTCTACTCAAAAGTAAATCTCACTGAGTACAATGGGGCTTACTTCCAGTTAACTGTGTAGAGGGCTGCACTCAAAGTCTGTTCACACACTTGCCATATTCCTTGAAACCTCTCTGAGCTAGTTCCCCCGCCCCACCATAAGATTTTATTAAAGCTTTAATGAAAGCTTTAATGAAAGCTAAACCTCTCTGAGTGAGTTGAAACATTTGCTTTCTTCCAGTTTGCAGCTCTGCACAAATGTACTGTTGTCAGCAAAAACTCGATATTCAGTACATTTTATTGTATTTTATTGCTATGGCTAGTGGCTGATGCAAATAAAGATTCTTCTGCTTTTGCTTGATAGAACTTTTAAAAATGATTATATTGCATTTGTGAGGTGCTTCTGGCTGAATGGAAGATATTGACAGCACAATCTTAGGCATGTTTGGTCAAAAGGAAGCCCAGCTGTGTTCAGTGGGGCTTCTAGATTCCCTTGTAGAGGAGTGGCGGCAGCCATCTCAACTGATCTCAAGACCACTTTGAAACTCAAACTGGGACCTCATGGCACAACAAAAAAACACACACAAACAACAAGGGTTAATCAGCATGTAGTTAAATTTGAAGTACATCTGACACAAAATGCAAAGGGCTGGAAGACATTTTGCCAATCTGTTGGTTTGACATTTTAAAAAGAGGGGGCTATGTTTTTCCCCCCAACCCCTTGACTAACTCAACAGAAGCAGAACAGAAAGAGTGATAGCACATTACCACTTTTGTTAGGGGCCGATTTTCCTACAGTGAAGGTTGTCATTTTGTTCAGAGGTGTTTTCTTTATGGTGCACTGAAAGAAAGTAAAAATAAGAGACATTAAGTATGGGGTGGTGGGAGGGTGGGAGGAGACCCAATCTGGCAAAAGACATAAATGGCAGGCTAAAATAATGAGACCACAACTCTTCCTCAGCCTCACTTTCCAGATGCCAGCTTTCATATAACTGAACATAAGAAGAATCCTGATGGGTCAAACTATTTAGCCAAGTATCCTGTTCCCCACAATGGTCAATCGGCCAATAGCCCTTTCCTGTTGTTGCTCCAAGCAGCTGGTATTCAGTGGGATATTGTCTCTGATTCAAACCTGGAGTTACACATAGACATTTTGACTAGCCACAACCCAATACATCTCAAGCAAGGACCCAAGTCCTCACTTAAGCTGTCAGTTCACACAGGCCTCAAATACAAGAATATGAATGGGCTCTCTGCTTCTCTGAGATGTGGAAGAATAGGAGAGACTCCTTTTCACCAACATACAGAGCAGTCAGCTGCTGTAAGAGAGGTTTCGATATTGGCTTGCTGACATTTCTTCTTCAGATAGGAGGCAGGAACAGCTGTCCACCCTCCTCAGCAGCTTCTGTTGTCTTTTAAAGCTGGTATTCCTTATTTGCTCTGCTTTACACTAGTCAGCAGAGACCCTCTGCTGTCTGATTCCTGACCACACAACTAAACAAGCACTCAGGAGCTTCTATGCCTTACCACTGCTAACTAAAAGTCTGGTGGCAATTTTTAGAAAGGGAAAGAAGGGAACGAGTGAAAGTATCAAATTAAATAAATAATGGTTGGCTTCAACTTCTCTCCAACTGACTGGGTACATGTAAGTTTTGGTACTAATGACAAAACCAAACCAGTTTTTTAGATACTATAAATGACTGTGCCATAGAACAAGGACAAAAACAGGAGAAGAGAGAATATATTCAACGTAATCGTTCACGTAATCGTGCTTGGATATAGTGACTGCTACATTATTAAATTTAAAATCAAGTGCTACTTTCCACTTGGGCAGATGAGGCTCATCAACCTGGGAAGGTAGTGTTAAGTTGTGGGTGAACATATCAGACAACACAGCGATTCTTCAAACAGCTCTTGTTTATTCACAGGCCAGAACAGAACTGGGCTGAAGGGTTCAGCCAGCCTGCTTATATAGCGTTCAACTACAAAGCAACAGTAACAACTTTCTGTAACTATCCAATCACTGAACGTCACTTTCAATTCCTTATTTGCATATGTGGACTTGAATGAAAACTATCTACAGTATCCCCCTGCTGGCCCAGGGTGAGAACTTCAGTACATAACAGGTAGCCCACCTAGGAGAAGGCAAACTCTGATTCTAAACCTCTACAGTGGTACCTTAGTTTATGAACTTAATCCGTTCCAGAAGTCCGTTCTTAAACCAAAGCGTTCTTAAACCAAGGTGTGCTTTCCCATAGCAGCGGGGGGACTCAATTTACAAATGGAACACACTCAATAGGAAGCGGAACATGTTCTGCTTCAAAGACAAAGTTCACAAACCAAAACACCTACTTCTGGGTTTGCAGCGTTCTTAATCCAAGTTGTTCATAAACTAAGCTGTTCTCAAACCAAGGTACCACTGTACTGCCTTGCAGGACATATTCGGTAGAAGAAACAGCTAAGGGGCAAACCCTACACAAATCTGGAGTGGAGTCCCTAAGACGGTTGGATAGTGCCAAGTCCTCCACAGGAAACAAAGCAAATGCCAGTACACTGATCAGAAGCTGCCGCACAACACCATGTTTTAAGTTCAATTCCTAGGGTGTTCTGCAGCAGGATAAAGGGGCACGAGAGATAGACTCTTCCACCAGTTCCAGCCAAGTGATTCTAGTTGATTCTTTTTTCAAAAGAAAGGATAAAGTTTAAATTGTTTGCTATCACGAGTATTCGGGACGTGGGTGGCGCTGTGGGTTAAACCACAGAACCTAGGACTTGCTGATCAGAAGGTCAGCGGTTTGAATCCCCGCGACGGGGTGAGCTCTCGTTGCTCGGTCCCTGCTCCTGCCAACCTAGCAGTTCAAAAGCACAACAAAGTGCAAGTAGATGAACAGGTACTGCTCCGGCGGGAAGGTAAACAGCGTTTCTGTGCGCTGCTCTGGTTCGCCAGAAGTGGCTTGGTCATGCTGGCCACATGACCCGGAAGCTGTACGCCGGCTCCCTCGGCCAATAAAGCGAGATGAGCACCACAACCCCAGAGTCAGCCACAACTGGACCTAATGGTCAGGGGTCTCTTTACCTTTGCCTTCTATCACGAGTATTGTAACAACAGAGGCATTGAACAACAGGCCTGAACAATTGTGACTCGTCAAGCTGACTGCAGATCATCAACCTATGGGAGAACAATACATCTTTTTTTTTTAATGCTTAGAATCATAGAATCATAGAATCATAGAATCATAGAGTTGGAAGAGACCACAAGGGCCATCGAGTCCAACCCCCTGCCAAGCAGGAAACACCATCAGAGCACTCCTGACATATGGTTGTCAAGCCTCTGCTTAAAGACCTCCAAAGAAGGAGACTCCACCACACTCCTTGGCAGCAAATTCCACTGTCGAACAGCTCTTACTGTCAGGAAGTTCTTCCTAATGTTTAGGTGGAATCTTCTTTCTTGTAGTTTGGATCCATTGCTCCGTGTCCGCTTCTCTGGAGCAGCAGAAAACAACCTTTCTCCCTCCTCTATGTGACATCCTTTTATATATTTGAACATGGCTATCATATCACCCCTTAACCTCCTCTTCTCCAGGCTAAACATGCCCAGCTCCTTAGCCGTTCCTCATAAGGCATCGTTTCCAGGCCTTTGACCATTTTGGTTGCCCTCCTCTGGACACATTCCAGTTTGTCAATGTCCTTCTTGAACTGTGGTGCCCAGAACTGGACACAGTACTCCAGGTGAGGTCTGACCAGAGCAGAATACAGTGGCACTATTACTTCCCTTGATCTAGATGCTATACTCCTATTGATGCAGCCCAGAATTGCATTGGCTTTTTAGCTGCCGCGTCACACTGTTGGCTCATGTCAAGTTTGTGGTCAACCAAGACTCCTAGATCCTTTTCACATGTACTGCTCTCAAGCCAGGTGTCCCCATCTTGTATTTGTGCCTCTCATTTTTTTTGCCCAAGTGCAATACTTTACATTTCTCCCTGTTAAAATTCATCTTGTTTGTTTTGGCCCAGTTCTCTAATCTGTCAAGGTCGTTTTGAAGTGTGATCCTGTCCTCTGGGGTGTTAGCCACCCCTCCCAATTTGGTGTCATCTGCAAATTTGATCAGGATGCCCTTGAGTCCATCATCCAAGTCATTGATAAAGATGTTGAATAAGACCGGGCCCAAGACAGAACCCTGTGGCACCCCACTAGTCACTCTTCTCCAGGATGAAGAGGAACCATTGATGAGCACCCTTTGGGTTCGGTCAGTCAGCCAGTTACAAATCCACTGAGTGGTAGCATAGTCAAGACCACATTTTACCAGCTTCTTTACAAGAATATCATGAGGCACCTTGTCAAATGCCTTGCTGAAATCAAGGTAGGCTACATCCACTGCGTTCCCTTCATCTACCAGGCTTGTAATTCTGTCAAAAACGAGATCAGGTTAGTCTGACATGACTTATTTTTCAGAAATCCATGCTGACTATTGGTGATCACAGCATTCCTTTCTAGGTGCTCACAGACTGTTTGCTTAATGATCTGCTCCAGAATCTTCCCTGGTATTGATGTCAGACTGACTGGGCGGTAATTATTTGGGTCCTCTCTTTCCCCTTTTTGAAAATAGGGACAACATTTGCCCTCCTCCAGTCTGCCGGGACTTCGCCTGTTCTCCAGGAATTCTCAAAGATGACTGCCAGTGGTTCTGAGATCACATCTGCCAGTTCTTTTAATACTCTTGGATGCAGTTCATCTGGCCCTGGAGACTTGAATACATCTAAACTAGCCAAGTATTCTTGTACTATCTCCTTAGTTATTCTGGGCTGTGTTTCCTTTGCTGAATCATTTGCTCCAAATTCTTCAGGTCGGGCATTGTTTTCTTTATCGGAGAAGATTGAGGCAAAGAAGGCATTGAGGAGTTCAGCTCTTTCTGTGTCCCCTGTTTGCATTTCACCATCTTCTCCTCTGAGTGACCCCACTGTTTCTTTGTTCTTCCTTTTGCTACGGACATACCCATAAAAGCCTTTTTGTTGCTTTTAACCTCTCTAGCAAGCCTGAGTTCATTCTGTGCTTTAGCGTTTCTGACTTTGTGTCTCCACGTGCTGGCTATTTGTTTGAATTCCTCTTTGGTGGTTTCCCCCTTTTCCATTTTTGTACACATCCTTTTTAATCTTAACTCAGTTAAAAGTTCTTTAGATAGCCACCCTGGCTTCTTTAGGCACCTTCCATGTTTCCGTCTCATTGGTATTGCCTGACGTTGTGCTTTTAGTATCTCCCTCTTAACAAACTCCCAGCCATCATGAACTCCCTTTCCTTTTAGTATTACTGTCCATGGGATCTCACCCAGCACTTCCCTAAGTTTTATGAAGTCAGCTTTCTTAAAGTCAAGAAATTGAGTCCTAGTATGCTTGGCTGCTCCTTTCCGCTGTATAGTAAACTTCAGAAGAGCATGATCACTCGCGCCTAATGATCCTTCCACTTCTACCCCACTAACCAGGTCATCAACATTGGTTAGGACCAGATCTAAAATGGCTGTTCCTCTTGTTGCTTCTCCCACTTTCTGGACAATGAAGTTGTCTGCAAGGCCAGTGAGAAATCTGTTTGACCTTATGCTCTTGGCTGAGTTTGACATCCAACAAATATCCGGGTAATTGAAGTCCCCATTACTACTATCTCCCTTCCTTTTGCATGCTTGGCCATCTGTTCCAGGAAGGCATCATCTATGTCCTCCGTTTGGCTTGGGGATCTATAGTAAACTCCCACAATGAGGTCACTGTTATTCTTCTCTCCCTTAATTTTGACCCAAATGCTCTCACTTTGGCTTTGAGGTTCTAAATCTTGGATCTCTTCACAGGTATACACATCCCTGACATATAACGCCACTCCTCCTCCTTTCTTGTCTGGTCTGTTTCTCTGAAATAGATTGTATCCCCCCATTATTACATTCCAATCGTGGGACTTATCCCACCAGGTTTTCTTTAGCTTGCTGGAGAATGTGACACCAAGGCTATTTCTGCGCATCCAGCAGCGCACCCAGGTCAGTAGGTAGCAACTGGCTTGGTGGATCACAGATTCTTCAGGTCCTTTCATAAATGACTGAAAACAGTATCAGACTGAGGCCAAAAACCTTGGTCCTGCCACACCTATTAATTCACACCTGTCTGCATAAGCTTCAGAATTCTACTTGTTGATCATGAAAATGTTAGCAACACCCTTGCCCTTTCAATTTATGTCAAATTCATTGGCAAAGTGTAACAGGCAGAACATATGACAGGAAGCTTTTCTTCTCACCCAACAACAACAAAAATGTTCAAGCCTTCTGTAAGAAATTGTTTTGAAATGCTCACTGGGCATTAAGCCAACATGGAGTATTTCCTAGTAACCACTCTTTTTATACTATCAGATAAGCTTTGCTGGGGACGGGGTGGGGATAGTTGATTTTTGCTTCGGGTTTATGTTGTTTCGGTAGCTACTGCCATTCCAAAGAAAGGCTATACCAAAGTGTGCTTGATCAATTTAAAAGCTGAATGCTCATTGTGGCTGCTTTTTATTTTTTCCATGCTATCTGAATTAGAGGAATTTTGTTTTTATAAGCATTCGACCCTGGCAAAGCTTTCATTGCAAGACTCCACCTTCACAGACTGTTGACACTCTTTGGTATGCCAACATATAAATTAAAGGCTCCATGTTGCAAATTTGGATTTCATTTTGCATTTGCATTTCACTTTTGGTGTTTAGGAGTCTCTTCCAGATTTGTTAATGCTGACATGCCTGTGCCGTTGTTTAATATTTTTTTCCTGGGGAGCCAGTCCTTTAAAAATGATCAATCTGTGCTGCTTTTAAATGTTTGCAGTGTGGTATTGCTGTGGTACACTACCCTGATCTTTTATGAAGTCTCATTATGTAAATACTTTTCTAAAGGAAGGAAGGAAGGACATTCTTGTCAACTTTATAAACCTCCCAAAGCTATATCAGAGTGTGTGAAGAGGCAAACAAACAGCTCCCACAACCCCAAATTCCCTCCCAAGTTATGGCTTTGCTTGCTCTGGGACACAGTGCAAGCATTTTACTCACTTTTGCCCTGTTTTCAAACCTTTCTAGTATACAGGACATCTTAAATGAGGCATGCTACCAATTTCAGTTTTCTAGCCAGCATAGAAGACATTTGGTATATAATTCCCATTGACTTGTTTGGGTGTTTTAAAACAAATGGGGGGGGTGAGGGAAGCAAAAATAATGACACCCCCCCTCCGATTGTTTTGATAATTTTAGTGACTAAAGTTGAAACACACAAAAAAACCATTTCCTTCTTACTTGCTCTTCTTACTTGTTCTTATTTTAATTTTCCCAAAGGAGACCCAACTAATATTTTTTCAGCATGCAGCTTGAAAATGCTGTAGTTACAGCCCCTCGGGCCAATATTCCTCTGAGCTCTAGCTCACGGTGGGATGATCTGAGATGAAACAATCTATATCTGCCAGATGTCTTGGGATGTTGAATTTGCATTGCAATTTCAAAAAAAAAAAAAATGCTTCTGGGAAGGCTGGGGGAACAGTACAAATTGTGACTGCTGCCTTGTGACCTGGCCTTGTGACCTAAAAGGGCAATAAAGTAAATGGATGGAAGGTCTGGATTTCATATGCTGATTTGAATTTTTAGACCCCTAGAAGCAACAATTGAAAAAGTAACTTGGAGCACATAATGGAGTGTGAAACAAAAAGGCTGAAATAGAAGGGGTTAAGCGCCTCCCCTGCCCCACCTGCTTTCCCTCCACTGGGGTCTCCTTTTTCACATGTACTATGTAATTTAAACATTTGGCTATAAGAAGTCAGTAAAGTAATTTGATCTGGTGGCAAAATCCATCCGTTCTTTATCACAGACCAAAAGAAACTGGCACAGATCTACCGTATTTTTCACTCTATAAGACGCACCAGACCACAAGACGCACCTAGTTTTCGGAGGAGGAAAACAAGAAAAAAAATATTCTGAATCTCAGAAGCCAGAACAGCAAGATGGATTGCTGTGCAGGGAAAGCAGCAATCCCTCTTGCTGTTCTGGCTTCTGGGATAGATGCGCAGCCTGCATTCGCTCCATAAGACGCACACACATTTCCCCTTACTTTTTAGGAGGGGAAAAGTGAGGCTTATAGAGCAAAAAATATGGTATTTGATAATACTGCCAGTTGTCTGGCTAACTAAATATAGGCTTTGATTTCACTGCAATAGATCTTGATTTGTTGTATCCACATTTGATAACTGTTATTTATGAGGCTATGGTCTGCTGCTTAGACATCACATGGTTTAGCTCATTGCTCTCTGTAAGATTAAGCACCCAAGTTCATTTATCCCTTTCTCTTCATCCCAAGCTGAGAGATCTTCTGCAGATGTGTTGTCTGATCGATCTACTGTATGTATACCAGTGACTACCGATTATTTGGCCACTACTTCACTTGTTTGTCGTACGCTGGTGAGTCATAGTTTCAGCATGCACCAGGGTACTCACAATATGACAGCTCCGCGACAGGCACCCTTTTATCCGGCTGACAAACAAACATGAACCCAAAATAGCAAACAATCTTGGGTGGACTCCCATCTCCAAGTCATCGTGATGTGAATAAGCTTACAATACCAGTCCTCAACAGCTGAAAAAAATGATGAAGGGCAGCTGCATTTTTGTGTTGCTGTCATGGGGTGTGTATGTTTTAATCCACGCATGCTTACTTTTAGTTTTGATAACTCCATCCTGTTTGGGCAAGGGAGTGTGGTAATTGGGCGTGGTGATTACTAAAGGAATGATGGCTTTGGGGGAGGAAATGAGCTGGCGTCAAAGAGGGATGCAAAAGGTATTTCATACGTGAGGAGCGCAAGTCTGGCTCCAAAACTGGTACGGATTCACAAGGAAAAGGCACGCAGGTGAAATAAGGACCCTGGCGAAGCTATGTTTACCATGCAGATGCTGCTGGAAATGGCCTCTGTGTAATAACTAATCTGTAGTCTGGCAGGAAAATTTAATAGGGTGACCACTTAAGCATAGGGACGTGGGTGGCGCTGTGGGTTAAACCACAGAGCCTAGAACTTGCTGATCACAAGGTTGGTGGTTCGAATCCCTGCGACGGGGTGAGCTCCCGTTGCTCAGTCCCTGCTCCTGCCAACCTAGCAGTTCAAAAGCACGTCAAAGTGCAAGTAGATAAATAGGTACCGCTCCGGTGGGAAGGTAAATGGCATTTCCATGCACTGCTCTGGTTCACCAGAAGCGGCTTAGTCATGCTGGCCACATGACCCGGAAGCTGTACGCCGGCTCCCCTGGCCAATAAAGTGACATGAGCGCCGCAGCCCCAGAGTCGGCCACGACTGGACCTAATGGTCAGGGGTCCCTTTACCTTTACCTTTACTTAAGCATAATAATAAAAAAGGGAAATGCATCACCTAAAAAAGGAGGGCAAATGAGGATTTGCATAACATTTACGCATAAGAACTTAAGAAGCACCTCCTAGATCAGGTCAATGACCCATCTAGTCCAGTATCCTGATCTCAGTGACTGACCACATAAACATCAGACATGCTAGCTTGTACGTATTAGCAAACTTAGACATAATTCCTGTAATTTTTTAAAGAAATATAGTCTTGTCGCATCCACAGCTCAGTGTTAGCTGCACCCACACTGTACATTTTAAGCAGTCTTATACCAGTTTGCTGGTTATATCTTTCCCCAAAGAAACTGTAATCCTTTAAGGGTGCTGAGAGCTGCTAGGAGACCCCTTGCACAAAACCAGAAAACTTCAAAGGTGTGTGCTGAGAGTTCACAATTGCCTGAGACTGTGTATTATTTTGTTTCACATTTCCGGGGTGGAGAATTTTTGGTTATTTATCTGAATGCATGCCCTGTTGGTCTTAATCAGCATAATAGAATCAACAAATTAGAAGGTGGGAACAATCACAATAGGGAATTCCTATGCGTATTAATGGACAACATCCAAGTTGCTCTTCATATACAAATTCAAATGCATTCAGGGGTGGAGTACTCTGGTCTAATTTGAATGAGGGGAAATGGATCAACAGCTAAATAATGCTCAAATGTGGAGAAGATATTAATATTGTATAAGTACTGTAGTTCCTATGTAACCTCAAGTGTGCCTCAGATTGTTTTTTGCTGCTCCTACAACACACCCCTGTCCTTATGCCCTTGTTCCTGTGTGATTAGACTGAGCAAGGGCCCAACTCTGGCCCTTCACAGCTCCAGACAGGACTTCTCCTTTTAACCAACAAGGTTTTCACTATCCTCAAGTTCCAGCTGCTGTCCAGCCACCATACATGATGGACCATATTGTACCAAGTTGATTTCCCAAAGTGTACCTCAGCTGTCTATGTGAACTAAATAACTGGGGAAGGAGAGGCAGGCGTGTGAACAGTTGCTAATGCTGGGTTGTAAACTTCGTGCTCCTTGTTCTTTATCGCAGGTCTACAAACAATCTCACCCTGGCCTAATTCTCCCATCTCTATTTTACCTATTATCCTGTGACTCCACAAGATTTAATTTCTCGCTTTGCCCCAGGCTCCAGAATCCACACCTTAACAAATTAAGGATAGTTTCCTGTAGCACTGAGAAAAGAACTTTTGTTTCAAAATTGTGGTGGATGACAAAATCACCACACACACAAAATAGGGGTCAATTGCAGGGGGCAACATTAAAAAAACAAACAAAAAAGAGGTTTGCTATAGAGTAGACAATTAGCAACATTAGAGCTGCCTTTATTTTATCCCTGCTGAAACTTGTGGAGATTCTAAGTTCTCAGTATTAAAAATAAAAAAAATCATTGCTACTGTCCCACAATAAGTCAGCTCAGCCCAGATCTGTTGTGAGGAAAAAATACTGTCAAAATCCTTGGTCCCTTTGGTTCCCTCAGGCACAAGTCTCCTGCTTCTATCAGCTCCCAGCTCGTCCCTTCTGCTGACTGCTCCTCAGTGTCCCACCACCAGGCTCTGGGCTGTAAGGTGAAGTCTTCAGAGCCCTCCCTGGTGGGGACTCTTGGGAGGCAGCCTTCCATCACTCTTCTTCATCGAGCCAGTCCCTGACATGCTTCACACGTGCCAGGAGAAAGAGAAGAGCCCAGTTACGGACCACCAGAGCTAGAACAAGCTTCGCAGTGATGCTCTAGGTGCTGCCCTCTGTGAGAAAGAGAACAAATGGCTTGTGGGTTGCACTTGGCTGCATGGCTGCATGTGTGTGGCATTTGTGTAAATGGATGAGAGAGGACAAGAGACTGCGTGGATGAATGGGAATAATGCTGGTGTCGAGTGTATGTGGATGGATGGATGGATGGATGGATGGATGGGAGATGTCAGTGTGGAAGAAAGTGAAAGAAAGAATGAATGAATGAATGAATGAATGAATGTATGAAGAAGAAGAAGAAGAAGAAGAAGAAGAAGAAGAAGAAGAAGAAGGGAGAGAGAAAGGTGTTGCGCCCTCAAGGGTATTCATCCATTAACTTCAAAAAGATTACTCACCCCTGCTCTAATGCCTACCCTCCAACATTTCTCCAATGAAAATAGGGATGTCCTATTCCATAATAATAACAATTGGGTGGCTCCCAACATATAACAAAACTTTTAAAAAATTAAACATTTTAAACTTCCTTATACAGGGCTGCCTTCAAATGGCTCAGGGGTCAGATAACTTCATACCCTCCAACATTTCTCCAATGAAAATAGGGATGTCCTAAGGAAAAGCATGACATTCTGCGATCAAATCAGAAACTGGTGCATTTTCTGTAAATTTGGGACTGTCCCTGGAAAGCAGGGATACTTGGAGGGTTGCTAATGCAGTTTTTAGGATAGAACGCTGGAAGTAAAATTAAGTTTTTAAAGTATACAGAATGTCAAAGCTTTTGTAAAACAGATTTAAAACAGGTGAAAGTCACTGGCAGCAGGATCCCCTAAGCAAGCATGATCTGATCCTTTTACATAGAGGAAATCATAATAATAGCCATTCTAACTACTGGTGCTTTAAGAAGGGCATCTTCACACTTTCAACTGCTGAGGCAATCATCTAAGCCACGTCAATGCTTCATGCAGCAAACAATATGTAATACACTGACGTATGCACATCTTTAGATAACCAGCAATAAAGATCTGGTCAAAAGCAACTAGGCAGTGGCACCAAGTCTATGGGGAGCACTTAAATCGGGTTTATCCATTACTGTAAATGTGTGCAGCTTGCAATGCAGCAGATGGAAGAATCAACCACAGAAAGGTTTACACAACTTCAGGAGCTCCAGTTTGCCAGCAACCGTGTTCTGTAGTAGCTTAATGAGCATAGTAGTTAATACTATGGGAGCCGAAACACTGTCTATGCAGAACAGTTAAGTACAGTGGTACCTCGCAAGACGAATGCCTCGCAAGACGAAAAACTCGCAAGACGAAATAGTTTTTCGTTTTTTGAGTTGCTTCGCAAGACGAATTTCCCTATGGGCTTGCTTCGCAAGACGAAAACGTCTTGCAAGTTTGTTTCCTTTTGGATTTTCAATGCATTCCTATGGGAAACCGTGCTTCGCAAGATGAAAAATTCGCAAGACGAAAAACTCGCAGAACGAATTAATTTCGTCTTGCGAGGCACCACTGTAGAAAAAACAGAAACAAAACCTTCTCACCAAAAAGCTTCTCAGCATAACCATAAATACAGTTAGGGTCTCCTTTGCATTGGTGTGTTAAAAGCCGAATTCAGCTCATCATGGTGGTGGGCAAATAGTCATGAAACTAAATAACCATCTGCTGTATCTCTGGACTTCCTTCCTCAAGCCGACTGTTGTACTAGATAGTCTACAAAAGAAGCCTCCAACTCTATGGTTAAATGAATTTGGACCACCTACAGTAATCAGAGGCAAGTGTAGTGACAGGTTGTAGTGACTCTGAGAACAGGTCTTCAGGGCACACAGTTAATTAGATTAGGCCAAAATGGCAGTTAACTACATGCATGTTTTAGAGACCAAACTGATCATCAGGCTTCAATCTCATCTCACAAGTTTCACACCCTAAATAGCATTTTTGCAGGCAGACATGTATTCTGTTTTGCACATAAGGAATGACGTATTTAGTAAAATATGATCATCATTATCTCAGTCATGGGAGATTACAAATACAAAAGAGAAGGTTTAACGACCCAGTACAAAAGTGTAATGCTGAAATCACTTGTCTATTCATAGCAAAGCAAGCTTCTGGAACTGGTTTTACAGGATTTGGGTGGAGAGGATTCTGCCTTGAAAGAAATTAATCTTTAAAATTGTACATAGCCTGAAATCAGCTAGTTAAAGATGACAAAATTTTGATTTGTGTGAATTTGTTTTCCTTCAAACACTCCTGTGCTTCAAATGTAAATTGTTTCTGCACGGTGGAACATTTTGTACAACTTGAAACTTATTTCTTTGTTATTTTGAACAAAACAAAGCAAAACACCTTCCTTCAAAGATCTGCTACATACTTGCAATAAAGCAGAACTTTTAATCCCTGCCATCCACCCAATTTATTTCATACTTTGTTTTTGAAGACATGTCTGATTTCTATGTTCCTTCCTATGAAAGGAATGTACTGGTACATTTCCACCACAATGCACATAAGATTAACATGCGTAAAATGCTACTCCTTCCACCATCTTCCACGTGTAAAAATAGATAAAAAGATTAAGCTGTTTTCCTTCCAGGGTGAGTGCACGCTAGAGTTATCATTTAAGCAAACAACTACAAATTAGAGAATCGTTTGAACAAGCAAGTTTTCAAAACTCTAAAGCGATTTTGACACCCCAGCTTTTGTGTAGCCTTCAGAGGTTCCATCAGATTATACAGAGGTCTATGAAGCAGGAATGTGGTAAAAGAATAATAAAACCAGTCCTCAAAACTGAAGTTGGCTGCTGTAAGTCCAAACTCACTAGAAGAGTTTGGCCTGTAGCAATTCCCAGTATATATTAAAATCCATGCTTACCTCTTCAAACCATGAATGAAAAGGTCCAGAACCCGGCACCCAGTGGTCTCTGTTACGCAGTTCAGTTTACAGAAGAGCAGGATCGTCCTCCATCTGAGAGTCTTAACAGCTTGGAGGCTTCTCTACCAGAGGCTGACTCATTCAGGGAGGAGAAAGGAGGTGCAGAAGAGGGAGTTCACCTTGCACAAATACCAGTTCAGTTAAAATCCACTGGCATATTTTTGTACTCTAGTCTCTGCTAAATTCTCTCCTGTGATGCAGAGACAGATCGCAACAGACAGCAAAAAACATACAGGTTGCTAACGATAACAATACATTTTTGTTACAAGGTGCCTAATCCCATAAAAAACAACAAGCCAGTTGTCACTGTGCAATAGACCTATCACTTTAGTTGGAAGTTGAATGTATATATTTTTTTAAAAAAACAAAAAACCCTGCCAAGCATGTGAGGAATCTTCAGGGCAGTAACCTGAGAAATTTACACACTGCAGTCCTATGTCTACTGGCTGAAGAATTTCAGTCGTTTTGCTGAAGCCTTCTTAGAAGCTGGTGTTGTAGGAACTCCAGAAGAAAACTTGCTCTGCTCTGGAAAATCAGGTTTAGCTATTAAGCAATCTGAAGTATAACCAAATAAAAGGGCTACAATTGCTGTTTGTATGGAAACAGATACTTTTATTTATGCACTTACTCTCTAAGGATGTAATTCTAATTCATGAAGAAGGTGGACACCCCATAGAGGATGTGAGGCAACCAACATACAGTGGTGCCTCGCAAGACGAAATTAATCCGTTCCGCGAGTCTCTTCATCTAGTGGTTTTTTCGTCTTGCGAAGCAACCCTATTAGCGGCTTAGCGGATTAGCGCTATTAGCGGTTTAGTGGCTATTAAAGGCTTAGCGGCTTAGCGGCTAAAAGGCTATTAGCGGCTTAGCGGCTTAGAAAAAGGGGGGGAGCAAAAAAAATCTCAAGACTCGCAAGACATTTTCGTCTTGCGAAGCAAGCCCATAGGGAAATTCGTCCTGCGAAGCGCATCAAAAAACGGAAAACCCTTTCGTCTAGCGGGTTTTTCGTCTTGCGAGGCATTTGTCTTGCGGGGCACCACTGTATGATGTCAGATTATGCGCTATCATTCAGCATTAAACACCCATGCCAAGAGGTGAGCCAAACAAATATATAGCAAAATAATGATTCTGGAGCCTGCTGTGAGGTACAGTCATACCTCGGGTTACAGGCACTTCAGGTTGCGTTTTTTTCAGGTTATGGACTGCCAAAACCCAGAAGTACCAGAACGGGTTACTTCCAGGTTTCGGCAGTCATGCGCACGCAGAAGTGCTAAATCGCGCTTTGCACATAAGTGCCGAATTGCAACCTGCGCATGCGCAGATGCGCCGCTGCGGGTTGCGAACGCTGCGGGTTGCGAACATGCATCCCACACAGATCATTTTCACAAGCCGAGCGCCCTCTGTATTTAATGTTGCATATATCTCTTTTGATTAAAATAAATCCTCAAAGTTAATTCCTGATTTTTTAATTGTTTTCTGTTAACCTAACATAAGTAAGGGGTTACAGTGAGGGGGGAAAGTATTTGAACCCCTGCTAAATTTGCCCGTTTGCCCTCTGACGAAGAAATGACCAGTCCATTATTTTAATGGTAGGTTTATTGTAGCTGTGAGAGACAGAATAACAACAGGAAAAACCCCTGCTTACTTTTTTCTGCCATGACTGTTCTCAAAACAATTACTTCAGTTCAACCAACTTCAAGGTCAGAGCTACCAACTCTTATCTCTTTCCCTCTGGAGAGCTCGGTACTGGAAAATTTCACTTCCAAGCCCACCAGCTATGTCTCACTAACTCCCAAAATTTATAGAGTTTATACACAAAACAATTCAAAAACTATATATGCACATGGTTAGAAATATCTCACCCAGGAAAGAAGCAAGGAAAAAGGAAAAAAAGAAAAAGAAGAAGGAATTTGACTGTTAAATAGCTTTAGCATCTAACTCTCCTTCTGCATTGGAGACCTGTTCTGGCATCTACAAATAATAGTGGCTATCTCTGTTTTGGTGGTAACGCGGGTGACGCTGTGGGTTAAACCACAGAGCCTAGGGCTTGCCGATCAGAAGGTTGGCTGTTCGAATCCCCGCGATGGGGTGAGCTCCCGTTGCTCTGTCCCTGCTCCTGCCAACCTAGCAGTTCAAAAGCACGTCAAAGTGCAAGTAGATAAATAGGTACCGCTCCGGTGGGAAGGTAAATGGCATTTCCATGCACTGCTCTGGTTCGCCAGAAGCGGCTTAGTCATGCTGGCCACATGACCCGGAAGCTGTATGCCGGCTCCCTCGGCCAATAAAGCGAGATGAGCACCGCAACCCCAGAGTCGGTCATGACTGGACCTAATGGTCAGGGGTCCCTTTACCTTTACCTTATCTCTGTTTTGGTAGCCTTAGTATATGTTGTAACTAAGTTGTGGTATGAGGTGCTGAATATAGCAAAATGAATCAGAAATTCTAGGCGATCTACTGCAAATCAGTCTGAGATCTACCAATCAGTAGATCCAAATCCAAGTCCAACCAGGGGGCATTGGATAAAGTGGACTTCAATATGAGAAATATTTGTTTTTACCCATGAAACTCAAAGTTGGGCAAGCCACATTGGCAACATAACCTACTTCACAAGGTGGTTATAAGCAGGTTTAATTAGGGAGGGGGGGTTACACTATGCTGCCCTTTGGAGGAATAGCAGGATACAAAAGTGATTGATACACACTCTCTGAGCCTATTCCTGGAAGGGAGGCTGCAAGCTATTAATAGAACTGCAAATGCAAGAGTGAATTATATGAACCTAGAACGTGTATATCTTGTTCCCAAGGCTTTGTGCTTATCTTGAGGAGAAATTTGCTCGTCTTTAAGTTTCAGGTACGCAGCAACAGCATGAACTGAGCCACACCTTAATCCATACAAGAGAGAACACTGCAAGAGTGGTCACAGGTTGGCAAACACATACTTCAGATGCCAAGAGAGCCTTCAGTGACAGCGAAAAGGCTCCTGGCGATACATTTTATTCCCACAAGTCTCAGCAAAGTTCACATGCCGAAGGCAGAAGGAAAATTAATGAGATTGGCTGGAAATGCTATGAATACTCACGGCACCCTAAACATCAGCCTATTCACTGCAATTTTACAGTGGCTCTTGTTTCAGACACTGTTGGACTTAGTAGGGGCTGAGATGGCAGGAGTCTTTGGGTCCATATAGGAATTAGGGTCTCTCTTCATGGGTACAGTAGCAAAGGTGGTGCCTAGGAACATTGACCTTACAGAATGCCACCGCCTTTGCTTTCCAAAGAGTAAAAAGGACAAACCAGCTAGACATTTATGCATTTGCTGACATTTGTGTCTTCACTCAGAACACAAAGGTTAAATGAGTAAGCGTGACTATACTTCCCAAACATATGTTTATGTATTTTATAGTGCACAGTGTTGTCATGGACAATTAGTAACTGGGATTAATTAACAAGTACCACTGCACAATTTTTGCCAAAATGCATATAATGACAACCAGCATGTCTTCTGAAAGGAGGAGTTTACTTCAGGAGTGAATCAGGATTCCTAAGCTAAGTTGGCCCATATCCTTAGTTTGCATTGGTGCTTATCAGCACACAGGCAAACACAAGCACATCCCAGTAGAAAAGCATATATTACAAAACAAAACAAACAAAAATATGCAGCAACCAGTCTACATAAACAGTAGATCATGTGTTGCAACTGTTTCCGCTCTACACCAGTTTAGACTGCAGATGGGGTAAGCCACATGAATTAATTGTTCACACCACACACAAAAATTCAGTTCCTTTTCACTGAAGACCAGCATGCTGGACTGGAAATAGCATGATGTCTGTTTATGGCCATGTAGATTTTTACATGGGATAGCATTCTATAATGCAATTCCTTATCTAAAATTTTGAAGTGGAACAGTCCAGGAACCATTTTACCAAGTGACATGATGTCTGTGAAAATATGCCTGTTAGGCTGATTTTAAGGTGTGGGGAGGCTATGTTGCAATCAGTCAAAATCCATATTGTGTATATCTATATATGTACTTCAAATTAGCACTTTATTTATTGTTTTTTCTTCTGTTACAGGTAAATCAAAGTTCTATACATGTCTAATAGCAGCGCAATAAGTGCTACTGAGATCAACAAAACTTACTTTCAGGCTGAAGCCCACACTATCTGAAGTATTTTATTTCTACTGAATCTTTTTTTATCATGGCTATAGCTCTCCCTGGGATGATACTGCAGATACTACAGAGCCAGCCATTGATCTGCAGCCTTTAACCAGCCTGTGTATTGGCTTAATTCCTTGAGGGAAGAGACTTGAAAAAACACTGATAGATTATCCAGAGCAGGGATAAGGAAGAAATTTGATTCAGTTTGTATTTAAAGGTAAATCTTATCAAGTCTATGTTTTCCCAAACAGTATGAGAACCAAAAAGACCAACAAGAGCTATACTTTGAAATGTGGCACTTATCTGAATTTTGTGATGCAGTTCTCCAAAATGCACATATTAGGGGAAAGTGTGCATAAAATTAATATGTTAGGTCTAATTGTTCCAGGTCAGTTAGCAACCCGGAAGTTTTTAGATGGGTAAGAGAAGTGTACCACTTCATCTGCGCTGGCCTCTGCAGTATGGTTGGCTTCTCTGTAGTTCTCTCTTTAGTCAAAGAATAACCGGATTTAGGGTGGTGCAAGTGGTTCCCCTGCACAGGGCACGGAGCCGAGGGATGTAAAATTGAGAAGATCCAACATGCAGAAGATCCATATGAGGGCACCAAATCTTGGCCTTGCACAGAGTGCCATATTGCAAAAGATTACCAAAGTCTGTCCCTGGTCAAACCTACTTGGTGGCAGCACACAGATTGCATTCCCGCCTGACTTTCTTCAGGTCACCAGTTGAAGGATGCCTTGAAATGGAGCAGAACCACATATACGTTCTCAATGGACTATAACCTGCCAACCTTCATAGAGCGCATGGGGAGTGAACAAATCTGGGCAATCATCCCAGGTTGTTGTAGAGTTCTCCGCACTCCGTAGGCATCTTTCCATATATACGTTTATACATAAACTACAAAGATGGGTCTAGGTCAAAGCCCTCTTCACAGGTTAGCCTCCATGCATAGGCTAGATATGGGGTGGGTGTCAGAGCAAGACTGTGCCACATGGCCTAATGGTTCTGCCCATGCACCACTGTCCCTGCCCAATAAGTCCCACAGGTTGTTCCAAATGTCTGAAAAGAAAGCCCACAAACATTCAGCTGAACACATGAGGCTTCCATGCAAACAGGGTTCCAGCTCCGACACTGTGCATTCAGTCTCCCTGCAGAACCTCACTTGCAAAGAGAGCTCTTGTCTTGGTCCAGCCTGAAGGAGGTATTGGCCATATGAAAAGATATTTAACCTTCATTTTTTAAGTAAGAAAATCCCACAGTTCTTAATCTTAACTGGAAAGTGCTTAGATTGGAAGATGAGAAAAATCTCAGCCGGTGAACTGTAATGAAACCTAAATAACATGACTGACTTGGGTGTGTATTTAAATTACTGACAACATGTTGCATGACAAATCACCAAGTTGGGTTTTACTTGATTTGCAACTTGCTTTCAGTGTGTGTGGTTCTCAGGGAGCGGCAAATACAGGGCAGGGTAAAACAGGTTCAATAACATTTCGTCGTCAAGCTTGAAGCACAGCATTTAATTCATTCTCTTCTACTCCCAGCATACAAAATAAACGATGGATGCCAATGAAATAGGCTGGGCCTTATCCACACTGGTGTTTTGTCTTGGAGTGAGCCACCACTTTATACAGCACTACTAACAGCAAACAAGTGTTCAAAGCTACTGTCTTCATTTGTTAATCTTGCCCCTCTTGAAATGTTTCCTGTTCTGTGGAGGTTAGTGCACCATACTGGATTGTTTTAGAAATCAGCGATGTTAGATTTTGCTTGGATTCTCCCCTGAAGAATGGACAGCTGGGGTGTATTTTTGTTTTTGTTAAGATAAAAAAAGCAGTCATCATAAATCTACATTCCCTTCAAGAAAACTAATCACCTGTTGCGTAGGGGGAAATCCACTTTTTTGTCATCATTCTTTACTGGAGAAATAATGAGCACTTTTCAAATGCTTAAATTATGTGGTTTTTTGGCCAGAATTAGTTTTACCAAAGGCTGCTTACCAAAGCCAGGACTAGCAGCAGGGATACGTTAATTATAATGTTCAGCAAGGTGTAGAGAAGAGGAACAATTCAGCCAAACATGAACTCACGCAATTATGGGAGGACAACTCTGCTTGAAAGATACATGTTCTATTTCAGTGTGTGTACCTATTCTGTTCCCTGTACAAAACACTTGAAATTCCTCACAGCTCAAGATGCAATTACCTTTCTGCAACTCACGCCTATAACACACTGAAGCAGACTCCCGTGTTTCTATCCCCAACCAGGTGTGTTGAAAATTTTCTAGTTGGGTCAGAGAATTTCCTTGACAAAAACATAATTCCTAATGGATTGAGAAAAGGGGCAAAATGTCCTCACTGCTGGACAGATCATTGGAACTACGTATGGACTTGTTTTTGGACAAAGACCAAACACATAAATAAAAATGGTACGTAGGCTCAGATTGGTGTACACAGAACCACAGGCGCAAAAGATGTACAAATACATGGCTAAGCACAAGCTAAGATGTTGTTCGAACAAGTGGCACGCCCCTTTCACCTTCCTTTGGAAGGACAGAGCAGGCACAGCATCCATGTGGCAAGCAGCCAGAGAGTCCCAGAATTGGGCAAGCAATCGGGTTGAACCTTCAAGTTTTGTTTGTGCTGGCAGATGCTTCTATGTCATTGGAGTCGGATTTCCTGAACCACTGTCCCCGTCTCCAGACTCAGACCCTTCTCAGGGTCCCACGCTCATCTTCCCCTGTTCCCACTAAGACCTTCTCCTGAACCACCCAGCTCCAATTCCAAGCTCCTCCCTTTCCTTTCCTTCTCCAGATCCAACCTCCCGTTCCATGGCCCCTCCACATGGCTCATGACACAAAATGGACGTTGAAGGGAGAGTTCTGTTGTGCTCAGGTCCTGCTTCCAGGTTTTCCATATGCATCTGGTTGGCCACTGTGAGAACAAGATGCTGGACTAGATGGGCCATTGGCCTGATCTTCTTAAGCTTTTCTTAGGTTTTTTTTTCTTGTTTTGTTTTTTTGCTTATCAGATTTCCCCCAGAAAGTGTAAACCTGGATTAAAATGCAGGTTGGTATTTTGATGGCAATGATATTGTGTGAGCACTGCAAAACTGATAAGTATGAGGAGCAACTATTGGGACGCGGGTGGCACTGTGGGTTAAACCACAGAGCCTAGGACTTGCCGATCATAAAGGTCGGCGGTTCGAATCCCCGCGATGGGGTGAGCTCCCCTTGCTCGGTCCCAGCTCCTGCCAACCTAGCAGTTCAAAAGCATGTCAAAGTGCAAGTAGATAAATAGGTACCGCTCCAGCGGGAAGGTAAACGGCATTTCCATGTGCTGCTCTGGTTTGCCAGAAGCGGCTTAGTCATGCTGGCCACATGACCCGGAAGCTGTACGGTGGCTCCCTCGGCCAATAAAGCGAGATGAGCATGCAACCCCCGAGTCGGTCACGACTGGACCTAATGGTCCTTTACCTTTATCTTTATGAGGAGCAACTGAACCCACAATAAGGACCCTTCTGAAAGTACAGTGGAACCTTGGTTCTCGAACGCCTTGGTACTCGAACATTTTGGCTCCTGAATGCTAAAAAGCTGGAAGTAAGTGTTCTGGTTTTCAATGTTTTTTGGAAGCTGAACGTCCGATGCAGCTGTCAGCTATTGTTCCTGGGGCGCCTGCGCAAATTGGAAGCTGCGCCTTGGTTTTCAAACATTTTGGAAGTTGAATGGACTTCCGGAATGGGTTATGTTTGAGAACCAAGGTACCATTGTACTCTTGGTTTTCCCTCATGCTGCTGTCTTATCAAAAAGCTGATCAGTGGGACTCCAGCTGCATAGTTTTACAGGTCGTAGTCCAAACATATAGAAAGAAACCCCACTAGCTGACTGATGCCCATCACAAACTATGTGCATCAGGAGCCTGATGGCTAGCTGCGTCCTTCCCCTGACAACTTCCTATAAATTCAGTAAGACAAGTATACAGTGGTGCCTCGCAAGACGAAATTAATCTGTTCCGCGAGAGTCTTCGTCTAGCGGTTTTTTCGTCTTGCGAAGCAACCCTATTAGCGGCTTAACGGATTAGCGCTATTAGCGGTTTAGCGGCTATTAAAGGCTTAAAGGCTTAGGGGATTAGCTGCTAAAAGGCTATTAAAGGCTATTAAAGGCTTAGCAGATTAGATAAAGGGGGGGGAGCGAAAAAAAAATCTCTAGACTCGCAAGACATTTTCGTCTTGCGAAGCAAGCCCATAGGGGAATTCGTCCTGCGAAGCAACTCGAAAACGGAAAACCCTTTCGTCTAGCGGGTTTTCCGTCTTGCGAGGCATTCGTCTTGCGGGGCACCACTGTACATAGACACTGTATCAGTGTTGCAAGGTACTGTGGTTATATCTTGAGAGGTTCATTCCTAAGGACCATTTGCACATTGACATATATGTTGATAGATAAAGGTAAAGGTACCCTTGACCATTAGGTCCAGTCGCAGACGACTCTGGGGTTGCATACTCATCTCGCTCTATCGGCTGAGGGAGCCGGCATTTGTCCACAGACAGCTTCTGGGTCACGTGGCCAGCGTGACTAAGCCGCTTCTGGCGAACCAGAGCAGCGCATGGAAACGCCGTTTACCTTCCTGCCGGAGCGGTACCTATTTATCGACTTGCACTTTGATGTGCTCTCGAACTGCTAGGTTGGCAGGAGCAGGGACCGAGCAATGGGAGCTCACCCCGTCGTGGGGATTTGAACTGCCGACCTTCTGATTGGCAAGCCCTAGGCTCAGTGGTTTAGACCACAGCGCCACCTGCGTCCCTCTTATATGTTGATAGTGGGACTAATAAATGGATTTTTCATTATTTGATTACTATGTTTAGCTCATCTAACCTCTCTCACCACCCCCACCCCCATCCTCTTCTCCCACTTAAAACAACAACAACCTTCGTCTCAAATCTAGTCTGTTATCTTCATAGAATTATAGAGTTGAAAGTGACTCAAGGGTCATCTAGTCCAACCCCCTGCTAAAGCATCTGTGACAGATGGCCATCCAACCTTTGTTTTGATCTGTAATGGCTCAGTCAAAAATCACCACCCATGAGGCAAGGTAGGTGATTGCCTCAGATGATAGGCTCCATATGGGCAGCAAATTCCAATGTAGATCTTTATCCCTCTGCCCCATACCCTGTTCCTGATGTAGGTCTTCACTCGCCCCTTCCCTGGCAGGGAGGGGAGTGCCATTTTGTGGCTTGTCTCAGGTGCCTAAAAGTCTTGGCACCTGTAAATCACCATGATGCAGGAGTGGTAATCAAGTATAGAGTCACACCACTCAGACATGAGAAATCTGAGGAGATGGTATTTCAGCAATTTGGGGGATATGAACTTTGCTGAAAGTTTCAGGGGGCACACTTGCAACTTGGAGGGGAATTACGGTACTTTCTTTTACTTTTTGTTTTTTTAAAAATTGCTGTCACCCATTGAAATTAATGAAGGTGACTAAGTTAGGTTCATTATTTTCAATACTCTGAGCAAAAGTTGAATACCGCGCAATATCTTTTTAGCCCCACCAAAATATCACAAAATAGACTGTGTGTGTCCTTTAAGCCTTCCGTAGCAAAGGAGCAGTTTGGCTTTCTTGCCATCATACATTAAACAAAATTACCCAGCTAGCACATTTCTTTCCCCAGTTGGACAGCATGATCTGCTAATGCTTCAATATTAAATGGAATGTAGTTTGTGAAGCTTGAACAGGAGCAGTTGGCCTTGAGAATTCAAATAACACAGCAGCAATGCCACTTTTTACCAGATTCATACAAAAAGCTGTAAAAAGCTACAGCTTAATGTAATTTGCTGTTGGAACACTAGATGGAAGCAGAGAAGGGAAAATGAGATCTTTTGTAAGCGCCACCCTTGTAAATTGCCTTCAGCTGCTTCTGGAAACAAAAGCCCAAATTTCCCCAGTATTTCCTCATCTTATTTAGCAGGTGGGAAAGTATTAATTAGATCTTTAAAATGAGGGGCTTGTTCCCCCACACTCCCCAAGTCGATTATAAAAAATGCATGGTGTTAGAAGTATACCGGCAAAAATAATCTCATTCTGTTAATGGTTACCATAAATTCAGCAAAAAGAATAATTACACAGCTCTGTCCAAGAACTTAATCATCAATCAAGTCTGCACTCCTGTACCCAATCACTTGGGAGTAAATTCCACTGAATCCAATGGGACTTAACTTCTGAGTAGACTTTAGATTACTTTAGAAGCAATAAAACTGCTGGCACATTTGCAAAGCTTAGAAGAGTTTCAAATTGGATGGGGGACCACCTGTTGAGATTCCTGTATTGCAGGATGGACTAGATGACCCTCAGGGTCCCTTCCAACTCCACAATTCTATGATTCAACTCTGAATGATTTCCTTGTATCTAGCAATTGTTGCCATCTTTTTAATTGGCTTTTTAGCCATGCCTTTGATAGTCATGTGATCTGCAACAAATGGCTTATCTCCATGCCAGCGAAAGCTTCACCTGCTAATTCCTGCATCTCATGTCTGTTAAAGACACATGTTCAATTACCACAGTTCAGGTTTTCCTTTGCTACAGGACTAGAAACTTAGACCAGGACCAGACAATATGTTTGCCATGCGATCGTTTATTCAGAGCTTGTTTTTTTACTTAGAAGCAGCAGCTGCAGGCAGTGATGGGTAATTTTAGATTCTGGACTTAATGGCCTAATGGAGATGCCTTCCTCTTTACGTAGTAAACATGTGTTATTTCACTTTCTACAGAAGGTGGTCAGCCAGCCTTGTTGCATCTGGGGGCTTCCCTGGCAGCACTGCAAGGAAAGCTCTATGGACGACCTGCTGCAATGGCCTCTTCTACACAACTGTTCTACCAATAATAATAATACAGTCATACCTCTGGTTGCGAACGTGATCCGTGCGGGAGGCACGTTCGCAACCTGCAGCGTTCGTAGACTGAAGCATCGCGTCTGCGCACATGTGTGATGCGATTTGGCGCTTCTGCACATGACGTCATTTTGTGTTTCTGCGCATGCGCAAGTGCCGAAACCTGGAAGTAACCTGTTCGGGTACTTCCGGGTTCGGCGCAGTCCACAACCCGAAAACACACAACCCGCAGAGTTCATAACCCAAGGTATGACTGTAGTAGTAGTAATAATAATAATAATAATAATAATAATAATAATTTATACCCTGCCCATCTGGCTGGGTTTCTCCAGCCACTCTGGGCGACTTCCAACAAAGATTAAAAATACATTAAAACATCAGTCATTTAAAACTTCCCTGAACAGGGCTGCCTTCAGATGTCTTCTAAAAGTCAGATAGCTGTTTATTTCCTTGACATCTGGTAGGAGGGCGTTCCACAGGGCGGGCGCCACTACCGAGAAGGCCCTCTGCCTGGTTCACTATAACCTGCCTTCTCACAGTAAGGGAACCGCCAGAAGGCCCTCGGCGCTGGATCTGTGTCCAAGTCAGTAAGTGGTGGACAGAGCTACCCCATACATTTAAAGCACCTCCAAATCATGTTTCAAACACATTACTTTCCCCAAAGAATCCTGGAAACTGTCATTTCCTCCTCACAAGAGCTACAGTCCCCCGTATCCTGAACAAACTACAGTTCCCAAGGTTCTTTGGGGGAAGTCATGTCGTGTGCTGAATGTATGGTGTGGGTCTGTGTAGATTCTCTAGTAGGAGAGAAAGTGGGTTGTTATCTTACAATAGCTAATGCTGGGAGTTGCTAGCAGGATAACACGTTCTCCTTTTCATTATGTAAGGAGTTCAATTATATATGCTCCCTGTCCAGGAATCAAGTATTCTTTGTGCCCTGGATGAAAGTGCATCAGGTAGAACTGGAATGCTGCAATTCAATCTGCCAACGTGAGTCACTATTATCATCATGAGAACCACACCTAACAATGATCTTACACCAATGATGCAGAAGACAAACTGCAACTTTCTGCTTTCAAGTTGACCTTCAGTTGCATTAATTCATCATCTGTATGATACACACCAAACCTTGGAAGCACATATGAAATATACTCGGAGTCGAGACTGGATTTCATGCTCTTTATTCAGCTCATAGTGGTGAGGAGGAATCAAAGTTTCCCCAAAGTATCTGCTTTATATACATTATTTACACAATGGGCTGCACGTGATTGGCTAATTCCGGAATTCTCCTGTAGGCCAATCAGGTTGTGGATTCACTTCCATCTGGAGCTGGATTGGGTGGCTCCTGCAGACCAATCATACTGCTGCATTGTTCTAGGACCAATCAGACTGCTGCATTCTGAATCCTATTGTTCTAAGACCAATCAGACTGCTGCATTTTGGATCCTATTCAACTCAGTACATAACACATAGGAAGCAGATTTCCCCTTGCAAAGAATTCTGGGCACTGCAGTTTTGTTAAGGGATACTGGGAATTGTAACTCTGTGAGGGTTAAACTACAGTGCCCAGAATTCTTTGAGGGAAAGAAGGTGCTTAAAATGTGCTTTAAAGGTACAGTAAATATGTAAACATCCACAAGATCAAGTTCTTTCTTTCTGCTGAAGTTTCAACGGGAGCCACCTCAGATGGATGAGAGAGAGAGCCAGGCTTTTTCTCCTAAAAAAAAAAGGTCAACAAGTTCCAGCACCTCTTTTTCTAGAAAAAAAGCGCTGGAGAGAGGCACACCTGCACTTTGAAAAAGTTGCACAGAGGCAGAGTAGCAACTCCATGGGAGAAATTCAGTTCGTTTCCCATTAAAGGCAAATCTATCATATTTGCACTTTCTAAAACAATGTGACAGCCAAAACATATCTGTCCATCAAAATTCGCCCTTATCAAATTTTGCAGTACAGTTCCCCAACCGAACAATGTTTAGGTAAAGGTGTACATAAACAATGAATATATGAGTTAAAAATAATGTGCCAAAATGCCTTGCGTTCGGAGAAATTGCATGCAAAATGTGTACAAGTGTCAAAACAGCGTTCAAAAATGTGTTTTATCAGGAGAAATTTCATGGGGGATATGAAAAAGAAAATTTGCAAATTGCTGCAGAAATGTGGAGGAAATGTGAACATTGGGAATATGAGAAACTGAGAGAAGCGGAACTGACAAATCCTTGCATCCATACCACTGACGCAGCTGAGAGCCTTTTGATCCCCATTGGATATACAGGCATAGACATACCGTATTTTTCGCCCTATAGGACGCACTTTTCCCCCTCCAAAAATGAAGGGGAAATGTGTGTGCGTCCTATGGGGCGAATGCAGGTTTTCGCTGAAGCCTGGAGAGCGAGAGGGGTCGGTGCGCACCGACCCCTCTCGCTCTCCAGGCTTCAGGAGAGCCCCAGCGCCAGCCCCACAAGGTCGGGGAACAGCGGGGAGGCGGAACGCCGCCATCCTGCTGTCTCCCGATGTGGCTTGGAGGCTGACGGCGGTGAGACGCGTGCTTCTCCCCGCCGCCAGCCCCGCAAGCTCCGGGGACAGTGGGGAGGCGCAGCGCATCTTCCCGCTGTCCCCGGACCTGAAGAAGAAGAAGAGTTTGGATTTGATATCCCGCCTTTCACTCCCTTTAAGGAGTCTCAAAGCGGCTAACATTCTCCTTTCCCTTCCTCCCCACAACAAACACTCTGTGAGGTGAGTGGGGCTGAGAGACTTCAAAGAAGTGTGACTGGCCCAAGGTCACCCAGCAGCTGCATGTGGAGGAGCGGAGACGCGAACCCGGTTCACCAGATTACGAGACTACCGCTCTTAACCACTACACCACACTGGCGGCAGGGAGAAGAGCGCTTCTCCCCGCTGCCAGCCCCGGAAGCTCCGGGGACAGCTGGGAGGCGCAGCGCGTCTTCCCGCTGTCCCCGGACCTGGTCTGAAGGCGGGCGGCGGGGAGAAGAGCGCTTCTCCCTGCTGCCGGCCCCACAAGCGCCTGGGGGGGGAAAATAAATTTTTTTTCTTTATTTCCCCCCCAAAAAACTTGGTGCATCCTATGGGCCGGTGCGTCCTATGGGGCGAAAAATACGGTAATTGTAAAGGGGAGAAATTTTAAATATTGACAACCATTCAATATAGAAGCACAAAAACTGTACCATGTTTTCAGTTTTTGTGCTTCTGTATTGAATGGTTGTCATTTTTTAAAAATTCTCTTTAGCATTTAATGTTCCATTGTTAGGATATTTAGACTATAATAAGAGACCCAAGTAGAGAACATTTTTTTTGCTTTTGTTTTAATGCCTAGAGCAGCAATAACTTTGGAGAAAGGAACTCCTAGATTAGCAAATGTCATCCAAGCATAGGCTTGGAGTGTCATTTTAGAAAACACAGTTAATTCAATATTATACATGTATTATTTTCTGTGTGCACCCACACACCAATTTCTTCCACATTTCTGTTGAGCCCCCCCTTCTTTTTTTTTTTAAATGAAACGAAAAGCAAATGTTTTGGTAACTAGCATTTTAGGCTGATTCTCCAGCTGAATAAGGTTAAAGACTAAGACCTAAAAAAACCCTCCCTCTCTCTCAAAATAGCAATAGCGCGGCACCCGAGATTTTTAATAGCTGGTAGGAGTCAGCGGTCTGCATAACCTGGCTGACTGTTGCAGGCCCTTCCTCGTTACCAGCTAATGAGACGCTTTCTCCACAGAGTGACCCTGTCTCTTGAGAGAGTGCAGCACTAACATAATGATTCAGAACACGCTATTTTGATGACATCACTCTCCCCCCCCCCTCCAGTCCATGCTTTAAATGCCTACTGCAAAATGGCAGCAGTTCAAGATCAAAAGCAAACGGCAGGCAGCAGAGAGGAGAGAAGACGTCTACCATTCACTGGCAAGTGCTATCATGCACTCAGACTAATTGACGTTTGGGGCAGAGGGAAATCCAGCTCAGTCACGAAGCGGTGAATGGAAAAGCACCTAATCCAATTGCTGTCGTTGGATCTAAAATGCATGTTTCTTTTTAAATAGGAAGGGAATAGAGACGGCCATTCGCCAAATGGTAGCTCGGTACGTAATAGCACTCAGAAAGGCCATCATCTTCTCCGTCCTGCCAAACAGCAAAACAAATCTTCCCATCTCATCAGAGAGCCTGAGAAGAAAAAGGATTGGTATGATTACTAGGTAAGGGAAAGGGAAAGGACCCCTGGATGGTTAAGTCCAGTCCAAGGAGACTCTGGGGTTGCGGCGCTCATCTCGCTTTCAGGCCAAGGGAGCTTCCGTTTGTCCACAGACAGCTTTCTGGGTCATGTGGCCAGCATGACTAAACTGCTTCAGGCACAACGGGACACCGTGAGAGAAACCAGAGTGCATGGAGACGCCGTTTACCTTCCCACCACAGTGGTATCTATTTATCTACTTGCACTAGTGTGCTTTCGAACTGCTAGGTTGGCAGGAGCTGGGACAGAGCAACAGGAGCTCACGCTGTTGCAAGGATTCAAACCACCATGCACTCTTTAATTTATCGCTGTTATATGTTGGCTGCCAGGGAGGGTGAGAGGAGCATGTGAGAGTTTATGCCTCAGGTGCCAACTAATTTGGCTGCCTTGAGGTCTATGAACCTTGACCTGGAGGAGCACAGGGCAAAAGGCAAAATGCCTTGGTCTGTTCCTGCCTGAATCTGAACCCTTAAAATGCATCTAAGTATTAATGCCCTTATTGTTCAAAAAAGAGAAGAATATAAGATGTATGCCTCTGACTTGTGACCCAAAATGCATTGGAGAGGATTCCCGCCCCCCTCAGAAAAAGAAAAGCATACCTATGTAATTTCTTTAAATTACAGTATTAAAAATAACGTCAAACTTCAGTTAATCAATCAATAGATTGATTCCGGCTGAATAAAAGCCAAGTTTATCCAGACTAAAAGCCCTGGAGCCCAGAGAGGAAAGAGATTGCTTTGCATTCAGACTAGCTTGCTGTCATGAGGGGAAAGGAGCTCACCCTGAGAAATTTCACCGGCAGGTGCTGATTAATTATGACTCATCCTTCACAGCTGGACTGAAAGGCACTTAATATTACACCAGCCATACTGACTGACACCTTGCAAAAATGCAGAGCAGATTGAAAAAGATTGAAAGAGATACCTCTTGTGCACAGTACCTCTTGTGCACAGGTTGCACCATTTTGGCTATGTAAGCATTGGTGCCTAGCTACCAAAAATAGAGGGAATAAAAGGCAGCTGGTGGCCTGCAGGCTGCGTTCAGCCAGAAGCAGTTTTATCTTACCTGCATCCCCATTACCCTACTAATTTGTATTTAAAAACAGCACTTTCACATTTCTTCTTCTTCTTTAAAAAAGAGATATATAAATATTCCAGTCACACTTCAGTGTTCTTTCTTTTTCTTCTTGTATGCCATCTCCTAGTCATCCCTGGGCTCCTGTATTCCATAACTGTGAAGCCCTCACTACTAAATGGCAAAAACTTTGTTACAGAGAATGAAAAAGCCAATTTTTATAGCAAAATACACTTTGAGGCCTAGATGATGAAGTGGCCCACAATCCTGTATAGCTTCCCTGTTTCCCAGCAATCTTCCTATTGCCTTTCAAGCACCCTCCACGCAGACAGACGGAGGCTGTGTCCACACTAGAAGTCTTTAGCATTGCTGAGGCATCATCCTTTTGTTTTTCAGCAACAGCCTGCTATATCCATCCTTGTGGTAAAGGGAAAAAATGGCGGAGGACCACACTGTGTCTAAGTGACTTGATGGGACATCTGAGAAGGGGGTTCAGGAAAGATGAATCCTGCCCGCTTCAATTTCTTTGTTAAAATTTTTACAAACCACTGAAAGGTGAAGCATGCCATTGCTGTGCAAAGACTGTCAGAGCAAATGAGGGGGGATTTTGGATACCCCTTCTTCGTCTTACTGAAACGAAGCTGCAGAGCTTTGAAAGTTGAGGTCCGGTTGCTTTACAAGCCAGAATGGCTGGCTCAAAACATTTTGCTTTTGAAATGTTTGAGGGGTGGAGAAGCTGATAGGAGCTAATGACCATCTGGTTTGGGCCAAATCCTCTGGCTTCGTGCTTTTGACAGCTCAACGATCTTTCTCCTGGGTGCCAGATTACGCCTCCATGTGAAAATGCTTTCCCCAAGAGGTAAGGGGGGAAAGATGTGAATTAGCTCACTTGGGGAATGTGCAGAGAGCAAAACCAAAACAAGGGGAGGATTTTTCAAATGTGTATCAAGTAACTACACCCACAGCAGAATCTAGAATCAATCTAAATTGAAAGCAGCAGGTTGAGGATGAGTATAAACAATCCCAGATTGAGGAAAAACTACTTTTTTTGTACTGCATACGGGTTCGTGTGTATGCAGCCATTATCATGCAGAAAGCCAAATGAGTAGTCCATATGGAAATAATAAATCTAAGCTAATAATTCAATAATTTGAGGCTTGATCCTACCACATTTGTTTGAGTTTAAGATCAAGCATCCCCAGAAAGCATATATTCAGCATTTTTTATCTGTCTGAACTGCTAGCAAAAAATACACACTCCAACTGTAATGGAAGTATTTAGTAGTTCTCTTTCATCCTGTGTTTAATATATCACACTAAAAAGAGTGTCGGGGGAACGGTTTGCAACTTCTCCTACGAAATAATCTGAATCAATGAAAGTAATTTATTTCAACCTTTCCAGCAAGTCCACAAAGGACATATATTTAACAGTATAAATTGTATGGAGGCCTAGGAGCATGTAAAGAAAAGGATTTAACTTTCAATGCTAGCTTTTAAAAATATGCCCTTTAATGCATGCACACACATGAATTATACAGCTACACTATATATTAGTATACAATTGTATACTCGCCAACTGGTGGTAGAGTTAAAGGTTGGACAGCCCTTGACGGTATGTTACAGCCCCTGAATTCTTATTAGATCCCAGTTACCATTAAAACACATGCACACACGTTTTGTAGATCTGTGTGCTTGAAGAAGTTTGAATGTGAAACATTTTCATGGCTGAACAGCGTTGTCCATGCTTATATTTCTCAGTAGGAAAGTACTGCTGGTAGGGTTGCCATATGCCAGCAGCAGTGTCTGGGTGGAAATCGGCAAAAATGTGCAGGAAAATCCAGATGTATGGCAGCCCATGTCAGCAGTGCCGTTTCCCCATAAAAATAGCTCTAAAACAGCAATAAATAAATAAATTAAATAAATCAGATTTTGCCAAAAAAGCTGAACAACTTTGGGCAAAACTCAAAAAAAGCCCAGCAAGTTTGAAATATGGCAACCCTAACTGCTAGTAAAAGAACCCATTATGGTCAAAATGTGTATGTGTTAGAATAAGAATATTTTGGTTGGCACTCAACCACTTTCTCTGGAGGTTGAGCTGCTTCGTGTCATTGGGTTGGGTTGCCAGATTGCAACCTGCGTATCTTCACAGTTTGGCACAGCAGGGAATCCTACTTTTTATGGTGAAGGAGAGAGCCAGGCATAGGAATAGGCTAGAACGTAAAAGCCATTGCTATGCTGTCTACCGCGTCATTCTGATGTTTAAGACCACAGTATACGTCAGATCAGCCCGTGAATTCTTAGGCACTACTGCACCAGAAACCACTATGTACCTAGAATTTAATTGTTAGAAGCTGTTTAAACACAAACCTAAAGTTCTGACAATCCAGCCAAAAAGAATAACTTTTCATTGCCTTTTATTTCTATGAGAGAGATGTAACATGGCACATACTTAACTCTTCTAGTGAAATGGATGGGACTTAGAAGCACTTAACTCTGCCTGGATTGTTAGCAGGGTGTTTTCAGTGCAAATTCTGCCAGTGACATTGGAATTGAGAGAGCATAAAACTCAAGCCAACCACAGCTTCAGTTTTCATTTAGGAAAGTCACATTGACATCATCTGGCCAAGTTCCTATTGGAGGACTGGCTAGAAAATGAGCCAAGTCTTCGCATTTGTCCCAATTCTTCCTAATGCAATGATAACTGGTTTTATGTTTCAAAGGTTATGCAAGATCTTTAACCTCTAAGTTACAGCTTATGCAAGCAGGACTCTGTTACTTAACACCATCCCTTCTCTGAAAAGATGACTTGACTCTTGCAAAGGAAGCCAGCCATAGGTACAACTCAAACAACAAATTAATCCCAGCCTGTCATTCTCAAAGGACATGCTAGGGACCAATGTTCCTGTGGAATTAGTGCAAAATATAATCAGTTAATGGTCTCAACAACATAGATAGATAGATAGATAGATAGATAGATGATAGATAGATAGATAATTCTTGCAGCAAATAATAATTCTTCAAATTTAAATTATGATGGATTAAGTCCAGTTTGAAAAGTGTGAATCTGAAAGTTTTAAAAACCATACATGTGTGACATGAGCTCATGTCACTCCTTGCCACCCTCCCCATGCAAATAAGTTTCAGGTGAGAAGAGAAAGCAGTTCTGTTAATAGAATATGAACAAGCATGAGAAGGTTGAATCCAACAAAGTCTTTAAGGAAGCAGAACACTTGGTGGCCAATGGTCTGACTCTGTATAAGGCAGCTTCCTATTTTCCTATGAGCTACCAGCTACAGCCAAATACAAAAGACATACTGGTTAGAATGAAATAACTGAGTGTCCGTGAGCACATTTGGAGCTTGGGAAATTGTTTTCAGCTCTAGAACTGAACTGGACCATTTCAGTCCTTTCACGAAGTTCACTCCTGGTTCCTCCAAGCTTTCTTTGTTTTAGCAGTCTAAGAGCTCATTCAGACTTCCCCTTTAGCTGACATCCTTAATAAAATTAATTAAACACTGCCCTGACATGCAATATGATGGATTACAATATATAAATCTATAAATAAATAAAGAGGCCACCATGTCCTTCCTCAGATTATCATCCTTCAGTCTGTCCACCCTGGGATCTGATCACCTAACATGTGATATTAAAATAAAAAATGAGCATACATCAAGTTCTTAGACAATTCTTTAAAATTTGGCATGTGTTTGTTTTTGCTGCTGTGGGCAACAATTCTCCAGTAACAGCTAGTTTAAAAAATCAGAGTTGTTATCAGGAAGATAATGAACATGGATTTGGAAAGGAGGCAGCTATGTCTTGGGAGCTGCTCTTGACAGGTAAGGTTAACAACCTCAGCTCTTGGTGTCAGAAATATATCTGATCTGTTTGCAAGTGAAAGAGCTGCTATCAGATCCAATTCCACAGCACAAAATAAATCGTTTGAAGGATGACCCTGCCAGCGGTCTCCCAATTGATGGGGGATTTCAGAGCACCCTGTCTAGCTGGAAGCTCCCTCATGGCGGCTACACAGGAATAGACATCAATGTATTGGCTGCTTTAGCTGACATCCTATGGAGATGGTTTCTGTCTGGGGAGCTTCTTATCTCTAGATCGTCCCCCTTGTGCTCTGTTGTTCTCAACTATTCTCTTTTCTTTCCAGATGAATGTAGCCAATGAAACTGATGAAAAATGCCGATAATAATGGCTTTGCAGATTTGTAAGGCTTAGTGGGCTCTAGCTTTAAAAAGCTTATGGCATAATAAATCTGTGGTAGAAGGTACCACACGACTCTGTTGATTTTGATGCAAAAGGCTAACAATGTTATTTCTCCAGATGTTTGGCCAAATTATGTTGCAAAATTAAGGTGCGCGTTGCAAACACCACTTGAATCACCCAGAATGAATGACTGCACATTCCTTTAATGTGCAAATGCGGTTTGAAACGCTGTGAAAAAGAAGGACCTCGTGTTTTAAACTGGTAAAATTCATCAACCTACTGTATATCATATTTTTAATCAATGCCTTAAAAATCCACAGCAGATCAGAGTCACACTTGTCTTACTGATCATGCAGAATCGGCTATATAAGTTGTCTGTTCTGCATCTGGACACCTCTCTAGCAATGCTAGGTATAAGGCTGCAAGTAAGAATTAAGAAAAAAGAAGCAAAATCTTTATTGAGAGAAACTAGTGCGCAAAAAGTTGAATATTCAGAAAACTTGCATCTGGCATTAAACTCTTGTTGATTGGAACAAAAAATAAGTGTGTGAGGTGCTCTGTCTTTGAAAAACAAAAAAATTAAAACTTTGCCTAAAAAGAGTAGCCACACCCATTGTCAGTGCTTCCCAAAAGTCAGCAACTGGTTCATAGGTGCTGTTGGTTTACTTTACTTTGATTTTACATGCAGCACATTCCTGCATAGATTTGCTATCTGTTTCCTAGCAACTCCACCTGCTGTCTTGTCTAGTAGGTTAAACAAATATGTAAGAGTTTTCATAGTAATAAACAGAAGCCAGCTATCACCCTTTCTTCGCCTCGTTTAACCCAAAGAAGATTGAAATGCAAATTTATTTATTTCCTGTGCCGAATATTTTCTTCTCCTTTATGTATCCTCGCGCTCCCTGGACCACACAAAAAACCTGCTCTCAATTACCTTGAAGGAGCCACTTGCCCACAAGCAGGCCCTTCATGACTACATGACCTGTAGAGCAAGGGTGTTGGCCTTGGTCTTCAGCCATAGACTTGACACCCTCAGTCTCCCTGGTGGGAAAGAAAGCATACTGCTCAACTGCCCCGTTTTCAGTGGGACATCCCAATTGACAAAGTCGCTGTCACAGTCCAGTTCACGGGCAATCAAAGTCCAGGCTGGGGATGTCAGGACCGGTGGCAAGATGGCGGGGTAGGAACAGGAGTCCAGAAGCCAGGAGTCAGGAAGTCAAGAGTCTGAGGGTCAGAGAATCGGGAGTCAAGAAGCCAAGGGTCCGAGGATCAAGAAGCAATGAGTCAAGGAACCAAAGGCAGCAAGGCAGGGAACGCGTTGCTGTGGCAAAGAGCCGAAGGGAAAACACTGACCTTACATCCCTTCCTGGCTCTTGCCACCAGGTGCTGTGAGTTACCAATTGGCCTCACCTGTGTCAGAACAAACTTAGGAAGGCAGAGGCCTATTGGTCACAGGGCCTGGCTCCTGCACGCACACCTGACAGTCATCTTGGCTTCTGTTCCCAATCCCGGGTGTCCCATTTTGGCTCCCATGCTCTGGCCACACCAAAGAGAGGCATTTTGCCATCCTGCCCTGTGGAGTGAGTCAGTTGGCTAACGTCAGAGCATGGGACTGAAAAATGAGCTGGCCGGCGCAGCTTCTCCCAAGGCTGCACTGGCTGCTGCAGGCTTAGGCTGTGGAGGAGGAGGAGGCAGAGGCTGCAGATGAAGGTATGAGGAGGGAAGGAGGAACATGGCGGCTGAGAGCAAGCAAGGGGGCGAGGGAAGGGGGTGGTGACGGGGCGGGCAACGGGGGCAGCGGGGTGGTGGTACCTTGATTTTTTTCTCCCCAAATGTTGGGTGGTATGGGAAAGTGCCCACTAGGAAATTTCTGTGTTCCCCTAAGCTTGAATGACCTGCTCGTTGATAAGCTGCTCACATGTGGCTGGCTGCATGTCCCAAGGGCATCTGTTTCAAGACCCAAAACTGCATGTAATTACACTGGTACCTCGGGTCACAGATGCTTCAGGTTACAGACACTTCAGGTTACAGACTCTGGTAACACAGAAATAGTACCTCAGGTTAAGAACTTTGCTTCAGGATGAGAACAGAAATTGTGCGGCGGCGGCATGGCGATAGTGGGAGGTCCCATTAGCTAAAGTGGTACCTCAGGTTAAGAACAGTTTCAGGTTAAGAATGTACCTCCGGAACGAATTAAGTTCTTAACCCGAGGTACCACTGTATCCACCTTCAGTCCTGTGCACTATCAAGTTCTAGAGGACATGGACTAGGAAATCACTTAGTTATGCTCAGCCAAATTATGGCAGAGAAAGGAATGGATCCATTCTACCCTGCCTAAGGCCATGGAAGGGATCTTACAATTACTTCTAAGGTAAAGGTAAAGGTACCCCTGCCCGTACGGGCCAGTCTTGCCAGACTCTAGGGTTGTGCGCTCATCTCACTCTATAGGCCGGGAGCCAGCGCTGTCCGGAGACACTTCCGGGTCACGTGGCCAGCGTGACAAGCTGCATCTGGCGAGCCAGCGCAGCACATGGAACGCCGTTTACCTTCCCGCTGGTAAGCGGTCCCTATTTATCTACTTGCACCCGGGGGTGCTTTCAAACTGCTAGGTTGGCAGGCGCTGGGACCGAATGACGGGAGCGCATCCCGCTGCGGGGATTCGAACCGCCGACCATGCGATCGGCAAGTCCTAGGCGCTGAGGTTTTACCCACAGCGCCACCCGCGTCCCGCTTCTAGGCATGTGAAAAAAGACCTTGCTAGCTTGTTTGTGCATGCTTAACTACGAATACGTGAATAGTCAGGAAGCCGACTAGCCAACTCTGCTACACCGGAGAATAGGAGAACCCAAAGACAGAACAGGAAATTACCCTGTATTTTCTGAAACCCACAAAAAGAGCTAGGCTTTTAGAGGGAGCTCGAAGTATAAACATGGCAACCTGAATTCTTTTCTGTTGAGGTTGCCTGGGCAACCAGAAAATTAAAATGAAGGCTGTACAGTATATATGTATTGATTTTACTGCGTCCCAACTGAAATG